AAGATGGAAAAGCATCTCCAAAATTATGGTGTCTTTTTTTAAAGAAAAAACAACAACAATGAGTTGTTACTCATTAATACTAACATCTACTTCTTTTTACCAAGATTATAAGTATAAAGATATCTTAATGGAAGGGTAATGTTAGTTAAATCTACACCTATACAATTTGTAACCAATTCTAGATATGAAATGACCCCTGCCACATGCTGTCCATCAAAACTAAAACAAGACGTATTGCAGATAATCGGGTACGAAATACGTTTTAATACTATCAAAACATTTTTGACATTATAATATTTGAAACTGTATTAAATTTCAATTTAATGTCGCTCATTCTTTAAGACAACGGCTTATCGTGACTTAAGTGTTATCTAAACCTAACCAGGTGACAGATTCATGTTTTAAGGTTGTGATAAAATAACCCATATACAATTTACAGTTTTTACTTTTTATTTTTACCAAATTATAATTTGGACCAGGTTCGATACATCAACGTGCTCGGCCCACAACTTATACTAGATGATCCCAAATATGAACGAGTTAAAAATGAAAACTTAGTATCGATTTAAATCGAAATACAAGTATCGAGTATTGTACATAGAGCTAGGATAGACAAAAACTTGAAAATATTTTTTTTGTTCAAAAGAGCCTGATAACCATTATCTACTGATCACTAAATTTCTTTGACATGCCTGCTTCTGATATATAAATGCTAAATGCCCTCAGATAAATCGCTAATAGTGACTTTTCAATATATCGTTCATATATACCTTCCGATATATCGTTAATATTTAGCCTCTGACATATCGCCTATATATCGTCCAGGATATAATACCAACCGATATATCGTTGCTGTTTATCTTCCGATATATCGTTGATATAAACATTACGCTTTATATAATCAATGTCATCCATAATTTATGCTGAAAACTCGATATTTACCGATATACCCCACTTAGAATTATATAATCCCCCTCCCCCTTCATTTAAATGTCTCTACCGATCAACCATTTACAATCGGGATTACATTATTTGTTACATTATGGCAGCCCGAATATAAACGATTACATTACAGGCTTAACATAGATACATAAAATATGCAAATTGTACTCTAACAAAATGGTTTTGACTTCATGGCTTTGAATATTTGATGAATAGATAATCGATCGTCGTTATTTCGTTTAATTAAACTGATAAAAACATCCATAAATACATCCAATATACGTGTATAAACAAATCCGGTGTGGATTTCTTAGTATAGACCTGAAGCCAAATCTATCGGTTGAACGTTTTGTTTAAATGTAACATAACAATTGATCATCAATTATTTTTTACAATAGCAATCTAATTTGCTGGAGTTTATAAGGGTTAAACAGTATCATGGACAAAGTAAGATACATGTTAAAGCTCCTGACAGAGCGTACTAAGTTATAACGTAATTAAAGTAGGGATTTTATACTCGCCCTGCTAGGTTTGAGTTATTCGTCAACGCGGCAAGACTAGTGTCATACGAACAAATAATGATGTTTTCCGTACGGAAAATAATCATTGCTTTATGGTCATTTTCTAATGTACATTACCTATAAGAACCATACTTGACGTGCATGTACATGCATTTTATGAAATAGAGATAAATCAGGTTTAGTTTTATTAAAATCCAACCAGTAAATAAATTTGAATGTTTATATTATTATAGATATCATCATAATCATGATCAACTTCACCACAATTATCATTCATATTACTATGTACCTTTAAATATTTTTACATTTAATATTGTTATGTACCACATTTATCAGATTACTTAAAGACCCATAATTCCTTAGAAATGATTTTGTTTTTATTTCTCAAAAGCTTTATTTTTGGTTTTCTATTATAGTTTCCAAAATGTTGATGTTTGATCTTTGTATAGAGAAAAAAGTTTCTGAGGCATAATATGCCTTTAATAAGACAAGTACCAAAACCCGTGGGAAACATGTAAACGCATCAAAAAAAAATCTTAGAGAAAATATTTTTAAACATTCAATACATACAAATCATCTCCTATTCTTTTCAAATACTCAAAAAATGTTTATTCGGGCCAACTTTATTATTGTGCCATTCTTTCCCACTGTAATCATATCTCCCAAAGAACACTCTATGCCCTTAAAACATGCATACATTAAACCGTCCTGAATAACTATTCATACATATTACAAAGTTAACATTTCACAAATTAAGTATTTGTTTTGCTTTATCCAAATATATGAAGAGGAAAAAAAAGAAGATATCTTTTTTACCTTTAGAATAATATCCAGGTCATAAAATGATGAATAGAAATATGTAATAATAATATATCTCTATTGAATTATTCCAATGCACGTAAACTCCGGACGCAGTTTTCATAAAACTGGCGATTTTTTTATTTCAACAAAACACGCAATTTGTAACCCTGCCGTGTTAAAAGATCGATCTTTACGAAGAGTTATAAAGCACGGTATTTTAGAACAGATAATGGGCACACTATAGTTAGTTTTTAAAGCCTCTGAATATATCACCGATATTACGTTGATATTTTATTATTATTGTATTGGATTTTTTTAAAGATACAAAATCATTTAGGTTTGTCAATAGGCTGACCTCGAAATTATTAACAAAATAAAGTGGCATATGAAAAAAGAAATTGCTAAGCAAACATGCGAAGTTATTTTAGCTTATATTAGACATAGAACTAGCGATGAAGGGAACTAAAAGTTAAAGAGCAAACACAAATTTAAATCTGCGCTATTGTCCTCAGTTTACTTCTATACACTTGGTATTCTAAAAAGGAAAAATTATTTGCCATGTCATTTTTGACTTGAAGGGGTTCAATTTCTTGACCACGTGAACAAGATTCAAACAAATATAAATATATGATCTGAAGTGTTCAATATAGAAGAGATAAAAGGTGGACATGAGAGTCCGGCCATATTTTCATAATTCCGAATGACTATAAACACCTACGTACTAGTTTTATTTGAAGGTCTTATCAGGTTATCCCGATGATGAAGTTTGTTAAGATTTAGCCTTTGAAAGTTTCCTTCGTTTGTTCTTTCGGTTCAGTTTTTTTTTCTAATATATTTCAAATCCTTTCTTGTATAGGGTTTAAACAATGTGAAAATATTACCATTAAACAAACAAATGTAATTTGCATTTACATAAGAAGCCAACAAATTTACTGAAGTATATATGAGCCGCGTCATGACAAAACCAACATAATGGGTTGCGACCAGCATGGATCCAGACCAGCCTGCGCGAATGCGCAGGCTGGTCTGGATCCATGCTGGTCGCAAACGCATTATGTTGGTTTTGTCGTGACAAGGCTCATAGGGACATTTATCAAAGGTTCGGAGCTCAGGGATTCCAACCTTAAGTGCTACCACACATATAACCGTCACAATTTATACCACTTGAAACCGAGTAATCTGGTGAAAATGAAACCTTATGCCTAAGTGCATAGTTACCGGTTCCATACTTTGAAATCTCATGGTTAAATATTTTTGCAACTAAACAGTATGTTTACTTTAAACAGTTTAAAGAGACCAGCTGTTGTCCTGGATTAAAAATCAAGTTCAATTCGTTCATTGATGTCATACTACTCTATGCATTTATATACATAAGAAAAACGTTACAACTGTTACAACTGATAAATCAGTATAAAAGAAAAAGAAGGAAAAGAAGAAGAAGAAGAAAAGATAAATCAGTAGAAAATGTTTTGATTTTTAGCATAATTGGCCACACAAATGTATCATAACGGCGAAATCCTGTATGATTTTTTTCAAGTTGGTTTCTAGTCACGTCGACACTGTTAAAGGTCATTAAAGATTTTCATGTTTACTTGAAGAGGAAAACCCTAGATGCACCCCCTCCCATCTCTTTAGGTGCATTATATAGAACTAGTCTGAATTATAAAAGTCAAAAGTAATGCAATGCACTAATAGATCAAATGTGTAGGTAATTTTCGTCTGACATTTCTTAGTACAGTGACAGTTGATCCGATGATAATGACGTCAGATCATATTTTTATTTTAATATAGACGACCTTTTGATAATATCAAGACCCTGTAGAAATCTTTTTAAAAATCCTAAAGTTTCATTCAAAATTCGTTAACAAAATATGAAAAGGACGTTTTATGCGAGCCAGACACCTTTGTACGCATGGAAAAACATTACGTGGTGTTTTATCATAAAATTGTAAGTTAAAGAATAACATTGTGGCATTTAGTGTAGATTTAACGACGGATCTGTAGATCTATCATCTCCTAAAGAAAATGAAAAATATCGATGAGAAAGATATCAATTTGTTTTGAAACTTGATTCAATCTTCATTTTATTATGCATTGAAATATTGTCCCCTTTATCCAAAAACTCACTTGAAAAGAAGTCAAACTTCATAATGCCTTAGAATTTATCAAGTCATTTCACAAACGTGACAATTCATTTACAATTATATGCTTTTAACGTTTCAATAGGGTCTATTTATTTTTGGCTTTTTGAAATTGCTTAATATGTTTTATAATAGCAATTTGCGCTTAAAGATATATAGTTTTCTTAAGAACATATTGTATTGCGCCTCTTGTGAGTGTTAATTGAATACTGCAGATTTGAGTTAGATACTTATTAAACCATCAATTCAAAAAGAATATCTATTGAAATAAAATGCAGTTTTTTAAACATTTCAAATTAATGACAATGTATCAGTAAATAACGTACGTTACCGTTGGCCTATTTAAAATGTTCAATATCTATTTTTAAATATAATTATATATGTTTATGCAAAATAAAGCGTAAACATGAAGAGAAGAAGAAGAAACAGAAGAAGAAGAAGAAGAAAAAAGAGGAGGAGGAGGAGAAGAAGAAGGTGAAGAAGGAGAGAAGAAGGTGAAGAAGAAGATGATGATGATGAAGAAGAAGAAGCTAGGCGAGTAGATGAGGAAGTAGAGAAAACGAATCTGAACGTTCAAATCACAAAAAAGTTTTACCTTCAATGTTCAATGTATCCAGAAATTTCTTCCAAATGACAATGTTTAGTGTTGCCTTAACAATCTTAAAGTCAGAATTAATCTACTAAAATGACGTATCGCTTTCAATTGCCTTAGCGCGCAGTAATTTCTATTTGATTGTCGGTGCAATTTTCCCTATTCTAAGTAGGTAATAACCTCGATTAATTTGCTTGATCATGTTAGAAAATTAGATATAAACGTATCGATTTCATTCCGATCTACCGGATATATAAACGCTTAATCTTCATTAGAATGTCCGTGCTTTTCATGACTTTTATTACCGTCTGCTGAAACCGGAAGTGCCTGAAACGCGAATTCTTCGATGTACTATAGACGCTGTCATATTTGACAAGTCCTTACCAACAAAACACATGTCGTGTTTAGCGAGCTTATCAATTAATGATGTATCGTTCTCTATATCAAAATCAGAAGCAGCAAGCAAAGTTGTATTTTGTTTCCTAATATATTATGTTAGTCGGATAACTCTTAAGGTTTTATTACATGCAGATAAAGTTTATCTTACGAGGACATTTTAAATAATGTAATTAATAAATGCACCGCTTATGTAACGACGCCTCCATCCCCGGAGAGTAGCAGCAACTCTCTGGCAAGATCACCATTTCGTGTAATTTAGACCCATTATTTAAGCGCCAAAACAAATCCACGACAATGACCGGCATGTAGTGAAGATAGACAGGAGGTAAAAACTTCGCCCCCCGTGGTGACCCTTCGAAATTTCATCTAGATAGAAAACATTTTATCTTCATACATATTTTCTTGTTTGACAACATTTTAATACAAATATATGTGATCTAAAGTTGTAAAATTTAATTAAAGAGTACGCATAAACAAAAATAAATCATTTAGTTCACGCGAGAAATAATGATATTTCAACAGACTAATGGAACTAGCCCTTTCTTTAAAGGTTTTGTCAGAGCTGGTCTTTTATTCGACACATAGTGAAATATTCACGGTCAAGTTCATCATACAATCTAAGAACCTTGAATTTCAGGAGACCACCCGAAGAACGTTACACCAGATTTTTCATTAAAAATTTACGGACAGAATAAAGCAAAGCAAAACAAAACAAAACACACTTGTCTCTATAACGACTGACATTGCATTTTCATTATAACAATTACAAACAGAATCAGTATAACAATATATTCCGTCAATCATATTAATTAATTAAACATGCATTTCCCAGGTTCCTTTTCAAATTCAGAAATGCGAGACTTGTTATGATTAACGTGGACCTGTCGATAAATTTCTATTTCATAACGAACGTTTTTTCCCTCTATGATATTGAAAATGAATTAAGAATTAATTGGAAAATGATACCGTATTGAGAAAAGCCATTCGATTGCAAAATTCATTAAAGAATTAATGGAAACAACGTTTGTCACTGGGAGATAATCACTGAGCTACGAATAAAAAATTATGCTAAACAAATGTTATGATGTTGTCAACAAATAAACAGAATACGTGAATAAAATGGAATATTTCATAGTAGGCAGAATGGGGTAGTGGGGGTCTTGGAAATTGAACATCTGTATGCAATAAGAATATAATAAAAATTGAAAATATGGTACATTTTGTTTCAGATATAATCATTTTCGTATGTAACTGTAAATTCTGTTGCACGAACGTTAAGAAGAGCCGCCCAGTTAGCTTAATAGATGGAACGTTGGACTATGAATCGGGCGACCCGGGTATGATTCCCGGACGGTACACGGGTCACTTTCGTTGTGATTGATCATTAAACATTTCTACAGTCATTCGCACTTTGCTTCTGCTCTGGCAAGCTATCTGTTACTTGCGAAAGTGAAGAAAATTAGTATTGTTAAACTGTTTGATAGCATGCACAGAAACGATGCGGTGGTTGAACTGTGCTCTGGTAAATTCGAAGTGACTTATTGCTGTGATCGGGTGTGAAAAATACCAACACCACCAAAAGTTTTTAAGCTTGGTATTAACTATATTCAATATTTTTTTTCACAAATCAAACGCAATTGTAGATGCTCAGTAAGTGGTACGAAAATTCTATATAATCTTGTCGGAGTAGACAGAGACATATGAGCCGCGTCATGACAAATCCAACATAATGGGTTTGCGACCAGCATGGATACAGACCAGCCTGCGCATCCGCGCAGTCTGATCAGGATCCATGCTGTTCGTTAGCAGTTGCTCTACTGGTTATAGGTTTTGTAAGCGAACAGCATGGATCCTGATCAGACTGCGCGTATGCGCAGGCTGGTCTGGATCCATGCTGGTCGCAAAATCATTATGTTGGTTTTGTCGTGACGCGGCTCATATATATTCCCTTATAAAGCTATCTTATCTTATAAAGCTAATATCTTACACGGACTGGGTTATCTTTAAATCTGAACAAAATCATTTATTATTTTAGTCTCTCATCCCTCGGTACGTGCATGTTATGGAGAGGCACAGGGCATCGGCAGACGATTGAAGATCATCTGCAACACGTCAGACGACAAGTTTGCCTGTTTTCTACAGCTCGAGGGTGAATTAGCTTGTATGAAGTTAGCTGCCGATTTCCAGACTGAAGACGAGGGAAGTGGCCCTACATAGTAGCATCTTATATCATTATATTCTCACGTTACTGTGCATTTAGGTGCTCTTTGACTGCTGTACAGTGACCTACTTTCTGCTCAAAATTCATCTCTGGCTAACACTGTCGGAATTACACGGAAGTAATCTAGAACCATTTTGCGTTTCAAAATTAACTCTTTTAAAGGGCAGGACTTTAGACATGTTCGGCGTCCGTTCTCGACAGCGAAAGCTGCTTTTGTGCACTGTGGGCCATTTTTTTTTCGTTTGTTTTGTTTTTAACTAAAATTCAAATTTAAAAGAGTTGAACAAAAAGTTAAACATAACGAGTTATAAATAAAACACAACAATCTTATGGTCATTTCATTTTATTTAAATCATTTTTTTTAAATGTTTACTTTTATTTTTAAAACACATTCACAGTCAAAAATTCATTTACACTTTTTTTGAAATAGTCAACAAAATTTCATTAAGAAATTTTTCTAGCACAAATATTCTGATAAATATAAAAATCTTCCAAATTTTTCTTTTTGGAATCAAATGGTAAAAATTTACAAGTGAATGTGACTCATTTATTCCATATATGATCAAAATTAGCAACATTTACGCCATAACATAAAAACTTCATAATGCAGGTAACTGTACATACAAATACATTTTATGATACACAAAAAAGAAGAAAACAAAGAAAAAAAACAAGTACTATAACATACATGTATGAAAACGTTCATACTGACCATGCATTTGAAATAATAAATGCATATTTAGCCAGTCAATATATAATGCTACATTTACACTTAACGTTTAACATTTTTATACACAGCTTTGTTAAAAGATGGCAAAAAGTCCAATACATCAAAATCTATGTTAATTTTTAACCATTAAAGGACAGTAATAACCCAGGACGACAAATTTCTATAAAAGTTGACAGACTAACTAAGAATTTTTGTCTCAATATTCTTGAAATTATCTGGTGGCAAATACTAATCACTTATTGTCCCAACAAGTTAATGGTTAAACTTATTACATAAATGTTAATACATTGTACATGATCACCTTAGTGCAATAACTGGTTATCTCCTACTACATGTAGGACTTAACGCGTTACTGCACCAAGGTGACAACATGCTTGTCTAGATTCATAAACAAAGTTTGAAAGAAAACAAAAATATAAGTAACAATGACGGATGTAGCCATATTTAAAAACATAATATTTTTCCTATACTCAGGCATATATATCCTATACATCCGCGCAGTCTGATCAGGATCCATGCTGTTCGCTTACCAACCCTATTACAAGTACAGAAACTAATAGCGAACAGCATGGATCCTGATCAGACTCCGCGCAGGCTGGTCTGGATCCATGCTGGTCGCAAACCCATTATGTTGGTTTTTTCGTGACGCAGCTCAAATACTGAAATATTTTCACACAACAACACAAAAAATACAGCCTGAAATTAAACTTAAGTTTTTAAAATAAGTACATTTTACTAGGATTTCTAGAGTAATTAACTTGACAATCTTTCTTATCATCTCTTAGATTTTACTTCTTAACATCAGCAGTATAGAATGAATAATGAATAACAGAGGGAAAAATGATCAGAAGTATAGGATTTCTTAAGAAATACACAAAAAACCTGAAACAAAATGGTGGTGTTACGTTAACAGTTATTGTACAGTTAGAGTTGATTTATCTTTTATTTTTAAACCCCAGAAAAGATATGGATAATGTGACAGCACCTAAGAAAACCAAGAAAAGTAAATATAAGAACTTATCCCATAGCAACTGTGTCCCATTTTTAAAATGATGTTGTTTTCAACAACCCCTTTTCTATAGAAAATATTCTTACCCTGAATTCTCCAGACATATGGTAAGTAACTGTCATCTAAAAACAATTAAATAGAGTAATTTAAACATTCTCTCAAACGTATACTATATTAGCTAGTTTCAAAAACAGAAATATTAATTTAATTTGCTAAGTTTTCTACTGACACATATAGAACACTGAACCCTGATTTAATTGAAAAGAAATATACAAAATTTCATAAAAATACTGTGACAAGATCAAATTTGTTTTGTTATCACCCATTTAAATGAACCAAATATTAATTTTGAATACTTTATAGTACAGGTTAGACAACTCTTTAAAGATTACTGTAATTCGGAAAAAAGTCAATCCAAGATTATTTCCCATTCCATATTTCACAAATGGACAAAAGTGGCAAATTCTCACTACATAAAACATAATAAATTTGTTTTTTTACCCTTTCCAAGTTCGACAACTCTTATAATTGCAAGTCTGGATAAATCCAGGATTGTTCCCCTTTTCCTACATTACAAATGAAAGAAAATTAAAATGCAAATTTAGAAATCATGGCCATGTTTTGATCTTGTTCATAACTGTTATATTACAATCTTAGTGTAAAGAATTTATGTTATTTCTTGATAATGCAAACTTTAATCTGCATGCCTCCAGATGAGCCAAAATATTTCAAGAAATTCAAACTTGAGAAAATGTACCAAAATTTTAAGAACAGTAAAAATATTCAAAACTCAAGTAATAATTTACATGTTATGTGCCATTAATGACTGACTTTGTGATAAATATCACCATATTTCTACTACAAGACTAACCAGTATGGGTTATTTTTGCATATGTTGACCTCTTTTCCATAATAAATGTGGATTGTAAGTGCCATTTGCAATGTGTTTTCTTAGTTCATTTCACAATATTTTTCATTAATACAATTTTTAAATTTTCATGAAAATTAGCATCAATCTGGAGGCATGCTAGTTAATTCTGAAATTTTTTATTTCAACATTCATCAGATTACAATTCATTGAATAATTATGTTATTAATAAATTGTGCCAAGTTTCCTAAGTATTGCATTCATAACAGAAACAAATTTCATCAGCTAACTCATCAACAATATCATTCTAGGACAAAACAAAAACAAGAGTCTGCAAAGATTTTTTTTGATCCAAATGAATAATAAGGAAATTCCAGGATAATTTTCCAAGATATTGCTAGCGCTCCATCTTTAGTGTTTAGCTGCATCAATTTTTCACATTCTTATTAATAGAATAAAACATTTTATCAGATGACATTGTTTGTTTCCCGACGTAATAAAATCATTACTCATTTCTTGAAATTACACGTCTCATATTAATAGTGGTTCTACCATTTGTTTGCATTTTCTGGCTATGCAGATTCATGTGATGAAAATAATCTTTCAAATCGACTTACATTTTGACTTACACAGAACTTAGAACCTAGAAATGTTGTTAAAATATGGCAGAGGCTTGCTTTATAACACTTCCAAAGATGCATATAACATACCTTCACATTAGTGCAAAAACAAGTTAACTCTTATAGACTTATATAAGGAGTTAACCTGTTACTGCACTCAAGTGACCAGATATGTCTATATGGAATGACAACTTGGGTTAAAATCCTATACATGATTCTGCAACATTACAATCGTTAAACCCGCAACTTAAACCAAATACAGACATTCCAATGTTTCAGACTAGCACTATTAAAACTATGTGATTCACATATAATACAGATTAAGTTTTCTAATTCAGCGTTCCCCGACATCCCGTTGAGCCACACAAACATGGAATCTTCTCATCTTCGATCGGGAACTTGTAATCGTACGTGATTTCTTCGTTCACATTAATGTCTCTCCGGGAATATATCACAATTTTCTTTCTATTATCTACAGTGATTACTTTAGCATAACAATTTGGCTGAAAAAAAAAAGAACAATGTTATTGTAATTTTTATCAAATTATTTGACATTTACAAGAATCAAATCTTATTCATTACTTCATCTCAATACTGATTTTAAGCGGCATATAACTCAAAAACAATGATGGTGACCCCTAAATTTGTTTAAATCAATTGGTTCCTCTAATAATGTATAGTTTAACTACCAAACAATCTTAACTATGAATACTATAAATACATTTACACACAAAACTATCGCCAAGCATGGAATTTTCAAATTTATCGTCAGGATGATGAATATCATTTCATGTTATTCTGCCCTTAATAAAGAGATATAAGATCAAAATATTTGCCTAGATATCATTGCCATCGGCAAACAATAACAAAATTTGAAACTATATAATTATCAAATTCCTGAAAAGGTGTCCAGATTTTCAGATTTTTTATTTTGCATTTAAAAGGGGAGACTTATTTAAACGTTCTTGTATTCTGACACTAACTCATAGTTTCTATCAAATGAATATGTATACCAACATTCTTCGCTAACACAAATTTTTCAACTTATGTGATTTCTATTGACCATGTTAACTGTCAATGAATAATTCTAGAAATATTGTTCAATGTTGAAAACAAATAATCTGTATTGTATTTAAAACCTTTACTGTCCTAAATAAAACAAGTGAAACGCAATCATAAAATACAAATTTTGCTTAAAAATTAAATCAATACTTACACTACAACTATGGTTAATGAATCGCGCCAAGTTTCCAGTTTTCGTGGCGTCAATGATGGTCTCGCCATCTACACGGAACATGTAACTGCTGCCAATACCGCTTGCCTCGTACTGCTTCTCGCGCAAGTCCGCAACAGACTGTCGCAGGTTTGTACCCACGTATTCTATCACCATTTCGTCCTGAGATATAGGCTCCAATGCAAAGAGACCCCAGTCGTGAATACCACTGCGTGCAAACTTTAAGGCTTTCTTTCGGAACTGAAAGGAAAATGATACAAAATTTATGAAGGGTAAAAATATGTGAAGAAATATCTAAAACAAAATGCTCTGAGATAAAAAAAAAAAACACTTAACTTTTGCTACACATAGCAAATACAGTGATGCAATGTTTAAATTTGTATAAAAACTGGCCTGGAGGTGATATATTTTTTTTTCTTCTGAGGTCTGTGTTGGATCTCAGGATTTACAATTATCAGTGCACAATCTATGCCAGATTCTGACCAAGCAAATACCTAAGGATCTGAGTTTGAACTTGAAAAATTCTTAATAACATTAGACATTCATGCTTCATCCAGCCCACAACTGACATACCCTTACATTCAAACCTATCAAAGGCAAAGACTATGGTATATATATATACATGTAATATCAAGAATCAAGTCATTTACCATTTGGTCATGCAAGTGTCAACAGACTAAAATAAACTTACCTTAAGCTGATTAAACTTGAAGAGATCACCCGAGAAATCAAACTCTTGTAACGAGACCTGAAGTCGTCTATTTTCATGCCTGAGATCACGCACCGATGCAGACGCCTTCGATGCTTTTGTGGAATCCTCCTATAATTAAAATACATTTAGTTTATTAGTATGTTTAATTACATGATTTACTTAAAACTAACACAACTCTTACTTAATAAAACATATTGTCCAGTAGACGGCACACTTATCTATTGCAAGTGCTTAAAGGTTGAGGAGCAGTGTAAAGAATACTTAGACCGAGTCAAGGGCAGTAACTCTTTGAGTTACTGGTCCTTTTGTTCAGGGATTGTTACGTAAACAAGAACCATGAAGTAATTTAAACATATGAACATTATTCTTATTTATTTAGTTTAATGTTTCCTTTTCGATATCTTTCTAGCTTCACTGACAGAGAAACACCAAGTAGCCTGTTGTGCTTAAGCAGTCATAATTTAAGAACCAGTCTCATCTCATAGAAAGTTCATTAATATGAAATAAGTTCTTATCAATCCCTTACATCTCAGTTCATTATTCTTGTAACACAATGTTAAATAAATAATTCAACATACCAGCGCTTTTGCTTTCTCAACCGCCTTTTGTTGGTTGTATGCATGCTGGAGGTACGAGGCTTTTTCTTTCATACTGATTTTATAATATCCTTCTGTTCTTGCACAACCTGATGACATGTATAAAAATACAAGAATGTAACATATTCATAACTATAAAAGGCAAGCTACTTCTCAAGGTAAGATAATTCTTACGTTCAATTCAACACTAAAAGAATCATAACTCAATTTCAAAATGTAGGATAAAACCATGGGTCCTAATCAAAATACTCCAGAGCCTTAACTTCACCGAGAGCAAAGGATTAAACTATGGTATTGATATGACTCAACTGAGCATTTCAGGACAAAATTTGTTAAAAATCTAACAAAGCCACTACTTCATTGAGAGCAAACTATGGTTTAATTTAACAGAACCATAACTTTATTGAACAGTGCCATGTAAAACTATGATTCAATTTACAGAAACATACCTTTATTTAGAGCACTTGATTAAACTATGGTTTAATTTATCAGAACCATAACTAAAGAGTGTATTATGAAATTAAGGTTCAATTTAACACACCTATAACTCAATTGAACAGTGCCAGGTAATAGTACAGTGGTTCAATTTACAGAACCATAACTCTAAAACTATGGATCATAACTACAGAGAGCAGTTGATAAAACTATGGTTTAATTTAACACAAGCAGAGACCTTGAAGATACTGTCCAATTAAGAGTATAAACGTACCTGATTTATGTTTGGACGTCAACACTTCTTGGTCCATTTTCCGCCGACGTTTAGGTGGTATTGGATCTGGAATATTTGTAAGTGGGTGATCTACCCATAAAATGTCATTCAACCAATAAAACATTGGATCATCGGTCGATAATAATTTTTCGTAACTTTGCCGCAAAAAGTTTATGTCCTCTATATCAATTCCATGACTGAATATATTATAAAACACTTGCCTCTCTTCTTCAAAAGTCCGAGGCTCAAATTTCACAATTTTCACTTCTTTTGGTTTTACCGGTTCTAACAGACCGGCCAACTCGCGACTAATTTTGTTGTCTTTTTTGTTAGTGATATCAAGCAAAGCGTCTGATTTTCGTTTCCTTCCTTTCTTTGGTTTTTCTAATTGTTCAACATTCTCATTTCTTATCAAGTCCTTGTTCTGCACTTCCTGCTTTCGTTCAATTGCACGTGCCAATTCAAGTGTATGTTCGTATTCTTTCTGCATTTCAGCAAGTATCTGAGGCGATGGCACTTGACAGTAATTGTGGTCAATCCAAATAAGGCGATGACCTTTCAATTCATCTTCCTCATCGTCCTCCTCGGCTGAAAGTGTTGCCGTGGATTCTTTATCCTCCTCGACATTCGGCATAGCATAATACGCATGCTCGCTTAAGAAACTAGGTCGATTTTCATCCCATTCTCGACGATCACTTTCACCCTGAGAAGATTGATCAGTTTCTGGTTTCCTGATTGCTGGTGCCCGTTCTACAAGTTCACGAAGTGACATAGATGCTGCCTCACTGAGTAACGATAATCCACTTAAATCTGTGGACGTGCTTTCACTATCAGTGCGTCCACTTAAATTGTCAAATAAGTTTCGATCTTGCTGATCCTTAGATAACCCAGTCTGTTGACCTTTCTTAGGTCGACCAGGCGATTTCTTTTGTGTCTTTGTCAAAGAAGAACTTTGAGTAACCTCCTCTTTTGATTGTTCAATCTCCATCTTTTCTTCACTTGTCATAGGTGTTTCTATATCCACAGGGGTATCTGATCTGGAACGTTGTTTCTGTGGGGACAGGTCCAATGCTGGTTTTACTGGTGATCTGTAAATATATAACATTGCAGTAAGATTTGCAGTCACAAAATTACATGTATCACAAGATTTATTCATATACAAAAACCAGATTTTTATCCACCCATTACCTTAGCAAATAGCAATCAGTGATCACATGTGTTACTTGATGATAGCCAATTAAGCATTTGTATTGAGCGGCTATCAGACAGTTTGCTCTCTACATGTCTCAGCTACTTTGTAGCATGTTGCAGCTACTGTGTAGCAAGGGGCACAAAAACAGTAACAGTGGCAGCATGGCAGAGTGATTAAGACGTCCCCGACTAGTATTCTCAGGTTTGCTGGCCTTTTGAAACCCAGTCAGGGGCAAGTCATTGTTTCAGTGAGCAAGAAACTTTACAGTCAATACTTAATACTGGTTGGTTCCAGAAACAGATTCAAGACTGTTCCAAACAATCAAACTAAAATAAAATTATATAAACGAAGTATACCAACTAAAAAGATATGACCTTGAAAATCGATACAGTTTAGAACTTTTCGATGGTTTAATATTCTCAGAAAAGAAAATTCCAACTCATACTTCTCTCTTTCCACATCCATCGGCTCTTCCTCTGTATTTGTTCTGTCTATCTCTGCCTCTGACTGAGTACTAACTTCTCCCTCTTCTTTTTCTGATTCTTCTTTCTTCTCATCATCCTCATCTTCGGAGGCTGATGCCTCTGATGATGACGATGATGATGTGGTAGTGACCTTTACCTCCGCCTCTTCATCACTGAAAATATTTGTTACACCGTTTAAATATCATACTACATTTGTTTGTTTGTTTAGAACACAAGGTTTGCGGTATTTACTGAACTTTGAACTAGTAATAACCATGCATTGATAGAACTTCTCGGTAAAAATCAATTATAGCCTTTTTTTTAGGGGTGTCACATTTATCCGTTTAACAGTACGGTTGGTTTATAGTTAAAAACCAGTTAGGAAATTCAATAACCAGAAACAGAGTTTAATATTAAAATAAGATAAGACATTTTTTTGTATTTTTGTTTAACTCAACAATGTTTTTTTTCTAATCTGAGCGAGTACGGCATGACCCTAACGGAAAATAGTTACTCTATATTCAGATTTGTATTGTAATCATTTTAAATGCAACGAAATACGAACAAAATCTTATATTTTGTATTGGAAAAGTTATGTTGAACATCAAAGGATTCTATTAGTATGGTCATTTAAATGTTTAACACGGTTATTAGGTTGCCATTTAAACGGATATAGAGGATATTGAATGAGTGTAAGTTCAATACTGAATTTATTGCACGAGTTGAATAAAATTATATTATGCGAGCCTCTGGCGAGCATAATATTATTTTATTCAACGAGTGCAATAAATTCAGTAATGAACTTACACGAATTTAATATTCTATTTATCACATACTCAAAATTAAAACCGTTTAAAGTGAAATAAGAATCATTTTTCATTGACGCGCCTATAGTATAACGCTAACATTTAGCGCGTCTTTACACTATGTTTGTATAACGCTAATGACGTCATGTCAAAATATATGCACGGCCGTGCAATACCATTTTTACGGAGTCGCAAAATCGGCACGGGTATGTGATAAAGCACTTTTTCTAACCATGACACTAGAAATAACCATGCATTGATAGGACTTCTCTGTTATAATCAATTGCACTTTAAGTGGAAATCAAACTGTTATAGACTTAAGAAGACAAAACAAAGATACCAGTGACGCCCATGGATGAGGCTCCATGGTATCACTTTGAAAATGCTAAAATCATATTTTTATTGTGCAGGGTTTCTACTAGGAATTTTTATTTAAGAGTCCCAGGAAATCATGCTCATAAAATATGAGGGTCCCAGAGAAAAATATGAGGGTCCTAATCATTTATTACTTTAAAGTAAGGTATTACTTATATCACGGATTTATATTACAATATTAAATCCGTGCTTATATATATTGTCTAGGTTTAATTCTTTACATTTCTATACATTGTTCAACTACATATGCATTTTTATTGACCTTGTTAAATAAAATAAACAAGATTGCATTTGAGAAAAATGCTATGCCACCGCATTAATACAACACTAAATAGTAGTGTAGGAACAGATATTTTTTGTTTCTATACAATTGAAGATTGTCATAATGCATAGATCCCTGACCTATCTAATTCTTATCATCAGATTAGTGGTTGAATCTATTGTTAATCCCATAAAAGATCAGAGTAGGAATATATCAATGCACTTGAGTCTGGTGAATTTGTACATATAGTGAAAATCAATGACCCCCGGGGCAGGGCCGATTTTGACCCCAGGGCTATAATTTGAACAATCTTGGTAGAGGTCTACCAGACAATGCCTTATGCAAAATATCTAAGCTCTAGGCCTTTTGGGTCTTTACAAGAAGATTTTTTAAATTTATTCTTATAATTCCTTTTGGTTGCCATGGCAACCAGATTTCTGCATGGAATGAAATTCTTTGAACAACTTTGGAAGCCCTTCACCCAAGGATCAATCCTGCCAAGTTTGGTTAAAATTGGACCAGTGGTTTTTCACAAGAAGATTTTTGAAGTTCACTATATAATCTATATAACACACACACACACACACACAGGTGAATCGCTATATGCCACCGCATCGCAGATGCTGCGGTGGCATAAAAATATAAACCATTTATTATTTATTGTTACTTTTTATTTTTTCATTTCTTTCATTTGGCTGAATGTTTGTGCAACTTGCATAAAGTCAAGATCTTTCACATCTGGTCCGACTAATTTTATCAATTGTTTTACTGCATATACGTCTTGATGACGAACAAATGTATCTACTATTTTGGAAGTTCAAACATCCATTTTCCGAGGCAAATGGATTACATTTTTTGGTTGAGACGCAATGGCTGCATTTCATATCCGTGGTCGTCTCGTTTTGGACGAGCCACGGGTAAGTTAACTTAGCCACTTTTCATTAAAACTTTCTTTGGGGGAGCAGCTGACATGTTTTACGATTTATTTTATAACAAAAAACGCATAGACTGGGACGCTTTTTTAAGGTCGACTAAATTCTAGTCTGCGCCGTTTTATTCCGTATTAAACTGTAATTAATTGAAAGAAAGATAACTCTGCTGTATTCAATATTAGAACCCGTCTACCAAATTACGTCATTTCCTTTAAAGAAGCGGAAGGAATTTCCAAATGATATTTACGGAGGAAAATTTAATTTGCGTTCCCATGGACGCACACTTAGAGTAATTGAGGGTCCTAGGTTACTATTTTTGCATCAAGGACGCAGGAAATGTGCGTCAATAGAAACCCTGATTGTGTAGAAAAGTAGAAAACTCTTATCTTAAATCTCAAAGATATTGGCATCAATTCATCAATCTGTGACCTTTATCATCACCAAATCAACTGTAAAACCCACAAAAGGAAAGAGGTCAAAGGCAGGCACTAACACAGAAGTTGTCTATGATATTAGTAAATGTTTGTTGGGTTTTAAGTCGCAACAGCACTGTCAATGTCATATGGCACCTCCTCAGCTTTACTGGTGATGTTTTTATTTGTTTTTCTTTGTTTGGTTTTATGTCCCACCAACACAGTATAGGTCATATGGTGACTTTCCAGCTTAACTGGTGGAGGAAGACCTTGGGTGCCTTTCCATGCATTATTTTAGGCACATACTGTCACCTTTGTAGGACAACCAACAAAAGATAGATTCCTCATATAAAAGAATCCAGTCTGTGTCGAGATTTGAATCAACAGCGATGAGGGGCAAGTGGTTTGAAGTCAACAACCTTAACCACATGGCCACTGACGCTCCTTACTGATTAAAAGAGGACCTCATGTGCCACTTCATACACCATTGCATTACACACACAAATTCCCAAAAATCTCCAAGCCAATCCTTAGAATTTACTCAAAGAACAATCACATACCTATCATCACTTTTATCCGACTTTGCATTGTCTTTATCTGCTTCCCCATCAGAAGATTCTGCTTCAGAACTAGATGATGATGATGCTGCCTCTGAACTGCTATCACTTCCTTCCTCATCATCATCATCATCGTCATCATCATCATCGCTACCAGATGATGATGATGCTGCAGATGATGACTCTGCATCACTAGATGATGAACCAGCTGCCTTCGATGATGCTTCACCTGTCATATCAATAACATCATTATCATCATCATAAGCATTAGCTCAATTATCTTCTTCTTTTTTTATTTTTAAATTTTAATGCTGTTTATTTAACAAATAGGCTGAGATCATTTTCCAATGTATATTCAATATCAATGGATAAAACTGATCAAAAGATGTTTAAAAAACATGATTTGCCCTCCAAATCGCAACCAATACATCAACTTTATTTTTTTTTTAAATAAATTTTTTACGAATATCATCAATAAAATTGATATTCTACCATCCCTAAGGGTAACATACTATCGTTGCCCTGAACTTGTATTATAAAATAAAATATAAAAACAGGAAAATTACTCAAAACTCTCAAGGCTGTCCAGATTTTCATCCTATTGCTAAAATAATTTTCCCCTTCTACCATTGACACAGAATAATAATATTTGTCATATGTTGCGGTTCAGACCGGAATATCTGTCCCGAGGGGACCCACCCATAGACGGGTTCCTGAGGGACGGATATTCTGGTCCGAACCGCAAACATATGTCAGATATTTTTTCTTGCATACTCTGCCATATTATTTCATATTTAAAATGGTTTACCTCAATATGATATGGAAATTAAAGTCATTTCATCCATAACTATTTTCTTACAATAGCGTATGAACTAACAACTTAAATAACAACAGCGAAATGACGTCATCCTAAGCAAAAGTTCCCGTCTAAAACGATGTCATTTTAACATGGTGCATTCATAGTGCGCTAAAATGACGTTGTTGATTGGCACCCAACTCATCTGGCACTCTCCATGCTCGATGAAATTTTCGGCATGGGTAAGACTCACGGAAACACCAGTTTGCTATGCAAGAAAGACATATCTTATAGCACTAAGAAGAGAATATGCTATTATATTACACAAAACTGTAATGCCACAAAAAAACATTTTTGGTTGTGTTACCTTCAGATTCTTCAGCCTCAGATTCACTGCTGCTAGAGACGGCTGCTCTTTTCTTTTCTCCAGTGTCATCATCGTCTTTTTCTGAAATAAATCATTCGTGGTACACTTGTCACAGTAAGGTTTAGCGACATGGAAATACAGTCGAGACTGTCATATGCAACTTTCCAAGGGATCTTCAGAAAAAGGTCACATATGACAAGGGAAAATTAAATTTAAATACCATCTATCTGTCTATATACCATTGTGACTTAACATACATAACTGTGTGAAGGAATAATACCTAACCAATTGCAAATAAACATGGGTATTTGTAAATTTTTTTCTGTAAATAAAATAAGAATTCATGTAAAACAAATATATATTAGCATGTATATCACATAAAATTTAATTTTATTTTTTGTATTAAGATTTAAATTGAATCTTTATGGTATAAATTAACTGGAACATATCCATATCCAAAATTTTTTTCTGGTTTGGTATCAATATTTTTTCCGTAAATTATGCAGCCATAGAAAGGTAAATTAAAAAAATGCTGCCTAAAATATCTTCCGCTGGCACTCTATAATAAAAAAAAAATCTGACACAAGCTTAATCCAGTTTACTCAGGTCATTATGTACATTACACACACATCGATTGCATCATGCTTCCCATGAACAGACGCTTAGTGACGTCACTCGATGCCTGTGTGTAATTGAGACAGAGGTGTGTAGACTTTGTTTGCTACTGGATTATAATTGGACTTAATTATTTTGGCCCTCTGGGTGTTAAAAAAGGTATTATTTATCTGATTAACGGACAATTAAAAGGTGTGAAAAAAGTGTGCAAAACATTGCATTGGGACCAGACAATTAGGGTCGCTTGTCACATATGACAGGGAGTCGTTTAATTTAGACCATTTATATAGGAAAATGCGTTGGGAGTACTGGAACAAGGTCGGATAAGACAGGGAGTCGTTTAAATCAGGGGGTCGCTAAGGCAGTCTCGACTGTATTGGCAAATTTCGCAAAAAAGAAAATCGCTAAAACTTTCTCTACAGTTAATATCACCCAACCTGTTTTCAATTTTCAAGCTACTCTGAGATTGGTGATTCCATTATATTTCCATATGCGAATAGTCTGAAGTTTTAAATTCGCCAACTTTCAGACATGTGGGAATATCCACTTATACATTTACGTCATTTATATTAGTAATCAATCATTCATTACACTGCGCATTGTATAAATCATTTTAGTATGTTTAAACCAACTGACTAGTTACATTGTAATCTGAGAGAAGATACATTCTCCACTAACTTATGAAAGGAGGCCCCAACTTTTTTCACATGACTTATAAAGAGGAGGTATTTGTATATGAGCCACGTCAAGACAAAACCAACATAGTGCGTTTGCGACCAGCATGGATCCAGACCAGCCTGCGCTTCCGCCCAGTCTGATCAGAATCCATGCTGTTCGCTTACCAATTCTATAACAAGTAGAGAAACTGATAGGGAACAGCATGGATCCTGATCAGACTACAGGGATGCGCAGGCTGGTCTGGATCCATGCTGGTCGCAAACCCATTATGTTTGTTTTGTCATGGCGCGGCTCATATAGTAATACAAATATAGAAATCATCTTATTTTTATGCAAAAAATCTGTATAAGGAAAAGTAGAAAACCCTTGTATTTGAGCCTCAATGATATTGACAAAAACTGACCTCAAATCCCATCCACGAGGCAAAAGCTCAAAAAAGGGTAATAATTCTGTCAAAATCTTTGTAAGACATATGGGCCTTAGAAATGGTCCTATTATGCTTTCAAGTAAGTGTGAAGTTTCAACCCATTGTCTTTAATAGTTTTGGAGATACCAACTTGAATGCATATCTTAACCCTGTCCACAATGCCTTTGCTGACATCGATGCCATGGCAAGTACAATAATTCTCCCTATTCTTCAAATAGTCCAGCTATAATAATAAAAAGATTGTATACCAGACTCAGATTCCGTTGTTCTCTTTTCCTGCGTCTTTTGCTTTTCCTCCCGTTCTCTTCGTTTCTTTTCCCTTCTCTCCTTTCTTTCTTTCTCCCTCCGTTCACGTCGCTCTTCTCTCTCAATCTCCTCAGGTGACTTCTGTATGACTTTTTTCTGATGTATAAAAATCAAAATCATAATTTTCATATCTCTGTACCTAGACTGTTAGCTGGTGGTACAACTTTTGTGAATTCTTTTGTTCTCATTAAATCCAAAAATGTAATTGTGATCATGCGGACAAAAAAGAACCAACAACGGATGGACAGCTATCAATCCTTAAAGCTTTTAAAAGTACAACATGTGACAGTCAGTTTAACAGTATTCTGACAAAGTATAATGACGATCCAGATAACGATATGACCACTAACACTAACAGGTGAATTGTTGATGACTGACAACAGACATCAATCTTGGTTTATACAGGATTTGTTTAAGTTTGATCATGTAGGAAGCAATATCTTAAATTTGTTCCTGGAACCAACCAGTTCTGAGCAATGAGTGTAAAGTTTCTTGCCCAAAGTAAAACATTGGCTCCGGACAGTGATCCTTAGATTACTGGTCCGACAAGATAACCACTTGATTCTTGAAAGAGCACACTTTTAGTGAGGGATTAAAATGTCTTCCCTACCAGGGTTTTTTTCCAGGATTTTGGGACCATGACCCATACCCATGGAATTGGGAATTTCAGCCATGTTTTGTTAAAATTTGGGAAAAATTGCATGACTTAAATTTTGCAGTGATTAAATGAATGCAAAGAATAACTGTCTAGGAAGGCATCTTCAAACTATTAACAGTGAAGAAGTCCTTATTTTCCAAGATTTTAGAATTTGTTATTAAATATTTTTATTTTGTAACTTTCAAATGGGAATTTTTCCTGTGGATTGGGAAAATAATATACTATTTTCGATTGGGAATATGACCGAATATCGGCTATAAAATAAGGCAAAAAAAATCCCTGCCTACTTTTGCTTTATGTAAGCTTACTTTTGCCCACCGCAAGATTTCTGATTTTGATCTTAATTCTTAGCTTCAGAAGCAGTGAAGAACCCTGGAAGTTAAGAGCCCAGAAAGTTTCTTTCTTCCTACCACCCATAAGACATGAGAAATAAGAAGCAAAAACATACCTTAAAAGATGGAAGTCTTGGCATTCCGGTTCTGATACCAAGCAGTCCTCCCATGCCACCCATTGGACTCTCCCCCATACCACCGTATGCAGCTGCAATATCAAACTGACCATCTTTACTCCACGGGTGTCGCGCTCGTTCTGGCTGAGCAAAAAGACCAACCAGAGATGAACTCACTTCAGCTTTGGCCACAACCGAAGCTGGTTTCTCTTCCGGTTTTGACTTACCAACCACTGTAGGCTTATTTGACTGAAAATGTTATCATCATTATTAATAAGACAAGCAGAAAAAGCACAATATAAATCAACAAAATAGCCAAAAACACAAAAGGTATTGTTACTAACACAAGATGTTCACTAGCCATGAAATCCTGAGGGTCATTTTGACTAGGTTTTACCGACCACATGGCCAAATCCCCATGATTTTAACAAACTTTGACCCTCCAGTTAAAATCCTGAGGGTCAAATCAGGGCTTTTGGAAATTTCAAAGAGTCATTTCAAGGGTCAAACAGACACCCTGTTACACATAAGTTAAAAAAAATTTTGGGATTGGAGATTAGAATGAGAAAAGAGTAATGTTTAATTTCTGATATACAGTATCTTGGTTTTTTGCAAGCATGACCAAGGTAGAAAGAATTGTAAATCCTGTTTTTCTATGAAAGAACCAGGTTTGTTTTAAGCTTTAAATATTACCCCTATTGAGAAGAGAAGTGATTAGCTGCCGCTTTCAAATTTGCAACTAGTAAATTGAATTTTCATCTTTAATATTAAGATCGACTTGTTCAACTTTCATTTTTGGAACAATCCACTATTAATTTTGGGATAATCAACATTTAAATTTGAAACTGATCTGCCAATAGTACAGACTGCACATGTGTAGGCTGACCTGGCAGGCTAATCAATTTCTGTTACCACAGACCATGGCTTAATGAATAAATAGAAAAATTATTTTTGTGCTTGACTTCATAAAACATATAAAGAAATGATTATGAGCCAACTAACTAAGGAAGTACATGTATAAGAACCACACCAACCTTGGTCTTCGTCTCTTCATTATCCCACCAGTCTTCATAAGACTTAAAAGCCGACGTCTCCACCATTTTCTTACATAAATCTTTTGTCATAATTTCTTTCAATTCATTAACAAAATCTTCGAGCACTTTTTCAAACGTCACTTCATGTTTATCCGCCTCTTCTTTTGGGTCTTTTGGGAGTTGCACAGATTCAAATCTTTGATTATTCAATTCATTATTAAACTGATTGACAAAGTTTTGGTTATATTGTCCACCAGGGTAGTTATTCATGTAACCCTGTATGTAATTACTGCTAAGATCATTCTGTTGCTGCCAATTTTGAACCTGTGCTGTTGAACTCGACATTTGCGATGGTATCAATGGTGGAGGCGGTACCGATGTGTCGGCTGGATTCAATTCAATTGCGCCTGGTACTCCGGTGCTTCCGGTTGAATCTAAACTCATACGATCATCGTCGTCCTGCATCTGCTGCCCGGGTATTGGAATGTCGCTGTACACGTTACCATTTGGAACCATCATCTGTGGGTTGGGGTCGTACATCTGAGGATTTGGCACGTTTTGTGGAGATTGATTATACATGTCTGGTGGGGGTGCTTTAGCCAATGGCGGAGTTTTCGGTCTTTCCGGTTCTGGACTCTTAAAACCAGATAACAGACTCTGGATACGTGAATCAAGACTCATACTTCTAGTATCTTCTTCTTCCTTTTCTTTTGTTGGAGGCTGCAGTGGAATCTGAGGAGGAGGACTGACAACCGGTGGTTGCTTTGGGGCAGGGGGTGTGAATACTGGTGCTGGGGGAAGTACCTCCTCCTGAGGTGGGGGAGGCGGAAAAGCTGGACCTTGGTCAGCAGACTTGTTTCTATAATTTGGTATGGACGGCGGCTCTTCTCTCTGTTCTCTATAATCGGTTCTATTTCTATCCCGATCTCGAGAATCTCTACTATCTCTATGCCTATTTCTGTCTCTTTCCCTCCCAAAATCGTCGCGTTCATTTTTATAATCAGTACGATCATTTTTCCAATCCCGACGATTTCTATCCCTGTCTCTGCCATGTCGGTCCCTATTCCAGTCACTATTTTTGCGTCTGTTATACTCATTGTCTTTATTTCTATCTCTATTGTCTCTATTATAGCTGTTGTAACTATCTCGTCGGTCTCTGTTATTATAACTATCTCTTCGATCACGATTATGAAAATTTCTCCCCCTACTCCTGTTATTATTATCATTCACATTCGGGAAGTCATTCTTCATGTCGTTCGTGGCAAATGGCATGGGAGTTTGAGGGGTAGATGGAGTAGGTTGTAGACCACTATCAAAACTCATCGGGGTTCCTCCATAACTACTATTGCCACTTGGCGTGGTTCCAAAACTTCCAGGAGTGTTCCCAAAATTACTACCTTGAGCATTCCCATATGCAGAACCTCCTTTACCAAACTGACCTCTATTCCCATAACTACTATTCACTCCGAATCCTGTATTATACTGATTGTTGGTATTATTAAACTGCTGACTTCCACTAGCATTGTTGCCACGGTAACTGCCTGATCCAGGCGTTGTCATGTAACCCTGATCAGTATGATTTGTAGAGTAGCTATAATCTGAAGGTGTTTGCTCCATATTATTCTGCATGAATGTATTCCCACGATGATTTAACCCGAGTCCACCTGGGTCTATCAATGCATTAGAGTTAAATGGAGGCACTGTATTTTGATTGATTGGGTCATGATCTATTCGTAAAGCAGCGTTCAAGTCAACCGGAAGACCGGTCCTAGGGTCGGTTTTAGGTGAAGGTGGTTTAGGCTTATTCTCTAAGATGTTGTCCAATATCTTCTGTCTTTCTGTACCTGAAACATAAAATTACCAGATATACTAGTATAATATATTTATCAATAAAGTTACAATTCTTTTTTTTTTTGGGGGGGGGGGGGGGGGGGAGGTTTACATCACATCGACACAGTATAGGTCATAATATCGCGACATGCCAGCTTTACTGGTGGAGAAAGACCTCAGGTGCCCTTCCGTGCATTATTTCAGGCACCTGAGTAGAACCACCGACGTTCCGTAAGCTAGCTGGATAGCTTCCTCACATGAAAGAATCCAAAGTCCCTGTCGAGATTCGAACCCACAGCGGTGAGGGGCAAGTGGTTTGAAGTCAACGACCTTAACCACTCGGCCATGGACGCCCCTAAGTTACAATTCAAATAACCAAAAGCTACTATGGAACATCTACTGCAGTTCATAACATCAATATTAGCTCGGTCTGTAAAGAATGCTGTCTGATCATCCAATTCAGTCGGCAAAATCTTCACATTGCAGTTCAAATCAAACAGTGTTTTATGTGTATTTTTAGCAGGGAAAGGGATAATTACAAAAATTATCAATCACTATCATATTCTCTCAACCCAAGTTCATGGGTTTGAGTACTGCTGGGGATAAAATGTTTTCTCATAAGACACCAGCACTGCTTAGTTTCAACAAGTGGACTAAAGAGTGACTCAAGTAACAAAAACAAGCTATTTTAAAAGCTTTCTTCACAATCAAGCATAAATAAATGATGTTGAAATGAAAATGAACTTACATGTAGTCTATGGCTTAAATATGCATAGCTTAGTAAGTATTTCAATATATCAGTCTTACCTAACTGATCTACAAATACATTCATTATGTTTCCCATCTTTGATGTTTGATCAAGTTTCAGAGCACAAGCTTTGGCTGCTTTCGAAGAAGTAAATACAACCTGTGAGAAACAATACATATCTGTTAGACTTAAAAAGTCATGCAAACATGGTAAAACTGCAAGAAAAATTATTATTTTTATTTTGTTTGGGTGTAATGCCAGTTTAACAGTACTGTACTTAGTGATAAGTCAAATATTAGTAATAAACTACATGTATTCCAGTGCATTATGGGTTATATCATCAAACTCAGCTACAACCCAATATTGGTGAAAATAGACTTCAATACAAAATGAAGTACCTTGGCATTTTTATTAAAAGAAACAAATGACTATTCACATAAAATTTGTATAAAAAAATAGCTTAAAAATAAAATTATAAATACAATGATACCATTTAAATTACAGTATAGCATTCCTGTTACAATTTTTACATTATACGCAGTACATATTATTAAGCTGAAACAATGATTAAGCAGCCCCTGAGAGATGCACACAAAGTTTATAAAAACAACAGGAGCGATCAGTAATCACATGTGTCGCCTCATGATGGCCAATTTCATGTTGGGACAAATTTTGTGACAGACAGACAGACAGACGGACAGTGCACAACTAGACTTGGTACTGATCATTCCTGTAAAGTTTGGATAAAATTGCACCAGTAGTTTATGAGGAGTAGTCCAAACAAGCTTTTGCGTATCTGGCAACACACAGAAAAAAAGACCTTTTTATCAAAGGGCCATAACTCGGCCAAAAATCATTCAACCGGAAAACCCGTGTAATATGCGCAAGGACTTGAGCTACAGATCAATCCTGTAAAGTTTCATTGAAATTGCATTAGTGGTATAAGAGAAGTAGTTCGGACAAACTTTAAAAATAAAAATTATCAAAGGGCCATAACTCTGACAAAAATCATTGAACCGGAAAATGCTGACAATATGCACAACTAGACTTGGTACTGATCATTCCTGTAAAGTTTGGATGAAATTGCACCAGTAGTTTATGAGCAGTAGTCCGGACAAGTTTTGTGACGGACGGACGGACAGACAGACAGACAGACGGACAACGGAGAAGTGATCCCTTTATGTCGCCACTACTCCGTAGAGGCAACACAAAAATGACTGACTGGATTACCTAGAATGATCTGGTAATATTACTTTAAGAGGAAAAGCTTTAAGCATTTCAAATTTTGAATGAGTCCCCTTAAGAATCAAATGATTTCATATAAGAAATTACAGTTTCAGTTTGCTACATGTGACAAAAATGTAGCAATGAGAAGACCAGCGGTGAAGCCTGACAACAAATCAACCCCTATATTAATACCTCATCCAAATGCTTGGATTATGGTGAACTTTCAAAAGCGTAAGCAACAACAAATAATACATAAATTTACCTTTCCAATACCCATATGCTTCTTTGTTTTTGGGTTAAAGTATATTTTAACTTCTTCCATTTTCCCAAATGGGTCACACATCTTCTCCAGGAATTCTCTACTGATGTTATCATTCAGATTTGTGAACGTCACCTCATTTGGCGGGGGCATTCCGATGTAATGCTCGTCAAACTACAATTAATTGATATAGAAAATAAATCCTGATTAAATACACTTAACTTGTACTTATCAAAATACAGATCTATCTGAGCTACCCAATTTGTTTTAATAAAAGTTATTTTGTTATTTCTTCTTTTTTACACCAATTTTAATACTATGTTTTTGGCCACATCTAAACAGCTGATCTACCTAAGCAGCTTTCCTGGATAACTAACCAGCATTGAATAACCAATTTCTTTGCAAGTGACCGACAACTTATTTTCATTTGAGAATTACACATGTAATCTGCTAAAGTCAAGTCATATTATAGCAAGCCAGCAAACACAGACGTTGAATGCAAATGCAATACTTTATCATTAATTCTGATTCATCGATAGGAAAGCACCAGGCTTCACATTAACACCCACATTTTTATATCCAACCAAATTCCTATCAGCATCAACCTTACTTATTTCTAGCATGACTACAAAAACTAGCAGATTCCCTCATGCATTAGCAAATATTCATTGTTTACTAATTCATTTTGTCTTGCCCAACTTGCATGTAAATCTTAATATACATGTATTTATTTTTTGCAGCAGTAGCATGAATGACATTTTAAGCATTTTGAAAAGTTATTATGACTTTTACAAGAAACAAAACTTAATTATGATTAAATAAAAAACTAACCAAGAATTTTGGGACTGGTAGGTCAGCTGGTATTCTTTTACTCCAGAATCTTAAATACCGAGGTCTTGGATCCTTCACAGATATCAATGTGTTATCCTGCAAATAAGTAAGTAAATGTATAAATACTACCGATCGATACAAAATCCAACAATATAGACAGTGTGGAAACTCAATTCCATTAAAAAAATCATTATTGTCAGAGGACCATATTTGCCACAGTGCTATCTTTTACAGGTCCTGCAAAATCTAATTAGAACTTACTAGTCTGTTTTACCTGAAGCACTCCTTCACTTGCCTGTACAGGGCTCGACAAATCCACTCGTCTGCTAGTAAATACGAGTACGAAAATTTGTCTGTAACTCTGTTCAAAAAATATTTTAAAATGTCACAATGGGATAATTGGCACAGGTTTGCCCAGGGAGGAGAATGTTAAACAGTGTCTTCAAAAATGAAAAATGAGCCAGAACACGTAAGAAATCTATATTTTTTAAGCATTGTTGTTGTTGTTTTTCGTTTTTCTTTATCTGATACGGACATTGTTGAAAGGTAAGTTATTTTTATTTGAAATATCTATCTGTTTACCAGAATGGAAGATCATATGTAGTTATAAATGTGATCTCCCTTTTCTATCCATTCTGTACAGTCTTGTCCAATCTATCATATAGTCTTTGGAGTGGGTGGGGGTGCAATATAAAACTGCCTAGGCTAGGGAGAGCTATTGCCAATTCTTTTTTTAAAATTCATGCGCTTTAATGGTCAGCTTTTTTAATCTACTGTGTGATCTTTAGTGAACTATAGGACAAGTACATATTGCAGCAGGACAAGTAAAAATTCTAAACTACTCGCCCTGCAGGACTAGTTGCTCCCAAAAATTTGTTGAGCCCTGCTGTATGATATTACTTCAATATATTTGTCCTTATTATGCTGATTGACATTACTATAGAATTTTATAGTAAAATAAACCAAAAGTCTCTATGATGATGTGTTCATTATTTTCTTTAAATACTATATTACTATTCATGCCTCATATTTCTGTCACCTATTATTCCAAGGTATTCGGCATAAACAGTCTCTAGTGCCTCCTAGACTTTAGGAGTATACTTTCACTATCTTATTGTATTTTCATCACTTTCATCATTCAGGTGAAGATTTAAAAAATTTATTTCTCCATTTTACCTTTCAGGCCTCGAAGAATTTTCTAGGGTCACTCGCCCTATAAATTTACTCGCCCTTCACAAAATGTACTTGCCCTGCATTTTGACGGACAAAAATAGTTAAAATCAAAAACACATGACACAAATTTAATATTAAAGTTTTATACTTAGCCATGAGGTATGTCAAACATGTATACTGATTAATCCCTTCAGTATGAAATACTATATAAAAACAAGAATCTGTGTTTGATAAACATAAATGCCCCCGCGCTCACTGTTGTCAATAATTTAACTTTAGAGAGTGAAGCAGCTAATTTGTATGGAAGACAAGATTCTACTTTGTTTACATTTTGCCACTTTTATGACTATTATTTCATATTAGGCGCTACTTTCTTTCTTTCCCTAACTCCATCCAAAGGAAGAATATCATGCAACTTATTTTCCTACCAAATATGAAATAAATCTGTCAATATATAAAGGCAGTATGGGCTAAAGTGTAAAAATCTATTTTTAGCACTGTTGACCTTGACCCAACTGACCCCTAACTCCATCCAAAGGAAGAATACCATGTAAGTTATCTTCCTACCAATTATAATACAAATCTGTCAATAAATAAAGGCTGTATGAGCAAAAGTGTAAAAATTTATTTTTAGCACAGGTGACCTTGACTCAACTGACCCCTAACTCCATCCAAAGGAAGAATACCATGTAAGTTATCTTTCTACCAATTATAATACAAATCTGTCAATAAATAAAGGCTGTATGAGCAAAAGTGTAAAAATTTATTTTTAGCACAGGTGACCTTGACTCAACTGACCCCTACCTCCATCCAAATGAGAATACCTCAATTTTATGTTCCTACAAAATATGCAAGACATCTGTCGATAGAATAAGGTTAATATACACCTGTAAAAGTGTAAAAAAATCTATTTTTGACATTGGTGACCTTGACCCAAATGACCCCTTACTAAAGGAAAAGGAAGAGGATCTCCCTTGGTATGACTATTATAAACATGAAAGACATTAACTTAAAAATAAAGGCTGTATGAGCAGAAATGTTTAGATTTATTTTTTTACACAAGTGACCTTGACCTAGAGACGCCTAACGCCACAAAAAAATTAGAGGACCGTTAAAGGTATCCACCTACCAAATATGAAAGATATCACTAAATAACTTAAGTAATTAGGTGAAATTTTTTGATAAATCCAACTTGGCGGAATAGATTAACCATACAAGGCCCTATTTTCACAGTGATAAAAAGGGAAATTACTGGGAAAATGGATGGCACATTTATATAACTTGGCAATATCATGTACATTGTATTGATAAGTAAGTGTGAAAATTATTAAGCCATTAGTTCAGATAGAACATAAGATATTTCCAACTTGCCAGTTTAGGTTAACCATTATTCATTTTCTAAGTGCTGAAAAGGGCCATAACTTGGTGCAAATGGAAGCCATAGTTATGTAACTTGCCCAGATCATATACTTTGTATGGATTAGTAAGTGTGTAAATTATGAAGCCATTGGTACAGGTAGAACTTAAGAAAAATCCAACTTGCCGTTCTAGGTTAACCTTGTACGGACAGACGGACGGAGGGTTCAATATACCGAAAAACACTTTCAGAACTAGCAGACGACAGGCTATTCTTATCAGTAGTATTTCGAGTAAAGATAACGGGTTGCGTATCTCACTGTATAAATCGTATGTAAAATGTATAAATCGTATGTAAAATGGTCTGACATATGGTAGGTTTAACAGTTAATTTAAATACTTTGGAGTCAAAAGATGTGTTGAAGTTTATACTGTGATGAAGCTAAGATCCAAAGCTTTCTATTGGTGTAATACATTTTAAAATCGGACATTTAATCAAAACAAACTATCGGTTTAAAAATGGCTTATTTTGTATTGTTTTAGCATAAGCAGTATCGATTTTACTCAAAGATAAGGGAAGCAACTCGTATTTTTCACTCGATATACCTCGGTTATTTACGTAATCATATTGAAAGTGTTTATGGGTGTATTACTATATGCCCGGGGGCATAAAAAGTAGCCGAAACAACTAGGAGGTGAAAAGACCAAGAAGAAAAAACTTTTGATCATCAAACGCTAAAAATGTCATATACTTTCAGTTCTGTAATAGTAAAGTTTTCATGATACTCAATAAAATCTTCAATAAGAAACACAAGTTGACATATTCATTTTTGTTTTATGTTAGGATGGTCCCCTATGGTACCACTGTTCTTATTATTTCCAGCAAATTGTACAAATAAAAAGATCTTATATTTACTATTTTATTGAATTGTGTTTAGCTCTCGCATCTTGACTTTAAAATACACATGTCAGTCATAGAATAACTCAATGATTTTAATTAGAAACATCTATGGTCGGTCAGCCATGTTTAGAACGGGAGCTTATACGGAGAGCACTATGGTACCGTGGTATGTTAATTGATGGCCCTTTTTGGCTTCAGTATAATTGTTTGTAACAGAATTTACTGTCACTACAGTTTCAGCAGACAACCTTTGTCTGTCTGAACATGAAATTATAAGTTTAATCGTTAAATATGGGGTAAAATAAAGGAAGTTTTTTCAGCACACACAGGCAGCTTTCGATTTTCCTATCAATGACAGAATTTATTTGAAATGAAAAAAATTCTAACAATTTCTATCCAAATTCACAAAAAGCAGCACTGCCACTTTCACTTTAATGGTGGAAATAGTATTTGGTGGCATTCAATCATCAATCAATGTGTAAAGACACAAATTTTCGGATTACATCGGAATGGTCAAGGACGCGGTACCCGCGGGGAGTACTATATTTGTTTTAAAAATGCTGTGTGGCTAGCCTCAACAGTGCGTATAGGCTTGTTGTACGTGACTCACATACAGCTAGACCTTTTTGACTAGCAATAAGGGCCCGTACTGCTAGCCACTGCCTTTTATTTATCATATTATTTGATATTTCGCGATAAAACTTACAGCAGGGTCAATTCCATCAAATCTGTAGATTTTCTGACCGCCACGGTGAATCATTGGGTCTATCACCAGCTTGTAGTTGTGTGGCCGCTTCTGTTGGGCATCTTGTTTGGCACCCATCCCGTTAGAATCTGAAAATAAACCAAAGAAACCATGTAAGCAGCCAAAACATTTCATACTAAACGTGTTCACTTCAACTAAAATGTAAATAAACAATGCTTACTATTTGGGTACATTTTCTTTTTCGATTTTCGTTGCAGCCACAACACTTACAGACGTTTTATCTGACTTGTATTTTAGATAAGTTACTCAAGAAAATATTTAACTAAATGACAATAGTCATGCATTCTTAACAGATATAGAAAGCCGAATTGAGTGAAGATTTTAGCCAAAAAAATTCACAAAACTCTGCTTTCGAGTCTATCCCAAGATGCAATGCTATTTTAAGCAGAGCTGGCAAAAAGACAATTTATTTAGTTTCGCATTTTATCTATTTTGTTCGCAATTTGAATATCTTGGGACAGTATTTGAAAATATAATGCTAAAAATAGTTAAAAACATATTTATTGATTAATATCACTATAAATTTCATAAAAGATAGATTATTTTGTAACAAGTATTTATGAACGTAAGGAGCGTTTTGATTGGATGTCATCGCGGAATTCCAATATTTTGTTTCCAATCAAAAGTTATGATACAAAATGTAAACATTTTGACAGAAGCTCACGGATTGCACGTGTTTTTAAGAACTTTCAACACTTGAACGATCGTTAGTGACCAGGAACTGAACAGGGACTACATCGGACGAAGGAAATGAAGGCGAAAACCTTCATCCAAAATTTGAGCAAATGCATATTTGAAGGTTTATTATTCTTACTATTTATAACACTGTTTAAAATGTACGAATTGCAATTGTAGAAAGATACTTTATCATTTTATTTTAAAAGAAAAAGCGATTAACTGTGATTAAACTGTGTAAGTTGTTAGCCCTAGAGGCTAAATATGACGTTGCTCATTGGCAAGGCATATCAATTGATATCTAGACTGTTGAACTTTTATTTATATAATATCGCGAATTAAGTCTCTTCAGTAATTCATGCTTGTCACTACAAAATTAAGTAGTATTGAGGTTTAGGTCTTCTCTATAAATAGAAGTGGATAACAAAATTTTTTTTTTTAAAAATCAAAGATAAAAATTGTGGTGTTATGAACTGACTTGTATATAAATGTTAAATTTGAGAGGTGTTGTATTTATGGTCAATTTAATATATGTTTCATTATGTAGTCTATATGTTTAATGAGGGTCCACCTGCCCCTTAAGGCACTAAAAGCAGCTTTCCCTGTTGAGTACGGATCCTGGACATGTCACCAGTTTTAATTGTTATGCACAGTGATGATAATTTACCTCCATGCAATTCCCTTGAGTATTAGCCAAAGATGAATTCTGAGCCAAAAGTAGGTCACTGTATGGCTGCCAATGAGAACCTAAATGTACAGTAACCTGAGACAAACTGGAAAGGGCTCTAATGCCAGCAAAGGGCCTGCCTTTCAAGCTGTCACTCTCTACATGCTAAGGGCTCACACTCTAGATCACATACTTTAACACTTTCCTCGTTGTCTCAGCTGAACTGAATGTAAAGAGTGCACACTTGTAATAAAATTTTATTATAAAATAGACACTGTTGCTAGTTCTATAGTTTAATGACCACTGAATGTTCCAGAGTTCTGGGAAGGTTCAAAGACATTGGTGACACAGTATTACATAGTTAAGTATACTGTATTAAGATTAAATATAAATATTAAGATTAAATATAAAGAAGAAAGAAGGTGTTAATGATAGATTTTCCTTTTTTGTTTCTAACAAAATTATAAACTAATTTAATTTTTCAACTTAGTCATTCCATTATCTGACATATTAAGGGCAGTCATAGGGCTCTTGGACTCTTATGATGACTTGATGACCCACCTGAGTTTATATATGTCCAATAACATCTGTGAAACATTTGCATAGATTTTGTCCAAAGTTTACAGGAATGATCCAGAGGTCAAGGCTTTTTCACAATAATGGATAGTGGCTCTTTCGTTAAATTTGTGAGAAGATAACACAGAATTTGTGCAGAAAGGGAAGGAAAAAGTGGATGGAAATTAAATTTTATTGGAAAACTGCATGATTTTCAGGCTTTTTTCTTGATGGGAAGCAATAATTTAAATCCACCACTAAAGGGGAGAAACCTTAGGTAGGTGCATGGAAACTGGATTTCTTATCAAACAGATTTAGAAATATATTCTTTCTTTGAGTGATCAACAAACATAATTATGTGATACATATATTTTATCCTTTTTTTCAGAGTATAAAGAGGAGATTCCAAAGGAGGAGTTAAAATCATCATTTCTTCAAGCAATAAAGAATATATCTGCAGGCAAACTGCAAGATGAACTTAATGAAAACTTGATAAAAATTGAAAAGAGGGAAAGTAATGACCTTACCATGCCAAAACTTTAAAAGGGAATTGTTGGGATTTTCTTTGGGGAAATTTAAAATTTAAAAAAATTTTCAAAAAATTACACAAATATAAGTAGCTGAACAGAATCTATGCCCGGGCGTTTTTGGGTACACTGGTCACAGGTAGTTTATTTGTCGCTAGCAAAAAGGGATTAAAGCAAAAAATGTCTTTCACACATACATGTGCGCTTTTTGAAACTGTATATATGGTATGTAGTCCTGACTTATTCCCTTTTTTATAAAACATACGTGAAACCCGTTAAATGTTAACGTCACACTAAACATGCCAATAAAAAAGTGATTCAATTTTACTGTAAACTGTAAACAATGCTTTTGGATATGCGATAAATAAAATATTATTTTCATCTAGCTTCATTACTAAATTTATTGAACTTGTAGAATAAAATATTTTATGTTCGCCAGAAGCTTACATAAGATAATTTTATTCAACTCGTTCACTAAATTCTTTATTGAGCCTACACTCATTCAATATGCGTTTAAGATAATTATGATATATCAACAGTTACTCATACTTGTGAAAGACTATTTTGATGTACACCAAACTTGCCCATGCAAGATAATGAGAAATGGAATAGTGATGTTTTATATTTACTGAAACCTATAAGATTTTTTTTTTATTGGAAATGTCAGTTACTGGTTATATATTATTTCTTACATGTTATTTGATGAATTTTCAGCCCACATTGTATAACTATTTCTGTGGCACATGCAAAATGACTGTCAATTTTGTTTTTTTGTGCTATAGGAGTTTGAAGAATCTGTGTACTAGAGAATTGCCTTCAATTAGTGGTCATGTGGACGACAGTCTTGAAGAACTCACGAAGTCCGGACTTGATGGCAGGACAGAAGTTACAGAGGAAGATGATACAACTAAAAACATCCATAAAATGGTAAACTTACTAAACTATCTCGGAATATGTTCCTGAAATGGTTAACAATCCCAGAATTTATTCATGAAATGGTAAACAATCTCGGAATATATTCCTGAAATGGTAAACAATCTCAGAATATATTCATGAAATGGTAAACAATCTCAGAATATATTCCTGAAATGGTAAACAATCTCAGAATATATTCATGAAATGGTAAACAATCTCAGAATATATTCATGAAATGGTAAACAATCTCAGAATATATTCATGAAATGGTAAACAATCTCAGAATATATTCATGAAATGGTAAACAATCTCAGAATATATTCATGAAATGGTAAAACAATGTCAGAATATATTTATGTAATTGTAAATAATGTCAGAATATATTCATGAAATGGTAAAACAATGTCAGAATATATTCATGAAATGGTAAACAATCTCAGAATATATTCATGAAATGGTAAACAATCTCAGAATATATTCATGAAATGGTAAACAATCTCAGAATATATTCATGAAATGGTAAACAATCTCAGAATATATTCATGAAATGGTAAACAATCTCAGAATATATTTATGTAATTGTAAATAATGTCAGAATATATTCATGAAATGGTAAACAATCTCAGAATATATTTATGTAATTGTAAATAATGTCAGAATATATTCATGAAATGGTAAACAATCTCAGAATATATTCATGAAATGGTAAACAATGTCAGAAAATATTTATGTAATTGCAAATAATGTCAGAATATATTCATGAAATGGTAAACAATGTCAGAATATATTCATGAAATGGTAAACAATCTCGAATATATTCATGAAATGGTAAACAATCTCGAATATATTCATGAAATGGTAAACAATCTCAGAATATATTCATGAAATGGTAAACAATGTCAGAATATATTTATGTAATTGTAAACAATGTCAGAATATATTTATGTAATTGTAAATAATGTCAGAATATATTCATGAAATGGTAAATAATGTCAGAATATATTCATGAAATGGTAAACAATCTCAGAATACATTCATGAAATTGTAAACAATGTCAGAATATATTCATGAAATGGTAAAACAATGTCAGAATATATTTATGAATTTGTAAACAATGTCAGAATATATTCATGAAATGGTAAACTACTAGTATCTCCGAATGTATTCATGAAATTGTAAACAATGTCAGAATATATATTTATGAAATGGTAAACAATCCCAGAATATATTCCTGTTCTGGCTTTATTTTAGACTCAACCTAAGCATGAAGTGCTCATTTTTACATCATCCGTGTCTGTCTGTAGGTGCATCCCATTTTAAACATTTATTTTAGGTTGAGGCCCCAACTGGGTAACCCCATTTATTTACCCCATATAACCAGATTTTCTAGCGTACTACCCTTTTTAACAATTTTGATATTACAAGTCATGACCTTGTTAAAAGAATTTTTTATATTGAATAGTATCATCTCTGCATTTGATACTGACTTTTAGCTGCAAGTAGTTGAAAATAAAGTTGACTTTTAGCTGCAAGTAGTTGAAAATAAAGTTGAGTGATCAAATTTGTTATAGTAAATGAAATACAATTAAGAATTTGTATTTATGATGTACACCAGTCTACATGTTCATTTGTTTAATTCAGGTATACAGTCTACTGGACAGCAACATTAAGAAGCCAAAACATAGTGTGATTAAGAAATTAGAGAAAACACAAAGATACCTACTCTGTAAGTAAATCTATACATGTATGTATACACTTATTACTGTTATAAAGTCATTCCTTTGTTCTGTCCATACAGTAGTTTTGTTATGATACAGTTAGACATTTATGGTAGTCTTAATCCAGTATTGATTGTTACTGTATTACATATTACAACATGTATGATTCTAGGGATAAACTTATTTTTTGTAACAAACACAGAATTTTAACAATTTCAAACCAATGATAGATATAAAAATTTCATATTTTAAAATTCTGCCACTGAAATATTAGCTTAAGATTATTCAGTTAGGGAAATTCATCAAAGAGAGGTCTTGATAGAAAGTTTAAAACTTGCTCAGATTAAAGTTTTTAACTGTCCAATATGAAAAATATCGTATGCAAAATAATGTATTCCATTGAAATTTAGTACTTTACCTTATGGACATTTTTCAGATTTAGGAGGAGGCATTTATGTTTAACAAACATAACCTTGTTTTGATCATATGTTTGCAGATAGAACATTTTTACAGAAATTGTTGAACAGGAAAGATGTTAAAGTCCCGTTCATCATGACTGTGATACAAGACTTTGATGACTTGTGTGAAATATCTCAGGTATGGCAAGCATGTTGTTAAAATATCTTGGAATTTTGTGTTTGAGCACATTTTGGTATTGCAACTAAGTTTTGCTCAAATCGTAGGTCAATATGAGGCAGAGTGGTTGAAATTTAATTAAATTAGTAAGGCTCTTAGCTTAAGTATTGAGTCCTCTGCAGGTGATACAGTTTAGCTTGACTATGAAGTATATGGTGAACTGTTCAACTCTAACCTTGGACATTGGCGTTGTTCACAGTTTGTTATTTTATTGTGACCCGTATATAATTAATTGTGTGTGCTATCTCCTCTGACAACACTTGTTTCAATCTAATTCAGCAAGAGGAAGATGGGAAATCCAAATTTGACTGGTTACCTATGTGTAATCTTCTGCTAGAGCTGGCGACTGGTTCCCAACCTTTAGCTTATGTTAGAGTACTTAAAATACTGTTTGATTACATTGGGGATGATGTCAACAAATGTATAGCAAAAAACAAGCCAGTCAGGTAAGCCTAATTTCCAAAAGTTATTAGAATTTTAACTAAATGTATGTATATGAAATAGTATTGTTTCCTTTCATGTACATAATTACAGTATATGTTTTGCATATAAAGTTACACCCTGCATGCAGGAAAATATTGTTTATAATGTAAACATAAATAGTCAATTTAGAGCATTTACTCTGTCCAGATTAACTTGTTTTATGAAACCTATTCAAAAGAGACTATGTTATGCATCTGAATCATTGTAAGGACAGTATTTTCAGAAATTTAGCCTTACAAACATTTGGACAAAGAAGAGTTTATTCTGAATTATGTATTGATGCATAATCAAATTTTAAATTATAGTAAAATAATGTTACATTAGCATAATAAAAGCTGATTTTCTGCATGATATTGTACAGAATTAAGATGAATTTTACTAGAACAATTGGCGGGTTAAGTGGTTAAGGTCATAAATATGCCTGTCACTAGGAAGAATCTTTAGCCGATATGCAAGAAAATATATTTTTGAATTTTGATTTGAGTAAATTGCTCGGAGTAAATCTGGGATGGTACGAATAAATGATTTTTTTGTCTTATATCTACAGATCAGGGAAACTAGCTGGAATTTTGAAGAGATTCATCACATGTGTTCATCTCCATGTGGACTCGCACAAACTTGAGGTAAGGGAGTGATTTTAAAACATTTTTTTTCCAAGTTACCTCCCTTATATAAAATAGAGAAAATAAGAATCCCTTATATAAGTTTCACTATTTGTACTTCACAAATATTTTTCAAAATGTATGAATAATTTAATGTAACTGTAGTGTGTTGGGTTTCAAGATATTGGAAAAAATATTTCCTTTAGAATATTTGTTAGATTCTTAATTTATGGTATGTAAATATACATGTATGTTTTACAAGTAGCATAACCAAATAAATCTTAGTTGATATAAACATTATAAATTCAAATTCTAACTTGATCTATTGTATTTGTTCATATGTATGCCTCGCTACACTTGAATTCTAAAATTGTAATTCTCAGTATAATGACCACATGAAATTACTAGTATATAATGTCATATTAATATTCAAATGCCATTATCTCAAAAGGTTGTCATTTACTATAAATGTTTTTACTATTGTCCAATGTGGCTTTAAGTTGACCATGAATAAAGATTATAATATCTTTTCTTGTTTGAGAAATATACCTCAATATTCAAGCACATTTGTGTGCATTATTTCTAAGGTCTTTCTTCATAGGGAAACTAACATTTAACCATATGACATATGTGTTGGTGTTTTTTAAAATCTGTCAGAGAAATATCAAGAAAAAAACAAATTTTCACTTTAGCTTTACACAGGGAAGTCGTGGACTTGGGCTTTGGCTTGCCAGGAAATAAACTACACATAGATATTGAAAAGGAAATCAAATTAAAAACCGTTGAAAAATATATAGATTTCTATCAGTGAAATGTTCAGTCTCTTTTCTAGTTGGGCATTGCTATTTTTAATTTAACTCGATGATAATTGGTGGGGTATTCCGATTACAGAGCAATTGCAACTTTAAGTTTAGGAATAATTGTCAAGGTGTTCCGATTGAAAACTGAAGTGGTTCATGAAATACTGAATGACATCTTAAAAACGGAAAATGTAAAATTAAAACGAAAGAAAACTTTTTTTTGATCTCATTTCCCCTTACATAGACTTTGTCTCATATATAATAAGATTATATTGATGTACATGTATATATTACAGGACTCAGAGGAGAAGATGTATTGTAGATATGTTTCAGCCATATTGTCTTTCTACGTAGATTTATGTTGTGTTTATTCAAGGTAAATATGAAGCTTTTATGAGTTACCCTCCAAAACTGTTGTATGGGCTCAAAAATATTATAATCAATTTCTCCAAATGCTCTCCATAATTGGCCTGTACATTAGCAATGAAAAATTTAGCCCCACCTTTGCTATTCATTGCTTAGTCAATTGCTCACAAACTGTATCGGAGACAAAATCGTGTGTTCTTTTATATAAACCAGGTCGGCCAGTGACTATATTTGTATATTATATCCCTTTGTAGCAATTGGAATGTAAACACAGGAAATATCCATTATTAAGTTGTCATAGAGTTAATCTTGGTGGCAGGATAAAGAAACGTAAAACCTTTGTGAAGCTGTATACTGGTGGCAAAAATTAATCACTTTTGGTTCCAGCAAGTTAAGGATGAATAGTTTTGTTAGACTGATCTCCCTTTTATTAGACTTTCCCAAACATATCAAAGCAATATAATTATGAAATTTTATCTTGCAGTAAAGTTGAGCAGAAGAAGTTGTATGGACGTGAGATAGCAGGCTATGTGTGTTACATACTGCAAGCCTGGCCTGAAAGTTTACTAGAGGTCCCTCTACAACTGCAGGGACTTGAAGAAGATAACCATGTCAATGTGGTGTTGCCACTCATAAGGTATGCTGAAAATTTAATTTTTAACTCTCGAGTGTTTGAATCCACCTTAGCATCAGCTTTGATACTCTTAAAGATATCTTAAGAATCTATTCACTTGAAACCCTACAGCTGTTTTTAGGATGATCAATGTTCACCACCCTCCTTGTTTCAAGCTGTAAATTAATCAGAATTATTCATCTTGTAATCTCAAAGAAAATGTAACTTTGATGTCAGAGAACTAGTTTAAATGTTGAGCAGGCAATCTTTTATTTCCATATTTGATCTTTTGAATTGCTTTCAAGACTATAAATAGTCAAGATTATCAGTATGAGATTGTGTTTCATTCTGAGATTGCAACTTTTTAGATGAATTATCATATAACATTATCAAGATATGTTTATTAGCTTCCTTCCTTTTGAATTGTAATGTTATTTTTGTTTCTGACATCAAAGTTACGCACATGTTTATTGTTTCTTTCAATAGTAAATGTCTGGAAGTGAAGCCATCGGGCACGGATAATGTTTACTACCTGAAGTATGTTTTGCTGGTTAGACAGGTAAAAGATGCTTACGGGGAATATGAACAAGTTCGAGAGTGGAACTATGTAAGTTATTTCTAAATGATTTATTGTCGACTTTTTCTGCAAATTGCTTGTGGCAATATGTATGCCTGCTTAGCTCAATAGGTAAGCATTGGATTAGTAGTCAAATTAGTAGTAAAAAAAAAAAATGGTGATAAATATTGCAGAATCAATCGTTAATCACACATAATATGTATATCATAACTTGACTCTTTGAACCTTTCTTAAAATCTTAGCACAATTTTCTCAAGTTTGATTTTCTGGAAATAATTTGACTTAATCTGATGGCATGCAGCTTTAATGTTCCTTTAATTTTACATAAATGATTATCCTAGTAAATTTTATATGTTATCATTTCATTTTCAGGCAACCAAGAATATACCAGCAAGTACAGGATTTCTAAATTGGGTAAAAGAGAATTGTCCAGAAGCAATGGAACATATTCCTGTTGAGGATAAGAAGTTCAAGAAAACAAAGATAACCCGGTTTATATTGGAGGAGGCAGAGGATGATTTGATCGCTATGCTGCTTAATGTAAGTGTAGGAATACACAATAATGAGTCAGTAAAAAAAGTAGTCCCCAAGCTTATACACTTGTACACAATACCTGGGATATATTATAACAAGCAACTGGAGATAAGAGTTGCTTTGTTTTTTATACCCCCGCACAACAAAGTTGTAAGGGGGGTATACTGGAATCAGATTGTCCGTCTGGCTGTCCAGCGTCCGTCGGTTTTTTCTTGTCCGCCCAATAACTAAAGATTCCTTTGACCCACAGTCTTCATATTTGGCATGGAGGTTAGTCGTGATTAGTAGATGACCCCTATTGATTTTGAGGTCACAAGGTCAAAGGTCAAGGTCACAGGGGCCTTGACTTCAAAAAGCTTGTCCGCCCAATAACTTAAGATTCCTTTGACCCACAGTCTTCATATTTGGCATGGAGGTTAGTCATGATTAGTAGATGACCCCTATCGATTTTGAGGTCACCAGGTCAAAGGTCAAGGTCACAGGGGCCTTGACTTCAAAAAGCTTGTCCGCCCAATAACTTAAGATTCCTTTGACCCACAGTCTTCATATTTGGTGGGAGGTTAGTCATGATAAGTAGATGACCCCTATCGATTTTGAGTTCACCAGGTCAAAGGTCAAGGTCAAAGGGGCCTTGACATCAAAAAGTTTTTCCGCCCAATAACTTAAGGTTCCTATGACCCACAGTCTTCATGTTTGGCATGGAGATTAGTCATGATCAGTAAATGATCCGTATTGATTTTGAGGTCACTGGGTCAAAGGTCAAGGTCACAGGGACCTTGTCAAAATAAAGCTTTTCCCCTCAGTTGCTTCAGAATGCCTGTCCAGAGTGTATTGATTTTGACATTTTCACTTTTGAAGCATGTAGAATACATAACTTAGCAATGCACTGGCATAGTAACCTCAGATTTGGCAGGGAGGTTGTCCTTGTGTTCTAAATGGCCACTGTTGATTCTGACAAAGTGGTATGCGGGGGTATTCACGCCATGATAGTGGCAGTTCTAGTTTGTTGTTGTTTTTTGTCCAATTCAGCACACGGACAACCATTTTGTCATATTTATCTCCACAGTAAACGATATAAGGCAACTGGTGTAAAAGTTTAACAGTCCTTTTGAATCTAAATGTTCTTAACATGATATTATGAAAATTTATTTATGTAATTCCCTTTAAATTAAAGACATTGATATATGATCTTAACACTATTGATTGGTCCATCACCTGTCAATTAATTGCCAACATAATTTAGCTTATCTAGTAGGTAGTTGCTTGTCCCCATATATTTTGTCCCAGACAATATCTATAAGTACTCTGTTTATATTTCTGTGTATGCCTTGTGATAGAATGAGATATACATTAAAATTGAATGAGATTTACTAAAGAGTTGACTATATAAATTAAAATTGTATTTGTTTGCATTGTATTAATTTGCGTTAGAATCATTTAAGCAGACAACAGATTGACTTAATATACATGTACAGTATTGCCAAGAACTAGTCTGCCAGCTTTAGGTTATTCCTTTTAGCTTTGTAGATATTTCAGTATTGTTGAATATAGATTTTTGTTGTTAGTATCGCCACATTTTGTATGTTTTGATTTAAATTTATTGTTTAGCACAAGGCACATATGTATGTTGTAAAATTGTCACTTATTTGCAGACTTTGTGCAATGTTACTGAAGAAGAAAAAGTTGATGTTCCTGAAACGAAAGAAGATGATGGGGATATAAGTGTTGCCATGCCAACAGGACCTCTTTTCTACCTGGATAAAGCTGGAGGCTCTTCAGTATTGGAGTTGGTATGTAGAAATAAATTTAATACATTAACCACATAGGGAGATACTTTTCAGTGTTAAACTGAAAGTTTTGCCCAAACCATCCTCCACCTTTTCATTGCCGACTAGGACAATAAAACATGTTTCAGTTGTAGAGGAAAATACCAGGCTTTAGAACATATTTAGGCTGGTTCCCAAGTTTTAAGTTTGTTGTCTGAAACATGTTTTATGTGACAATTTGAAGGCAACACATTTAGAGCAACTTGTTTTTCTCTTTTTTAGTGATTTTGATTTAAATTGGTAAGAAAGAGGAAAATTTTGGGGCACACTGCTACATTTAATGAATACAAGTTATAGGACTGGAATTTGGCTTAAAGCAAAATTTATTAGAATCCTTCACACTTAATAATACATAATTCTTACTTTTTTTCTTGAATATAAAACTTTTCTTTGTGTGTGTCTGTGGGGGGGGGGGTCAAAGCTTAATAGTTAAGGCCACTGACTTAAAAACTTATTTGAGTATATTTTAGTTAGATGTTTGAGAATAGTAGTGTGGATGCTTTCAAAAATCTTTTGACAAAACTTGTATTGATCAACTGGGATATACAGTCTTCGCTGCATATTGATGTCTAATTGATCTGTAGTGCACACTGAATGACATTGCAATCTGGTACGCAAGCAGATGTTTTAGGCTTTTACTGCCTTACACAATTATCCACATGTTGTTCAGACTTTTCATTGTAGGGAAGACTATAATAAGAAAAAATGTTGGTTTAAGTTAATAGTTTACAGTGAATTGTATTTCAACAAGTACTGGGACGGGCTTAACTGGGAAGGGCTTAATCTTATGCTGCCCAACCCATTTGCTTTATGTTAAATACTCATCATTATAATATTTGACATGTATTTGATCAATTGAAATATATTTAAACTAAACAAGTGCCAAAATCATTTTTCTGAGTTTTCTGTTTTGTGTAATGGTGCAGTTTACAAGTTGATGGAGCAGTCACTGTCTTTTGACATTAGAGACTTTTCTAGCTTGCATTATAGATAAGTGACAATTTTAAATCTCAAAGCTGGCCAGATATTTTAACCCAGGTTTCATACAACCTAACAAGCTTGATATTTAATGTTATACACCCAAAATATCTATCCTCTCTCAGAACATACTATTTTAAAATATCTTCACCTTAGTGCTGGTTAACTCCTATTAAATTTAGGACTTAATCTGTTATTACACTAATTATGTTCTCAGCTACAGTGGCCCAGATAATAACAATTTTAACAACCCTTCTAGAGCTTCATGCAAATTTTACCAAATTTCTTTCAGAGCAACAGTTAACACATAAAATATATTTAATTATACATAATTATAGCACTTTATGACATTCAGATTTAATTAATTACTCAGCCCTTTGTGATTATACTACTGCGCATTTGAACTCCTTACTGTGCTATATTATAACACAGATCACTCAAAATCAAGATCTATTTCCTAAGTATAAATGTTTCAATCCTTGCATTGTTTTAGCCCTGGCATTTTTTAAAACAAGAAAAATAAATAACATATTTAAACAGAAAATTTCTAACTGTTTAAAATTTGGCTTTCATTGTATGCTGTTATTTTTTATTTGAATTCTCTTCAACTTTTAACTTGAATATATTATGTTACACCATTATTACATCAGTAAAATTAATTTAGAAAAAAATTACGTAATTTGAGTGAAATCAGACATTAAGTCCTATCCTTCAATCAAAATTTAAATCATTGATCCGTTGATAGAGTTTGAAATCATAAACATTTCTGATGGACATATGTTGCCCTGGTGATTAATGTTTCACACTAATCATTAAAATTGCTTTTTCTTGAAATAAATTGATTTTCCTGGAATAAAGTTATCCCAAATTGATTGATCAAAAATGCAGCTGTACATTATAGGATTTTACCTATTTATCAACTTTATCAAAGCTTCCCATTGCGCTTATCATTTCTAAAAAGAAGATTTTTGTACTAAAAATAGGAATAAATGTTGAAACTTGAAAAACTGATTAGGTTTAAAATGAATTTTCCTGTAATGATTTAGCAAACTTAAAATTTTGATGCATGGATATTTCCATTTATTCAGATGTGTCTCATTAAAGAGTACTGTCGCCATGTGATGACTTTAGTGTAAAGGTAAGGGACAATTCCCTATCATGTAACTTCAAATGATATGAAGCAAATTAGCAATTTACAATTTTCTTTTCTATTTTATAAACATATAAATAATTTAGTAAAAATTGGGATAGAATTGGACCAGAATGAAATAGAATGCATGTTCATATAGTGTCGCATACATGTAGTTTATTGTTCAAATGTTTAAGAAATAACATCGGTCTGAGAGGTGTATATCGGCTATTTAACACCGGTTTGGAGTTTTGATGCGTAGGAATTGACTTTTTCGCATCAAAACGACAAAACCGGTGTTAAATAGCCGATATACACCTCTCAGGCCGATGTTATTACGATTCTAACACGATAAAATAAGGAAGATCATTAATGTTATTTTTTTAAGCGGAAATAACTTCCGGTGCCGATTTTTGTATAACGCTGTTCGATTTTCGCACCCTACTGTTGCGAAGATATAGAAATAATTTAAGAAAAGAAATAATAAGAAAAGAACGTTACTTTATCAAGTTTTCAAAATAAAAACTTATGTCGTATTGTGTTTACACCAGTGATCCATTTATCATTTTTCTATGTATGAAATAACGTCAGCTTGTGTATGAATGAGTTGTTTACCTAGGATGACGTCAAATGATATGCTGCTTACGGATTGGCGCCGTTTTGTTAAAATATTTATTAACTAATATGAATCAAATATGTGGCGGTAGTGTCTATGTGCGATAATATTTCGGTATTGTGTGAAACAAAAACATTATAAGAACTGAAAATATTAATAAAAATGCTTTTTAGCTCGACTATTCGATAAGAATAAGTAGAGCTATTGTAGTCACCCGAGCGTCGGCGTCAGCGTAACCACTTATGTTAAAGTTTTTGTAATACCTCAAATATTTTCAAAGTCCATTGACATATGGCTTTGAAACTTTGCACACTTGTTCACCATCATGACCCCAACCTGTAGACAGGAGGAGATAACTGTATTGAGCATTTTTTACAGAATTTATGATGCCCCTTTTTCGACTTAGAATTTACGTTAAAGTTTTTGTAATACCTCAAATATTTTCAAAGTCCTTTGACATATGGCTTTGAAACTTTGCACACTTATTCACCATCATGACCCCAACCTGTAGACAGGAGGAGATAACTGTATCAAGCATTTTGACAGAATTGTACCCCTTTTCTGACTTAGAATTTACGTTCAAGTTTGCATACCACCTCAGATATTTTCATATACTATTGACATCTGGCTTTGAAACAAGTTGAAATTTTATACTCTTCTTTTAGAGCATAAAAGGACTCTCTTCTTCAAGGCCTATAACAGTAACATGGATTTAAAGGAAAATTTGGCCCTTTTGTTAACTTAGAAAACTTTACATTATCAAGGCTCTTTTACTATCAAGCACTAAGAATAGTCGAGCGTTGCTGTCCTACCGACAGCTCTTGTTATTGTTGCTTTAAAAGGCTTTGTAAACTATATAATCGAGGATGAAAACATAACAGCCGCATATACAAGTAGTCGTTAACCAGTGTTTATTGGCATTTTAACAACAGTTTTTTTTCCTTTTTTGTCTATAGTGACAAATTCACGTGAGTGTTAGAATTTGTATTAGTCAGTCAGGCCTTTATCTTCACGATGATATAACTGCACATAATAAAATTAACTTCGCAAGAGTATGTGATTCCAAAACAAACAAAAAACTGTGGCGGCATGGCACGTTAATATGTCAGACTTGTTGTCTAGCTGGCTGTAGGGTTCAAACACTATCAGGGTCAAGCTGTTGTTTCTGTGAGCAAGAAACTTTACACTGTTTGCATAGTACTGGCTGGATGCAGGAAAAGATTCAAGAGCGTTTCAATAAGCTTATAACTTCAGACACAATCTCCCTAAAATAAATTTGAATAAAGTTACACAATTTTTTTAAAATTTTCTTCAGATTCAAGTGAGTCTTGAGAGCTGATAATATAACTTGACTAGGGTTTGTTGAAATCATACATATCACATGAAATTTGATGTTTTTTGTTGTAGCATATGGCTTCAGAAATGAAGCATGTTTTGTAATACTTGTTGTTATTGATTATGGTAGGAAAGTTTAAATTTGCCATTATGGCATAAGGAAAAAAAATCGAATAAATTAAACAAGTATTTAAAATAGTTATTGATTTAGAAATGATAGCTGAAATATGGTTGCAACTGCTGTTACTTTGTCATTTTGAAATCAAGCTGTTGGGGACTGGGACAGCTTTCAGTTATAATAAAGTTACGAAAGTTTCAGTTACTTAATGCTTTACACACTCACTGGTCATGTCTTATGGATTAATTTGCAATTTTCCGTCTTAAAATTGTGAAAATAATAGGAAGTTATAGTTTGGTGTGAGTAAGGTAAGCCAATTTGAGTACTTTTAATGATAGGTTGTTTTTTTGACAAGTAATTTCAGTATTCTGATTGCATATACAGTCAGACCAGTGTTAAATACCACTTCTGAATAAAGATCACCCTCTGAATTAAGACCATTTTTCATCAACCATTCATTGCTTTAAAAGAACAGGGTAACCCCCAAATAAAGACTACTTGTCTATTAAGGCCATGTTTGGTCTCTCCTTTTGGTGGCATTTGTTCATTTAAGTTTGACCTTAATGTTCTTAATCTATATTAATTTTGTTAGACAATAAGGTTAATAAAAATGCCTGGCTTGTGCAATGGTCTGCTTTAATCAGATGTGCTATGATTGCAAATCACTGTATGTTATATTGTAAGACAATTAGGTGAATTAATGCCAATCTTATCTTCCATAATCAATTCATATGTAATTTGAATACAAATTATTTTTCCTCATATTTAAGAGGATAGGGGTAATAGAATAAATGTTAACATAGTATCAAAGTATCTGCGAAAATCCACTTTTAAAATAAAATAAGCAATATAATTAGCAATAGATTTGTGATTGATGGTCAATGTATATATAAAAAGGCATTGTTCACACTAGTTATCTTTAATAAGGTGTTAAATTTTGAAATAAGGCATTTTTAGCTCGACTTTTCTATGAAAAGGGGAGCTATCCTACTCGCCCCGGCGTCGGCGTCGGCGTCGGCGTTGGCGTCGGCGTTGGCGTCACACCTTGGTTAAGTTTTTCGTACCACCCCACTTTATTTCAGAAGTATTACAAGTATGGCTTTGAAACTTACCATACTTGTTCACCATCATAACCTCCATCTACAGACAAGAGTACATAACTCTGTCAAGGTTTTTGACAGAATTATGGCCCTTTTTTGACTTAGAAAGTGTATTGAGCTTGGTTAAGTTTTTTGTACCACCTCACTTTATTTCAAAACCATTGGAGGTATTGCTTTGAAACTGACCATACTTGTTTACCATCACGACCTTCATCAACAGACAAGAGGACATAACTCTGTCAAGGTTTTTGACAGAATTATGCCCCTTTTTGACTTAGAAAATACATTGAATATGGGTAAAATCCACTTATTGCCTTAACCCTTTGAGATATTGCTTTGAAACTTTTAATGCTATTTCACATCATTACCCCCATCTGTACGCAAGAGAAGGTAACTCTGTCAAGGATTTGTTTTAAAAATTAAGGCCTTTTATCGACTTAGAATCTTGGTTAAGTTTTTAGTACCAGTCCACTTTTTGACTGAACTGTTTGAGATATTAATTTGAAAGTTGGAATACTTGTTTACAATCATGATTCCCAAACATGTCCAGGAGAAGGTAATTCTGTCAAAGATTTTATTTGAATTATGGCCCTTAACTGTCAATGTTTTGTATTATAGGCAAGCACTAAAAAACTTAAAAAATCTAAAAAAATTCATTCCTATCCACTTGTTCACTTTACCATAAATTATGTCATATAAACATTGCTGTAATATTCAAGGGTATCAAACAACTAGTTCACTTTAAAAATACAGAGATTCTTGTATTGCCTTTTACTGCAAAAACTTTTTTTATTGGCAAGCAATAAAAAAGTCGAGCGCGCTGTCTTACGGACAGCTCTTGTTCTGTTCCTTATTATTTTGCCAGTTAATATAATGGTGAAACTGGTGAAAGAAATATCCTAAAGTTCTGTGTGGAAATGTCAGCTTTTCTACACTTCTTTGATCAGAAACAAATAAAAAAATATTGTTAGCTTACATTGCCAAAGATTAGCATTATAGTTAAATCATTTACTACATTATCTGTATACAAATGCATGTATCTCTCCCCAACTTTTCTTTCAAAGAATATTTTCTCTGGAAAAACTTTACCAAATTTGATATAATTGGCATGGAACTGAAGAAGGGCTGTTGAAATAGTTCATGTCCATTGTATATCTGGGCCACTGTAGCTGAGAACATAATTCATCACATAAGTGCAATAACAGATTAAGGTGAAGATATTTTAAAATTGAAATCTTTGTTTAATAATTATGTTCTGTGAGAGGATAGATACATTTTGTATTTATTTAGGTGTATAACATTAAATACCAAGCTTGTTTTAAGCATGAAAACTGGGTTAAAGTGATATTATGCTTGTTTCGTTACTGTCAGACTGTAAATAAATAGTTGTATTCATATATAACATAAGATTGACTATTTTAATGGTGATTTAACAAATAATTGATAATTACAAATGTTAAAGATAAAATATAAAAACTGTCTAAAATATAAGAAGACATTCTTTTTATAAAATGAACATCAACAATAATTTTTGCAGGATAATATAAAGATAATCATGTGGGTCACGAGGTTTTTCGGTACTTGGGTGATGTTTATTGTGAAATTGAAAACAAAAATGACAAAATGTAAAGTTATTTTTAATTTGGTCTGAACACTCAACATTTACACTTAGATGGGCATAATGTCACTTTAAGATGGACCCTAGTTTGCATTATATAGGCTTATTTCTTATCAAAATGAATTGTAATTTCTCACTTCTGTCTACAATTATAGTATCCGATTACTTGAAAAATAACCTGTGGAATTGAAATTATATGACTATTAAAACATATTTTCAACTTTTTTATGCAATTGACTGTTGAGTTGAGAGAGGATATTGAATGAGTGAATGTTACTAGTAAATACTGAATTTATTGAATGAGTTGAATAAAACTATATTATGCGAGCCTCTGGCAAGCATAATATTATTTTATAAACAAGTTCAATGAAATCATTAATGAACTTACATGAATTTGATATTTTATTTATCACATACCAAAAATAAAGACCGTTTGAAGTGAAAAATAACCTTTTTTCATTGATGCGCCTTATAGTATTAACATTTAGCACGTCTTAACGCTATGTTTATATAACAAAAATGACGTCACGTCAAAATATAATGCACAGCAGTGCAATACCATGTTTACGGAGTTGCAAAAACTGCATGAGTATGTGTAAAACTGATATTTTGAATGGAAGATACCAACTGAAGAAAATAGAATTGTGTATGATTTAGAAAATTTTCAAATATTATAATATTCAAGAAATAAAGTAAAATTTTCCTACTTTTGTTTACTTTTTTCAGGCAAATGGGCATGCAACTGAAGAGCTGGAGTCAAAAGATTTGTCAAAGAAATACTTGACAAAAGGTGCCAAGAAAGGAAAGCGTAAACCTATTGTGTTAAAAACTGTAGCAGACCTAGAGAAGATTGTAGATACCAATGTTGAAAAGAATGAAGTGAACTCACCACAGACCTACACATTAGACCCTAAATTTGTCCAAGAGAAAGTTGTAGACCCAGAGGACCAGAAATTCCTTCAGTCGGAAATTGTTTCTATAACCTCAGTAGACTCAGTCATGAACAGAGAACAAACTGAAGATAGTACAGTGAGTGTAAATGAGAGTCAGATTAGTAACAGTTCTGACAAATCAGGGAAATGGGGAGAGTCAAGTTCATCTACACCGAATAAACGACGAAAGAGAAATAAAAAAAATGCAAAGAAAATAGAGTCTGATTATTCTGATATTTCAGCCATTGAAAAATCAGAGGATTTCTGTGACTCCATCTCTTCCATGTCTGAAGATAATCACACAGTTAAAAGTGTTGTTCGAAAGGTAACACCAAAAAAGATGAAAGAAAAGTCGCTAAAGAGCCCAGGAAAGGACATGGATAGTTCAGCAGATGTGACAATGAAATATTCTAATGATTCAAAAGCTGAGGTAGATTCATCTACGGAAATAACTGGTGTGAAGTCAAAGGCAAATGTCAATGGTTCTGAAGCTGATATGACTGACAGTGTTATATGTATAGACACCTCTGATACTGAGGCTGAGGCAAATAATGAAATATCTGAAGTTTCTAATGATACAATTACAACAAATGTTGATAGGAATGTTACAGTGGATTATGATTCTTTAAGTTCTGTCCATGAAAGCAGTGTAGAAATAGTTAATATTGTTCTTGCTTCAAAAGACAAGACAGACAGTTCAACTGAAGAATCCATTTCAAGTAGTGGAAGGCCGGAAAGTAACAAAGGAGACTCTGTATTAAAGGCTGGTTCAACAAGAAAAAATAAAAAAGGTCAGACTCCAAAAAAACAACTTTCAAACTCAAGCCCAGGTTCAGTTAAATCTGACAAAAGCAAGAATATGGATTTATCTGAGAGCAGCCTTAGTTGCTTGTCAGGTCTTTCTACTGCCACAAATTACTCAGAAACAGCAGCTATCTCTTCAACAGATGTCTCTGAATTAGACCAGAATTCAACACTGGAAGCACAAGAGCTTGATAATACTGCAAAATTCATTGGAGGACAGAGCAAAGGGTCACCAATGAAATCATCCAGTGGATCTGAGTCTGAATACATGGGAAAGTTGCGAAAGAGATCAAAGGAATCAATGTCAGATGAAAAAGTAGGGACAAGTCCTAAGAAATGTTTGTCTGAAATGCATACAGGAAATGAGAGTGATGGGGATGTGTTTAGAAAAACACCTGAAGCTAAAAAGGAAGCTAAAACAGTGAAATCAATTGAAGAAAAGTTTATTGGGAAAGCTATAAAAGGCAAGAAAACACCTAAAAAGTCCAAAGGACAAGGTAAAGTAAGTCAGACCCAAGAGGTTTCTGGTTCAGTTTGCCTTTTCTCAGAGAATGATGATAATGAAAGTCAAGATAAGGATATGGATGGTGGGGACCAGGGAAAGAGAACCAAATCAACTGAAGAAATAATTCAGATTGTTGAGGATATCAAAACTAAGATTAGAACTCCCAGGACAAGAAAATCTATGTCTCAAGGTGCGGAAAAACTTAATGAATCAATGTTTACTGATGATTCTGTTGAATCTGCAGAAAAAGATCAAAATATATCAAATGAAGAGCATAAATCTGCAGAGAAGGTAGATGCAATAAAGCAGGGTAAAGTTAGTCCTAGAAAATTAAAATCAGTAAAAGTCAATGAAAATGATGAAAAAGATGTATCTACTGTTGAAGATGATAATGAAATTGTGCTAATAGAAAGTAGTGGTGAAAGTGATATTGATCAACCAGGTAATGACGATAAAACACAAAATTCTGACTTTTCGCCATGTAAAAGTAATAATAAATCAAAATTTCAAGAAGAACAATATGTAAGCAGAACACCTTCTCCAACAAAGAGAAGTCCTTTAAAAAAGGGGAACAAACAAACTCCACATAAATCAGACAGTGAGGATACTGTTTTACAAAATGGGTATGACTTGGTGCAATCAGTTGAAGCAACTGTGGAATCTGTTTCTGAGGGGAAGAAAACCAAAATTTCAATAAGTGATACTCCAGATAAAAACGTGTCGTCTCCAAATAAAAGTTTAACCAGAAGTACAGATAAAAGAAAAAATAGTTCTGATGACAATCAGATAGGTAAAGATACAGTCAGCAACAGTGAAGATGAGTCTGAAACAATTATATTGACTGAAACTACCCCAAAAGCAAAAGTAAACCGGAGAAAAAGTGCTGAAATTGAAGAAACGAAAACACCACCAGCTTCTGCTAAGAAAAATATAAAAACCCCACAGTCAAACAAGAAGAATGTTACAGAAGGACAAAATAAGGGTCAGAGCCCTGAAGAAACACCAAAAGAAATTAAATCTAAAAAATCTCCAAGGAATTCTTCTAAAACATCAAAAGAAGATAGAGAAAACACATCTGTAATTAAATCTCCCGATTCTGACAGAAAAGAGACAATTTTTAGAGAGAAAGCCGATTCCAAAGGTTCAGATAGCAACAGTGAAGATGAGTCAGAAACAATTATATTGACTGAAACTACTCCAAAAGGAAAAGTAAACCAAGGAAAAAGTCCTGAATTAAATGAAAAGAAAACCACACCTGTCTCTGCTAAGAAAAATGTTAAAACCCCACAGTCAAATAAGAAAAATATTACAGATGGAACAAAAAAGGGTCAGAGCCCAGAAGAAACAATAAAAGAAATTAAATCTCCAAAATCTCCAAGGTGTTCTTCTGAAACATCAAAAGAAGATAGAGAGAACACATCTTTAATTAAATCTCCTGATTCTGACAGAAAAGAAACCACTTTTAGAGAGAAAGCCCATTCCAAAGGTTCAGATAGCAACAGTGAAGATGAGTCTGAAACAATTATATTGACTGAAACTACTCCAAAAGGAAAAGTAAACCAAGGAAAAAGTCCTGAATTAAATGAAAAGAAAACCACACCCGTTTCTGCTAAGAAAAATGTTAAAACCCCACAGTCAAATAAGAAAAATGTTACAGATGAAACAAATTATGTTAAGAGTCCAGATGGAAAAATTGTAAGAATAATAACACCAAAGTCTGGGGAAGGTTCAAGTTTGATTAAAACTCCTGCTTCAGATAGAAAAAAGAAAACAACACCTCAGAAAAATGAAACTGGATCTAAGATAATGTCTCCAGTAAACGGACATGTAAATGATGAGAAAGCTGCTGATTCAGCTGAGGACTTTGTTCCCTCAAGCCAAAAAAAGTCTAGAAGGAAGTCTTTGATAAAAGAAGCACAGAAAGAAGTCTTACCATCATCAAGTGTTGATAGTGATGAAGATATTGATTTCTTACCTGATATTGGTTCACACCTGAAAGGTTCCTCTCCAAATGCTAAAGGTAATAACAGTAAATCTCCTCATATACCTACAAACCTAGATACCAAGGCATCTCAGAAGGAGACTGTCAATGAAAGCACACCTTTGAAAGGGAGGAGACAGAGTCGTGGAGTGGTCCCATCATCTGACAAAAAGCCTGAAGCTGATTCAGATAAAAGTAGACAAAAAAGATCAACTAAAGCTGGAAAAGTTTTAGAACCTAAGACTGAGGTGGATGGTGCAACTGATGCCGATACAGATGTACCTAAACAAAAGAGAGTAACGAGAGGTAGACGGGTTTCTGAACCAGTAATCAACATTGAGGAGTCTGATGCAGATGGTCCAACTCGGCCGAAACGTTCACGTGCTGCAGCAAAAGCTGAAAGTGATCTTTCTGATTCATCCACTACTAATGTTAGAGCAAGCAGAAGCAAAGCTGAATTGAAAAGAATTTATGATTACCATAGCGGAACAGATGGTACAACTGACCAATCAGATGTTGAAACAAGACCAACAAGGAGATCAAGAGGCGGTGCTAGACTGACTGCAATCAAAGACAAAATTCCTGAAGCTGTAGATGAAGAGCCTGTTCCAGAACTTAGAACTCCCCTAGGGAAGTCTCAACGGCAGAGGACTGGTTCAGCATCAACCACTAAGAAAGCTGTAATAAAACATGCAGAGGTACGAGGGACAAGAAAAAGGAGGCTGTCTGGTGAGCTGGCTGGTAAAGCTAATGATCAAAATTCAACTGACTCAGAAATTTCATTTCCAAAAACAAAGGTATGCACAAAATTAATTGTATTTTAGAGAATGAATTTTAAAGTCTTTTTATCCCCCGCCGAAAATTTTCGGCGGAGGATATAGAAATAGTCTCCGTCCGTCCGACCTTCCGTCCGTCCGTCCGACATTTTTGTCCGGAGCATATCTCTAAAAGTATTTGAGTTATCAACTTGAAACTTCATAGGTGGATAGACCTCATTGAGGAGGAGTGCAGTGCACAAGAATGATAACTCTACCTTGCATGATTTTTGAGTTATTGCCCTTTGTTATTTTTTAAAATTGATTTTTGTCCAGAGCATAACTCCAAAAGCCTATGAGATATTAACATGAAACTTCATAGGTGCATAGATCTCACTCAGGAGGTGTGCAGTGCACATGAATGATAACTCTACCTTTCATAATTTTTGAGTTATTGCCCTTTGTTATTTTTCATACCTAATTTTTCACCTGAGTGGAGCATAACTCAAAAAGTGTTTGAGATATCAACATGAAATGTCATAGGTGGATAGATCTTATTGAGGAGGAATGTTATATGTGGATAGACCTCATTGAGGAGGAGTGCAGTGCACAAGAATGATAACTCTACCTTGCATGATTTTTGAGTTATTGCCCTTTGTTATTTTTCAAAATTGATTTTTGTCCAGAGCATAACTCCAAAAGCCTATGAGATATTAACATGAAACTTCATAGGTGCATAGATCTCACTCAGGAGGTGTGCAGTGCACATGAATGATAACTCTACCTTTCATAATTTTTGAGTTATTGCCCTTTGTTATTTTTCATACCTAATTTTTCACCTGAGTGGAGCATAACTCAAAAAGTGTTTGAGATATCAACATGAAAGTCATAGGTGGATAGATCTTATTGAGGAGGAATGTTGTGCGCAAGAATGATAACTCTTCCCTATACAATTTTTGAGTTATTGCCCTTTGTTTTTTTCATGCTATTTTGTCCAGAGCTTATCTCAAAAAGTATTTGAGGTATCAACTTGAAACTTCAAAGGTGGATGGATCTCATTGAGGAGGAGTGCAGTGCTTAAGAATGTTCACTCTACCCTGCATTATTTTTGAGTTATTGCCCTTTGTTATTTTTCAAAATTAATTTTTGTCCAGAGCATAACTCAAAAAGCCTTTGAGATATCAAAATGAAACTTCATAGGAGCATAGATCTCACTCAGGAGGTGTGCACTGCACAAGAATGATAACTCTACCTTTTATAATTTTTGAGTTATTGCCCTTTGTTATTTTTCATACTTAATATTTCAATTCAATTTTTTTCTCAAAAAGTATTTGAGGTATCAACTTGAAACTTCATAGGTGGATAGATTTTACTGAGGAGGGATGCAGCACACAAGATTGATAACCTACCCTGCATTATTTTTCAGTTATTGCCCTTTGTTATTTTCAGCCATCAGTATTCACATAGGTTTCAAATCTGTAATCACTATAGCGATCAGTTTCATTACCAAAAGACCTCTTAAAATGAAATTATTCTGTTCTACTACATATACATTCTTCCAATGAGCAAACACATTCGGCGGGGGATGGCCATGTTGACATGGCTCTTGTTCTTTTTAAAATGTGAATATATTCAATAGAATGCTTGCAATGACTATGTTTTCTTTCTTATGTAGATTTACCATAAAATTAACTCTGTATGACAACTTATTGTATTTCACAATAAAGAAAATATTATAAAAACAGATATGTTTAAAAAATTAAAAGTAAAATTAAGATATGGCGAATAGATTTAGCATTCTGTCATGTTAAATTTTACTTTGATTTTTGTACCTGTTTTCATGTGGGGCTGTCATTGATGGAAATTTTGTATCGATATATCAAAAGCCACATATTTTTTGATATATGGAATTAAATAGCTTGTACAGTGGAAACTATTTTAATATGTGTAATAAACTATCATCTTGGTGTTTTGCAAGCATGTTTTACACTTGCATATACAGCATACCAAAATTTTTTCTGGTTCAATATCTTACAGACCTCTGGAAATTAAATCCAGTGTTCAAACTAGGGAAGGAAAGTGGCTTTTTTTTCCTTTACACAAAATAGAACAATATATTCACTAAACATGAATAAATGAGTTTTACACTGTATTGATATTCTAAATTGTGAATAGATATTGTGTTGATAGTTGAATATCAATGGTATATAGATATTGCGATATGCAGTGACAGCCCTATTGGCATTATTATGTTAATAAACATATTATTATTATTATGTTGATATACACATATGTTTTGCTAATAAGTTTTAATTTCATATGTGTATGTAATTCTGATATACTAGTAGGGGAACAAGGGTGATGTAACATAAATATTTAAGTAACATTTCTATACATTTTTCTTTCAGCCAGTTGCAGTAGCTGAAAAAAAGTCCAAAAGGTAAACACTTTCAATTTGTTGTCATAAATTGATAAATGTTTTGGTGGGAGTATTTTCATAACCCCTAATTCTCATTGGCACTTGCCTTTGTGAAAGGTGCATTAAAAAACAGAAAATAATGTTTTCATCTTGTTTTTAAGCCTATTATGTTGAAAATATGAATTTTTCGCTGTCTGTTGCACATAAAATTTTATTCATCTTTGGTTTCGGAATATAGCCTTGAAAATGTGTAATATATACCTGTATCTGCTGCCTGTAGGATAAAGAATTTAATTTTTTGAGCCGCATCACAACAAAACCAACATAATGGGTTTGCGACCAGCATGGATCCAGACCAGCCCGCGCATCCGCGCAGTCTGATCAGGATCCATGCTGTTCGCTGTCAGTTACTCTACTTGTTATAGGGTTTGTAAGCGAACAGCATGGATCGTGATCAGACTGCCCAGATGCGCAGGCTGGTCTGGATTCATGCTGGTCGTAAACACAATATGTTGGTTTTGTCATGACGCGGCTCATTTAGATTTTGAAAGAGACTACTTTGTAAATACCTGTAAGACAGAAGTGTCTTCAAATTTTCTTTGGAACAAAAGGTGCTTGCATGAAATCATTGCTGAACAGTTTAAACCCTACTTCAAATAGCAGCATAATCATAGTTTCAGGAATATGTTATTCTGTTTTGTGATATAAGGGAGACTTTCTTTGTTACAATTCTTTACAATGTACTACTTTTTTCGAAAATCAACTATAAAATTCTGAAATGAGATAATTTTGCCATTTATAAATTTTTATAAAAATATTTCATCAGAGATAGCTTAATACCCTTGAAATGATATACATGTAGTGATTTGAATTTCTGTTGTTTTCCGTAGGCTGTCTGCTCCAGTTTTACCAGAAAGTGCTGAATCCAAACTTGGTCCATCTGGCAGACGTAAGTATATCAAATGAAACTCTCATTAGGTGTTAGTATCACTTGCCAGTCTTTGCTGTGGGTTAGAATCCCGACAGGGACCTATACTATCAGGCTACTTTACCGAACATCTGTGGTTCTACTCGGGGTGCCTGAAATAATGCAAGGAAGGGCATCTGAGGTCTTCCTCCGCCAATAAAGCTGGAAAGCCCCCATATGACCTATACTGTGTTGGTGTGACATAAAACCCAATCTTAAAGAAAGAAAAAAATTGGTAGTGGTAATGATCATTTGTCTAGTACAGAGGAAGTAGCTTAACCTTTACCTTGCTGTGGGCAATAGAATAAGATTGTTTCTATGCTACCAGTGCAGAGCAAAGTCAGTCATGGTTTACATTGTTTGCCATTCAGTCAGTGCATATTTTGAAGTTTTCCCTAGAATGATGAATGGTTTTTGTTTAGATTGAAATATTGACAATTCTATTTATGGTAGTAAAGATTTTTGTTGAAACGCAATGGAACATGAATTGGAGACTTAATTGAGGTCACATATCTTCACCTCAGTGCAATAACTGGTTAACTCCAATTAAATTTAGAAGGACTTAACCCGTTACTTACTTGCATTGTTCTTTTGTAAGAACTTTACAGCCAACTGTCCACAAATTACCCAAGATAATCACAATTCGTTTGTGGTCACAAGTCACCTTCAACTTTTGCAATGAATAAATTTCAAATAATTTTCCAATCTTTGCAGTTGGGCAAAAATGCATTCAAGCCTCCTGTTTTATGTAAATTATAACTTATAAAACGTTATTAAATCTATAACAAATATTTTTATTTTTGTAATAACTTTAAGACTATATCATTGGAATTAATTTCTATTTTCAGGATATTCTCTCAGAAAGAAATAAGGAAAACGTAAAAGGGATTGGCTAATTTCCTACAGACAGACTGTTCATATTGAGGGTTCAAGAAATTACCCCCTCATAAATAATTATGGGTCCAAATTTCTGTTGACTTGAGTCAAATCAAGATTGGTTGAGTTGTACAATAGTTGAATCTGATTTGCTAATTTCGGGCATTGTTTTGAATTCAGCCTATGCAAAGATTTACTTTTTCAAATGTCTGAGGAGCCCGGAGTGATAACATTGATGGAACGGAACGTGAATTTCGTAAAGTTTGAGAATCGTTTTTTTTTATCAAAATTGTAATAATTATCTTGTACAGTCATTACGAATTTACCATGACTTTGTGTGTTTACTTGCATTTTGATATAAGTTGAATAAATAACAATTATGATTTTTTGTGGAAGTTTTGTTGCAAAAGTACATGTAATGATTTTTGTATTTTTCTTGCAAAAAAGAATATGGTTAATAAATTTTATTTTTAGGTTTAGTATGATGTCTAGAAAGGTTGATGAAAAACATACCAACAACATAGAATATATTTTACTGAAGTATATTTTATTTTGTCTTCCAATTTATTGTTTCCTGTATAAATGGTCTTATATTAAAGTTGAGGTTTCCTTAATTTATACTGTATGTAAGAGATGGGTTTTCCTTAAATAAATTTGGTCCTTAGAGGTGAAATTTGCTATTGATTAAAGGCAGTGTCTTTCATATTCTCATTTTAGAGATCAGGTTTCCTTCATAAATTTAGTTCTGCGTATAGGGAATGTAATTACCTATATTTGGTCTTCCAATATAGAACTGATCTGTTTTGAGAGGTTGTATTTCCTATATAAATAGGTCTCATCTTGGCAGTGGAATTTTCTATATTTGGAGGTTGGATTTTCTGTGTAAATTTGCTTTTAGTTGAGGGGAACTCCTACACTATACAGTACAGTTGGTCTTTGCTTTGGAGGTTGAATTAATCTTTATTTTTGAGGTAGTGTTTCAATATAAATTTGGTTTTACTTAAAAGAGAATATTTAAAATGTCAAAAAATGTCTAAATGGGACAACATCTAAACAAAGTATTCTGAAACAATGAAATCTAGTAAAATATACTGGAATGCCTTAAATACTTGTACAATATTTTCATTTTCACAATTCACCTCTATTCATGTATGATCTTTGATATTCTTGTTGGTAAATAAGGTTAAGGTCACTGAAGCTAAAAATAGATTTTCTCGGGTCATTGACTGCTTTAGATTTAATTATGTGTAAAAGACATTGGAGTGCATCCTTTGATGTAACCGATTTTCTTGTATTTAATGTCAAACTATAGGTTTTGCATATATGTATTTGTGACTACAATTACATTGCCATTATTTAGAGATTGTTATTAAATTCCTTGTGTATTGTTAGTACATGATATATTTTTTGTCAAATTTTTTTCAAGGATAATTATGTGTATGTTGAGGTAATTCAAAACATTCTTGTTTATGGTTAGTAATTGTATATTTTCATGTTTTATACAATGTTTTTGTTTTGTAAAGTTGTGCTATTACAATTCTATTAATATTAATTGCTTTGATATTCTGCTTTGCATTTTCTTTTGCTATCATTTATTGCTTTTGATAAACTCCATATCATTAATTGCTTTGAGAAATGCTTTTGATAAACCCTTATTATTAATTGTTTCATTTATTGCTTTTGATTTACCCTTATCATTAATTGTTTCATTTATTGCTTTTGATTTACCCATATCATAAATTGTTTTTGACAAACTCTTATCATTAATTGCTTTCAATAAACTCCTAATTGCTTTTGATAAACCCTTTTCATTAATTGCTTTTGACTAACTTTTTTTGACTTTCATTTTTGGTATGAAATAACATCTGTACATTATATACATCATCAAATAGCATTGTTTTTCTGTACATACCATTTTATCATGAATCATTCTCATTTTTTTGGTATGAAAATTTTTTAGTGCCTATGATATTTTTCAAGAAGATTTTTCTAGACTGGACTGCTAAAGTAAAGTCTATAAGAGCCAATAATTGTTTTGTTGATTTAAGTATTCCGAAATTCTGTCACATGTGGCAGGAAGTCTGGAGACAGGGTTGAAAATCTAATAAAATCTAGATGGTTGTTCACAACATAATTTTTGATGATCTTAGTAACTTAAGGCAGTTAAAAATCGTTTGCTCGGCAATAACTGTAAGGTTTGCTGCTGTAGCTACTGACAAACCATTAATTGTATCTAAGTAAGCATTTTAAAGGGAAACATTTTTTGCTCTGGACTTGATATCTATACAAACGAGGCCATTATCACTGGCTTGTTTGAATTTATAAATATACTTTGTAAATCATTCGATAGATTTTGGTATTGTGTATTTATCATCTATGAGTTATCTTGTATCATTGTGTGTAAGGTTATAAGCAGTAACCATAGAGGAGAATCTTTAAATACTTACATAAATTATTTTGAATATAATTTGTGATATACATGTATGTAATTATTGATGTCATGTAATCATATACTTAATGTAGATTTTGATTGGTTGTCATTCTGTCTAGTTAATTTTCATTAACTTTATTTGGGAATTGTTATGGATAATTTACGTTACTTGTTTGTGTAATTTTCATCCAATAATCACTCATATCAATTGCTTTTTGGGAAAATATATGCCTTCATTTTCATAGGCTATGACTTAATTAAGAATAATATTTACTTTTTTTAGCTCGACTAGTCGGCGTCGGCGTCGGCGTAACCACTTATGTTAAAGTTTTTGTAATAGTTCAAATATTTTCAAAGTCCATTGACATATGGCTTTGAAACTTTGCACACTTGTTCACCATCATGACCCCAACCTGTAGACAAGAGGAGGTAACTCTATCAAGCATTTTGAGAGATTTATGCCCCTTTTTGGACTTAGAATTTACGTTAAAGTTTTTGTAATAGTTCAAATATTTTCAAAGTCCATTGACATATGGCTTTGAAACTTTGCACACTTGTTCACCATCATGACCCCAACCTGTAGACAGGAGGAGGTAACTCTATCAAGCATTTTGACAGATTTATGCCCCTTTTTGGACTTAGAATTTACGTTAAAGTTTTTGTAATAGTTCAAATATTTTCAAAGTCCATTGACATATGGCTTTGAAACTTTGCACACTTGTTCACCATCATGACCCCAACCTGTAGACAGGAGGAGGTAACTCTATCAAGCATTTTGACAGAATAATGCCCCTTTTTGGACTTAGAATTTACGTTAAAGTTTTTGTAATAGTTCAAATATTTTCAAAGTCCATTGACATATGGCTTTGAAACTTTGCACACTTGTTCACCATCATGACCCAAACCTGTAGACAAGAGGAGGTAACTCTATCAAGCATTTTGAGAGATTTATGCCCCTTTTTGGACTTAGAATTTACGTTAAAGTTTTTGTAATAGTTCAAATATTTCCAAAGTCCATTGACATATGGCTTTGAAACTTTGCACACTTGTTCACCATCATAACCCCAACCTGTAGACAGGAGGAGGTAACTCTATCAAGCATTTTGACAGAATTATTCCCCTTTTTGGACTTAGAATTTACGTTAAAGTTTTTTTAATAGTTCAAATATTTTCAAAGTCCATTGACATATGGCTTTGAAACTTTGCACACTTGTTCACCATCATGACCCCAACCTGTAAACAGGAGGAGGTAACTATATCAAGCATTTTTTTTTTACTATCAAGCACTAAGAATAGTCGAGCGTTGCTGTCCTACCGATAGCTCTTGTTTAATTTGTAATCATTTCATTTGGGTTTTGTAAAAGTCATTAAGAAATCATTCATTTGGGTGTTTGAAAAATACCTTAGGTAATTATTTACTGGTTTAATTAATAGCATATAAAAAAAAATTATTATACATTGGAGAGCATTCTTTTGAAAATGTGTAAAATAATATACACCAAATGCACAGTGCATTAACTGGAGTGCAGGTATTCGTTACCTGCTCTCCAATTTTGGTACTCTCTGTTGGGGGATAAAAATAAAGCATCCTTGTTTCTGGCTACATTTGTTCTTGAGTTAACTTGTTGTGACGACAATGAAAGGGATGCATGTACATTGGTTCATTTGTTCTGGGGTTAACTTGTTGTGACGACAATGAAAGGGATGCTTGTACATTGGTTCATTTGTTCTGGGGTTAACTTGTTGTGACGACAATGAAAGGGATGCTTGTACATTGGTTCATTTGTTCTGGGGTTAACTTGTTGTGACGAAAATGAAAGGGATGCTTGTACATTGGTTCATTTGTTCTGGGGTTTCATATTGTGAAGACAGGAAAAGTGTTTAAGTTTTTGCCTATTATACAAAAGAATCAAGGAACATCAAATATTTGGCAATCTGATTTATACTTGGTGGCTATGCGCCCGCATACAAATTAGATAGCCTAGTGTTTGGATGTTCTTTCTAATGCAGTAACCACTGGAAAGATGGGAGTCACTTTTGTAACATAAAGTATGACTTGCATGTATTTCCTAAAGATTAACAGCTTAGTTGACGTCATGGTGGTATTTAGCATCGTCTCATGGGCCATTACAGGTTTCATTAATTACAGCACTGTTCATGATATATCTACTGTTCTATTTACTCAGGTCAGCAACATAGATACATTAGTAATCATTCAAGTATTTGTCATTTGAAAGAAATCATGTACAAACAAAATGATATGATTTTTTGTGTAATTACATGATGATTATTATGAAAGATTTGTAGAAAATGTGCTATATTTCTTTATAATTAATTAAAATAATTCTGAAGTTCACAAATGTTGTTGTTTATATTGATCCATGTCACTGCTTACTTGTATCGTGTAATTGAGTAATGGACTAGACTGTCCTTGAAATTCAGATTTGACTATAAATGAGCCGTGTCATGACAAAACCAACATAATGAGTTTGCGACCAGCATGGATCCAGACCAGCCTGCGCATCCGCGCAGTCTAATCAGGATCCATGCTGTTAGCTGTTAGTTTCTCTACTTGTAATAGAGTTGGTAAGCGAACAGCATGGATCCTGATCAGACTGCGCGGATGCCCATTATGTTGGTTTTGTCATGACAAGGCTCAAATGTTTAGACAATTTCAATATCAAATGTACGAAATGTGTTCTATATTTTCAAAGGCAATGTTTCAGCCTAAGGTAAATGGAAGATGGTTGCAATTGCTTCTTTTTGTTGTATTTCATTCCAAGACGGGCTGCTGAGTAAAGCCAAAGATCTTATGTAAGCTAGCTGGATAGCCTCGTATGACAGAATATAGTCCTGAAACCTAAAGTGCTCAGTGTGTAGTGTAGTATTGGTTGTGTAAGCTACCATTATTACAGGCTTCTCACTAGTATTTTAAAACGGGTCTCTCTCTAGTATCCTCTATAGTATTTGTAAAGTACAAGTAGAAGTGCAGGACTCCCAACTGAAAAAAGGAGTCCCATGAAACCAATTTGGAGTCCTAACTATAATATTAGAACAAGCACTGAGTGCAATTCTACAGACGGGATGTTTAGTCTGCTATCTAACTCCCATTACACCTTCCATATATACTGGGAATTACAATAATAAACAGGACAAGAAACTGGAAAATTGCAGTGTATGTGCTATCTTTTCAATTAGGCACATATACTAGATATGTGTCATGAAAATTTGAAAAAGAATTGTGGTTTTTCGTCATACACAAATGTATGGTTGCTTGTCACATATGTTAAATACCACATTTAATATGCATTATTTTCTCAAAATATTAAAGAGCCTGGTTTACTGTGGATGGTTTATGAATTTTATATAATACCCCATATTGAATATTTAAGTGAGAGGTGACCCTATCATGGTCCGAGATGTCCAAAATATTCTAGTCCGAAATGTTCTTGGTTCGAAATGTCAATGGTCCGAAATATCCATAGAACAATTGTTCTCTCCCTTTGTTTGTTTTCGTCATTTGTATTAGTAGTCTGTGTTATCAAGACGTTAAAGCGAGATTCTGCCCCAGAACGAAAATATCTCAGAATCAAGCTTTGGCACGTCAATATATTTTGACTAACTACTAACGTGCAGATCTATCATACTGAAAGGAAACAAGTGTGCACATTTCATTTAATTAATAAGCATGTTCCCAGATACGATGCGCTATCTATAAATCATCACGTGGTAAGGTTAATGATATGCATGGGCTATTTTTAGGTTACCTCACCAATTTCAGTAGATCTAAATATAACTCGATCATGCACTGTGTGATTTGGACCACCCTTTGAAGACGGAATACTACTACAGTCAACATCCTCTATTGTGTAAAACTAATACAGACAAAAAACAATTATAAAAGAAACTAACTTTTGCGTCTTGAAAAAGAATTGAAACGGAACACTTTCGTTTATAATTTATTACGGTTTAAATCAATAAATCAAGTAAAAATACGAATCCTATTTATATAAACAAACTGGGATTACCGAAGTAACTAAAATAGCTTAGCTTTCTGTAATATTACTTCGTCTGATTCCGCAGTATGACGGAATCGTCCGAATTGTCACGATTGCAATCGGAAGTACATCGGCTATTATCATTAATCCGAAGAGTGACGGAAAAGGCCGAAAAGTTGCGATTGGCACGATTTCAACTGGTTTCCCGTTCAATCATGCACTTATAAATGTAAGCAGAAAACCACCTAACCGGAACAGGTTTTCCAAATGAAATGGCTGCAAGCCAAAAATACGCACGGACGTTTTGCATACAGTCGGCCTTTTTGAAGAGTTTAGGTCTAACAATGTGAAGTATCTGAAATTAAAGAATGCGTTAAAATCCCTGCATGTCATTGGTGTAGCATTTTTGAAAGTTGAAGATACAAACGCTAGAAGTCCTGTCTCGTTATCAAAGGCAACTTGCTGTACACAAGAAATATGGGTAGAAAAAGAATTTCGAGCATGCATGTCATTCAGGTCCATATTCACATTTGGATATAAGCTACTTGACGAGTTTCTAACTTCTGGCAGTGTTCCAAAGAAAGAAATGTACAAAGAGGCATTAAGAAAACTGTTGCAGTTTTTGTTGGATGACACGGACGGTAAGTTTGCATGATCAGTCCAGGGTCATTGCCTAGTTCAAATTTTTAGTCGTAACCGCGGATTTGAAGCTTTTTTTTACATGGGGTCAAATCCTACGCATTTTCTGATAAAAGTCAAACTGTAAAAAAAAGAAAATGCGATGTCTTTCAATAGAGGACAAGGTCATTGCCTAGCCCAAGAAATTGTGTGCTTTAGGGCTTTTTATATATCAAATTGACGATGGTCGCCCATCTATTTTAATATCGGCTTGTAGAATTGGTTGGTCTTTCAGTCGAAATATTGAGACTACATCATTGCCCAGGCCAATGTACTAAAATCTTTATGTCATGGTTCAGAACTGTTCACTATTTAAGGGAGAAGATGTGTAAGCGGCCAGAAAACTTGGTTGGTAGAGCCTTGAAACAGTGTTCCGAGGGTTCCAGGTTCAAGTCCTAGTCAATCTTCCCATTTTTCTTACCCTGTGACATTCACAAACGACTAATTCTTTTCACACATATAGGTTTTACATATTTTGGCTGTGTCTGCAATGTCATTCCCTTAAAATTTCTATTCTAGAGCATTACCTTGTCAATTTTAATTGAAATTTTAAAATTTTCTTATTTATATTTCTTGCATGACTCTGACAATCAAAGTACATGTACAGTACACAAGAACTATAACTTTGTGCAGTTGTTGAATTACTTACTGTTATTAAAGCATTTCTCGGAGTATAAATTTTCATTCTAAGTTGGAATTAATCAAAACTTGGAGTGAATGCTTTATACAAATAAGTTAATTGTAATATCTCAAAGTGCAGTGCTGACTAACTGCACACAGACATGTCATGTTTAAGTCACCTTGATGAGTTTGGCATTAATGGAAGATAGATAACTGTAACTTGGACTTGTGCAATTTTTTTTAATTATTCCTCAATGATACATTTTATTAGCGTATTTCTTGTCCAGAATTTTGTAGCTGTAAGGAAAATTAATTTGCAGGACATGAAATAATCTTTTGAAAATTTCATCAAGAAAAAGTTTCCATTTTTAATTTTTGTTGTTGAAAGTTTCTACTCTGGTTGGCAACATTAGGCATCCATAGCACTTGAAATTTCATTATGACATTTGCAGCAGAGTGTTACTGTTGTTGCGAAAATTGAATTTCATGTTGAATGTTTACTTTTCAGACAGACCAGCCCTGAGTGCTGGAAGTTCAAAGTATGGATCAGAGAAAAATTGGGCATTTGTTATTACTCAGCATTTACTTTCCAAGCTCTCAGTTACAACAGAATTTTTAGCTGATAGTGCAACGATGAAAGAAGTGAATTGTTGCCCTTGTGATAGAAAAGAGATGATACCCTGTAAAACTGGAAATACAAGCATTGGTAAGAATATTAAACTTAGGCCTGAATATATGATGTATGTTTATAGAATATCAGGATCTCTTTTTCATACTTATAAACTGCTTATAATAATGCACAGGCTATCTAGCACTCAGCAATTATCAGTTAACATTTTAATTAGCATACAAATTTAAGGAATATTGTCATTTCAGAAAAGGTTCTTTTATTCCCCTGATTAGCTCCCCTGAAGCTTTGAATGAGCTGTCGTTCAATTATCCTTCAAACATCATCTTCTTTGAAACTACTTAGTGAAAAATAAAGACACTTTATAGGAGTGATCATTGGGTCAGTAATGTGTATACAGAGTTATCAGTTTATTTTTGGTTGTATGCTTTCTTCAAAGGATTATTATTGTCATGATCTAAGGTAAACCTTCAATATTTGTTTTTCAGTAGATACCATGTAATTCCAGCAAACTTTCTGAATGAACAGTGGTTCTACTCAAGTGTCTGTGACTTTGTTTGAATTAGTGCTTCACTGCTTGGAAGGGCACCTGAGGTCTTCTTCTACCAGTAGAAGCTGGAATTAGTCACCATATGACCTTTACAGTGTAGGTGTAACTTAAAAGCCAACCAACCAATCATATTTTCAAATTGTTTAAAGAACATTAGGTTTTAGATTTTAACATGTATCATGTACAATTGGCTTGTTGGTTGATTATATATAAGTGTGTTTGATATATTTCAGGATGTGTGAAAGGCTGGCAAGGCGAGTTAGATATAGTAATGGGGATGAAAATGCCTATTAAAGTTGCTCAAACCACAGATAATTGCTTATTTGAGGAAAACGTTTCACAATCCAGTGCAAGTGCAGAAGTGAATAAACATGATTTCACAGAGAGAGATCTGAATCAGATGTTAGCGCAGACAATATTATTTTCATTTTATAAAGGAAAAGGGTTGATACCATGTATTGGCCTTGGCTCTTCATTTGTGAAATTGCATTTTTACGACTGTGAAAAAGATATTCTTCTGAGGAGTAATACTTTAAACCTCATGTTATCTGAAGAGCACGAGTCATTTGAAACAGTGACAATTTTGATGTTATGGTTAACACTTAACTATGAACTATTATGTTCAGGGGTGCCAGATGAGTTAAAAAATTTAAAGGCTGGGTTTCATGAAGAATTAGGTTCATTTCTTGAATGCTACAAGAATACAACCTCTCCTTTTCCAGTCCAACTGAATGACCATGAAGAAGAAAAAGAACCAACTTACCGTGGATATTTTGACAGCTATAAGGATCCAGATATTGTGTTTTGATTCACAGTGGCCCGGTGGTTAACAACACTGATGTCACGGTTCAGAACTGTCCAATATTAAGGGGAGAAAAATGTGCAGCCCGACCAGGACTCAAACCGGGGACCCTTGAAATACCATTGTGCGGTTCTACTGACTGAGCTATACGGCAGCTTACACATCTTCTCCCCTAAATAGTGAACAGCTCTGAAACGTGATATTGACTTCAATTCACTTGCCAGAATATTGTGCAATTTTCTCCAAAACATTTAAAGTTGTGTTAAAAAGGGAGATAATATGTGTTGTTCTATTTATCTTTTGATTACTGCCCTTTGTATATTTTTATACCAGCGACGATTTTGAATAACTTACATTTGTATATTAAAAGCAACTTTCTTCAAATTCTAAGAGATGATAAACATTCATGTCTATGCTGTTGTACCAGAAACTTGGAAGTCGCTTTAGATTTTCCTTTTATGCCAGAGTATATAGGAGTGAGCTTGACATATGGTTTAAGGAGGATAATTTGTCAACGTAGCAATGGATTAAAATATTTTTTTATACAGATGCATCATTGAAATTAAAACTTGTCATGTATGATTTTGGTTACTTACCACTAATTTTATGCTCCCACTCATGAGTAGAAGTCATACAGATTTTCCCTTTTCCAACACACTTTTCTTAAATAGACTGACAAAACAATAGAATGTAGGGGCACCTGTGTCTAATGGACATATTTCAAATTCACATAGTTAGAGCCTCTTCCTATTTAAAAAAACAAAATCATGTTTTTTGGATTATAATGATAAATGTCATATTTCAGGAATTTCTGTTACCATTTAATGTCAAGAAGTTCATAATCTTGATACATGTAGTTATTGCCATTTTGTTACATTGCATGCTTAGCATCTGTATTAACCGCAAATCAAGAAGAATTGGATATATCAGCTTGAAGCTTTAGAGGTGGATTTAATAACTTACATGTCACTATTCATTGATTGATTTTCATGCTTCTACTTAAAAAGTGGGAACATTCTGTGATTAGGTCAAATCTTAGGCCCATTTGTTAGTCCACAAATTTACATCTTCATTTTTGACTAATAATTAGAGCATGCTTTGACCTTCAGTTATACAATTCGGTATTATTGATTATGAGGTCAAAGGTCAAGGTCAGCAATGGCCTTGACTACTTAAATCTTGTCTGACCATTTAATTGAAGGTCGCAGCTTTGTCAAGCAGTCATAAAATTTGGTGTAGAGGTTGGTAATGACAAGTAGATGAGGCCTATTGATTTTAAGGTCTAAGGTCAAGGTCACCATGTCCTTAATTGACTACTTAAATCTTGTCAATAAAAGCTTATTTGGCCAATAATTAGAGAACATTTTAGCCTACAGTCCTAAGATTTGGTTTGGATGTTGGGCATGACCTTAATTGATTTTCAGGTCAAAGTCACCATGGTCTTGTCCATTAAAAGCTTGTTACAAGACAACCCTTTGAGTAGAAGATCCAAGAAAGAGTTGATGCATGATTAGTTCATAAGATCAATTGTATTTTAGATCAAAAGGTCCAAGGTTAAGGTCATCATGACATTGATTGGTTGTTATGACTAGTAGATGACCCTTATTATCCCCTGCCGATGGAATAGGGAGAGGGATATTGTTTTGGCGTTTTTCGTCCGTCCGTCCAACTGTCGGTCTGAATTTCGTTTCCGTGTTACTTCTCTGCAACTACCGGATGGAATTCAACGAAACTTTATGAAAACCTTTAATATCAAGAGGAAATGCGCATATTGTCGCCTTGTTCCAATCAGACACTTTAACTCAGAGTTATGGCCCTTGATACTACTGACTGGAATCCAATGCAATTTAATGGTAACAATCAATATCTGGTCAGACCATTCCACACAGTGTTATGGCCCTTGATTAGTTATGTTGTATGCATATAGAATATAGGGCAATAATCGTTTCTGCTCTACTTCTCTGCAACTACTGGCTGGAATTCAACGAAACTTTTTGGGAACCTTCAATACCAAGAGTAGATGCGCATATCATTGCCTTGTACCGCTCAGAGCCTTCAACACAGTGTTATGGTCTTTGAATTAGTAGGGCTGTATGCATATAGATGAATATTGCTATTTCTTTTCAATTGCTGGATTGATTTCAAGAAGATTTTATGGAAACCATCAATCAGGAAAAAGATAGATTTATGTAAAAAAAAAAGCCTTATGTCTCCAGTTTGGTGTTAGTAATAACCAGTACTCGGCGGGGGATATAAATTCAACGAAATTGCTTGTTAATTTTATAGGTTCATATGATTAGGTTAACATGGCATTGACCACTGCTTGTCCGACTTATAAGTACGGTCATAAGCTATGATGTTGGTCATGACTGATAGTATTGGTTTTAATTTTAGGGTCATAAGTTCATAACTAATTTGTTAGGGGTTTTTAAGCATCAAGCGTCCATGAATAACTATAGGGATATAAATCGTGTTTGTCAGCATGCTTTTTCCGGATTTGAAATGTTTTTTGTTTGTTTCTATATACATATGTAGCTGTAGAATGGTTTAGAACTGGTCGACCAAATTCAAGATTGCAAGGGGGAACAACAAAAATAACCCCGGCAGCATTGATTAATCTTTTTTATTTATCTTTTAGCCGCTGATTATTGAGAATAAAGAATTTTAACATTTCGAACAAGTGTTTGAAGTGAAGAAAGATAAAATATGAGACATTTCAGATTATAAATAAATGTATGCGTTTTTCGAAACAAAATGTTGACATCGTTGATTTGTGAGATTAAAAATGGTAATGCGTTTCATAAATTTGATGATTATGTATGAAATGGTTGCACGGACAATGGCCGCCGTAATTTTTGTCAGTTTGTTGATATGCATTTTCTAGAATTAAATTTGGAAAAAGTGTGATCCCTCGGAAGCATAACTCACAACCAAATAATATAAAAATTGCTGTCCCGATTTGATTGAGTCTGCGCGTGAGGGATAATGAAAAAGTGCAACATCCCTCACGCCCCATTAGCACCGGCTTGAGCGGTATTCAATTTTCTGTAATCAATGATCCCGAAGTACCACAAAAATATAACAACACTGAAGTGAAGTATAGGACAATTTTTACAGCTACCACACGGCACTTGACACCTGCTGGTGTGAATTGAATTTGGCATTTGTGATTTACACTATCACTTTATCGTATTATGTTATATGATTATGTATGATACTGTTCGCATTTTCACCGAATGAGTTTTCAGTATTATGCATTCAAGTCTTCCTCGTACAATAAACCTGAAAGAAAAAAGAAAATTGATTCTTTTTTATATTTGTAACTACCATTCATAGGAAAAAGGAGAAAGGCTAAACATTAACATTTTATACGATTTGATTTTTATTTGACATTCAATAATTTTATAATATTTTAAGTTCAGAAATATTTTGATGTGGAAACACGGGTTAAAACTCCCCAAAATCATTTCAAGTTTTCAACATTAAAATGTACTCGACATTAAAATGAACGGACTACAAACGTGTCTCAAAGACATGCACGCCTATATCTTGCCGCTTTGTAATGTGTGTCCGCTGTTTTAGTAAATGACCATATTGTAAAAAAAAAAAAAAAAAAAAAGCTCAACATGTACACGACATATCGTCCAAATATAAATTTGTGTAAGATGTGTAGTCAAATGTAATTTTACACAATCTCCCGTCAGACTCTTTACATGATCGAAATTACTATAATGTAGTAAAAAACAAGAGCTGTCCGTGAAACAGAGCGCTCGTCTACTTTCAGTGAATGACAGTAAGAAAAGGGACATAACTCCGTCAAATGTAACTCAGAGTTATGTGACCTGTGTTAACCAGGTGAGATAATCACAAAGAACAAGTGTGTGTAGTTTTAACCCACTTCCTTCTTTATTGTTTGAAGATACCAACTTGCACGCAAAAACGAACTTGGAGCAAAAACTTAACCAAACTTCAAAGTGTCACGCGCACGCCAGGGTGAGCACAATAGCTGAATAGTAATGTAAATATCACTCCTAAAACGCATATTTGAATATGTTTTTTAATTCATGTTGTTATACTCGAAAATTAGACACAAACAAAAAATATCAATATACCTGCAAAACATGCAGTGAGATAACTTGCCACGGTTCCAGCGATCATAGCCCTGAAAATATGATTCGTTATTTCCCCTATTCTGTTTGGAACAATTACTCCAAATGAGCCTATAATAAGACCCATGATTGCAAACGAGGCTGAGCCGCACAAGGCGTATGTTGCAATAATTTCTGATCTTGGCTGAAATGGAGGAGGAATAGCTTAAAATAAAATATTGCAATGAGTTAGAATCGTGTAGTATAATAATAACAAGCATTTGATAGTATTGCGGGCAATACAGTAGTCCCCTACCGGTCCCTCAAAAAGTTCTTTAATTGTCATACACTCCTGTGTATTGCCATTTATAATGAATTTGAGGATGAAGTCTGTATTTGAAAATATCGACCACAAAACATAATAAAATAAGTTTGTCTATATCAAAGTAATGTGTTAAGTTTCCATGCTTAGTAAGGAAATTATGTCTATACAACCTTGTCATATTATTACGATGTGGGATTTTAAAGTAAATCCTATAAGGAATGAAGAAGTTGGAGTGAAAATACCAGTTTCTCGAAAAAAATCTAAGTTTAAGGGGACATAATTCTGGAAATAGTCTTGCTAGAGTATTTAACCTTCTCAAAAATGTCGAGTGTTAATAAGAAACATATATATGAAGTTTGAAGTAGATACATTAGGAAATAAAGAAGTTATTTAAAAAAGACAACATTTTTTCCCCTAAAAAATCTAAGTTCAAGGGAGGTAATACTGATATTTTTTGTGCTAGAGTTATAAACCTTGTCACATATGATGTGGTTGATGACCAGAAACTTATATTTAAAGTTTGAAGTAAACACCTTAAAAAATAAATAACATATAGTGAAAAAGCTGAAAAATTTAAATCAGAAATCTTGAAATTCAGGCTATTTGTTGCCATAGCAACCAGAATTTTCAACATAAGAAGAAAAGAAAAAGATGTGCATAATCTCCAGACTGCCATCTACCCATATTTCAAGTTTCATAAAAATATTTTCAGTACTTTTTGAGTTATCACTGGATCCAGTTTATGTGTTAAATTTGCCATATTTTCAGACTATTTGTTGCCATAGCAACCAGAATTTTCAACATAGGAAGAAAAAAAAAAGACGTGCATAATCTCCATACTGCCATCTATACATATATCAAGTTTCATAAAAATATTTTCAGTACTTTTTGCGTTATCGCGGGATCCAGTTTTGTGGACGGACGGACTGACAGACAGACGGACAGACAGACAGACGGACAGACGGACGGAGGGTAAACCTAAAGTCCCCTCCGGTTAAACCGGTAGGGGACTAATAATTATATCTCCATTTAAAGACGGTAACCCATTAAGATATACCATCGTAAAAAGATAACTTAAATATTAAATTTAAATGTGGCCTAAACAATATATACGAGGGTTGTTCAAAAAGTAATAGGACTACAGCTCTACTGTTCACATTTTTTAATTCACGTACAAAATTTTACATGAGACAAATATCGGAACATGTTTTCTATATACAGTGAAAAAATCAAAACAAAATATAAACAAATGAAATTTCTGTGAAATTTTCAAATGACAAGGGGTAAGAAACGCGGCGCACGCTAACAATACAATAATTGACGTTCATGACGTCGTTAAATAAATCGAAATTGTAATAAGCGTCATTCTAGTAGTAGTCTCCCTAGTCCCTAGTCATGTAATTTTTACTTTGCCTCATATGTGGAGATGAAGCAAGAAAAAAGCGATCACATTCTCGTTCCACTGTTTAAAAAAAAAACAAATAAAATAAATGCCCGATAGCCGGCCATTCTCCGGGTTTTCTCGTGTTTTTTTAGTAACCTTGGAACTCAATAGGACTGAAAATGTTAAAGCAAAAGCAATTTATTTTATTAATTTACTCATGTCATTGTATGTTTTTAAAACAATATGATTATATACAGAGCAATAAAGATATTTCTCAATTGAAAAGTATCCTTTTCTACTTAGCATAGTCTATCGTTTATTAAAACAAGTTTTCGGGAAACACTACTAATTATTACCGTTAACTATTACATTAATTTATTGATTACACGTATATCTAGTTAAATACAATAAAATAATGTTTATAACAAATTTTTTATTTACAATCCTTTGGTTAAAAATGAATAAGTAGACCCGAAGCAGATACAAACGACGATAAACAGTTCGCGAACCGTTTACCGTGGATTCTTTTGTAGCGCTTTTGCAATTGACGTCACTAACGTCCCGTCAATTTTCAACTTTCATCCTCGCCCTTTCTCGTTAGTGATCGTGTATTTGCAGTTTTTGAATTGCTTGTGCCAGCTGAAAACAAGTGTCGTCTTGATGGCAGGATAATTGTCCTTAGTTTATTTAATCATTTTGTGTGTATTTGAATGATTATAGTCAATCTGTTGGCAAAATTTAACGATGGCACACATTTTCTGTTTGTTAACAAATGTCATATTTCTACATCTAACGCCATGACCGCTGCTGTTCAAAACTTAATAAATAGGCCATTTCATGTCCGAATGACGTCAAATTTGGACATAATGTCACATTAATATATGTCAACGTATTGATGGAATACAGGGGAAAACAAATAGTTATTTATGAATAAATTAGAAGTAGAACTTAGCTCCAATAACTATATTTATGTGCTGCGCCGGGTGCGTGTTACCATGGTTATTCAATAGCAAAGAAAAAGCGCGTTAAGCACAATAGATTAAAAAACGTATGTTTTATTTGTATAAAACATTTTACGATTGCTGTACATATGAAAATATTCTAAATTGAATGAAATTTGAATACGCAAGACTCCCAGTCCTATAACTTTTTGAACAACCCTCGTAGAATGACAACTATTCCATTGTGTCAATTAAGATTTTGTCCTATAACATTAACAAAAATAATTTGATTTGTTTTAACAAACACTCTTTTTAGATTTAAGATTGGATAGATAATATTAAATAGGTTGAGGAATCAATCGAATTGCGAGGTGCATAGACATGTACTATATTAATATCATCGTCATACAATAACTGTATACAATTAATGATTCGTTTTTTAGTTTCATATATGAATGGCTATTATAACACTGAATAGTTTTTATGTAGTAAATTAAAAGTGAATAGTTGCCATATACAGGGATATTAAAATGTCGGTTTAAAATTTTAATTTACAGTACATGTACACATGTAAGTTCTAAAGTTGTTCTGTTTAATTAGTTAGGTAAAATGAATTGCCAAAATATGTATGCTTTACTATAGAAAAGATAATTATACCATAGAAAGATGATTTTATGAAAATATCAATAAACTATTATTTAGTCACTATTAGTCGGAATTATTCTTAGATATTAACCTCGTTTATCTTTCAAAAATATGCAGCACACTTTTCACGTATAAAAACTACGGAAACTCGTTCTAGTCTGACAATCAAATTAAAAAAAGTCCACTTTTTAGAAAAAAGAAACTACTTACATCTATAACACCGCCAACTAACGTCTGATTTAATTTATCTAGAACTATGTCGTTACCAACAGCCGTCCACGTATTGTTTACACTTTCAGCTATGTAAGATCTATAGGCAACGCCATTCTGAAATTAAAAATACGCATGTTGAATATACGGTGTTCTTTTCGTGCCATTTGTATTTTATAATGTTTTCCACTTCATACGACAGTGTGAACTAACATCGCGACAAAGCAATACGACGCTTTGCATTGTCGAGCATCAGCCGAATAACACGACGAACGATACCAAAAATGACACGACAAGAACTTCATATTTTTACGTTGGTATGCGCGTGCTTGATTCATCAAAATAATGTACTTTAATATCAGGTAACTACCAGAACCATCCTTTTTAACGTTTCATAAAAATACTGAGTTATACTCGTTATATATTTGTTTCTTATGCGTGCAATTCCTTTGTGGTAGCTAGAACATAAACTATTAAATTCCACTGATTAAATACAACCGCCTTCCAGTACTTTGATTCAAATTTCGACAAATGTTTAGTACAATCTATTCAACACCAAGTAAAATGTTTCTTAGAAATGTTCTTCTCATTTTTCGAAGCATCCGAAGGCTTATTTGAATTTTACGAATTACACAAAATAAGACTTTGTACGAACACATTCTATTTATTCTAATCCATTCTACCAGTAGCGTCGTAAACTTGTTTCTAATAGCCCAATTTGAAATATACCACTATTAACTACCGTAAATATTTTAAAGCAGCACGCCTCCAGGATTCATGTTAATTTTCATGAAAAATTAGAAATGTATTTAAAAGTAAAATATCGTGAGATGAACAAATGAAGCAATTTACATATTACAATAGGCATATACAATCCACGAAAATTAACAAAAAGTGGTCAATATATGCAAAAAACGCACTTGCTGCATTAGTAATAAACGCAGTAGAAATATAGTGATAATATATACTGCAAAATCAGTCTTGAACTGCACATATCATGTAAACTTTCTTATGAGTTTAGTGCATTTTTCTCAATATTGATTTTCTTGAAACATTTTGGCTCATCTGGAGCATGCAGAATCACTAAAAGACTTGGAGAGCTGAAGAAAGCACATTGACTTATACCTTCATTATTGGACCCAACTTCGGATATGCCACAATAGCTAAACTGAAGGTCCGTATTCCTAAAAGTTCCCCGATGAACAAACAATCTTCTGGCCTTGCCCCCATTAGAAATGCAAACGGATAAAATACATAGGAAAATATAAACTGAAAAAGAAAATGAATCAATATTGTATAAAGCATACATGTATGCCCTAAGCGACCTCAAAACCAATAAAAATAAGCTGTTACCTCGAAGAAAGGTTTTTGTGCTGAAGATTTTAAACTGCACTTACAAATAATCAAAACGGTGTCACAATTTGTTAGGTATTTACAAAAGAAACTACTTCGTCAAATTTTTGAAATATTTTTTATTATTTGAATATCGTATAAAAAGTATGGAAAACCCGTTCTGGCCACATTAATATATCGTATGCGCACCACGCCCTGGTTTTGTGTGGAGTACTACGTTAGTTACGTGTAAATTATGCAAAATGTAATTTCGAAACACGTTATACTAGCGATTTTGTCAACTTTCTTGAAATAAGAGGTCAGTAGTACTGGACTTTCACACTAAACCTAACAACAGTATTTACTATATGTACATGAGATATGATTTCATTTCACGATCTGATAGCGCGCGATCCTGATTACATCATGATTAAGATAACTTTTAAGCAAGATTGTACTAGAAGGTAAAAGGAACTAAAGAACACAGCGGTCCGTCAAATATATGGGTTGTCCAATCAAAAGATAACTCCGTGATTAACAGAACGTACACTGCTGGAGAAACTGATTCTACCCATGGCACCAGCAGCCTTATGGTATGAGCTACTCACTCGTGTAATATCGTGTAATTCCGTATTATTCCGTAACTACTTTCGTAAAAATTCAAACTTATCCGTAGAATTTCCTGGTTCCCAGTTTGGTTTGCATTGAACAAACTAAACTAAAACGGGAAACAGTAACGTCATCCAAATGGAAAGATAGACAAGACCATTTAAGATATCAAGCGCGGTAATGTTTAATAATAATCATAATGGTATGAATAATGGTACCTGTATAGTCATATTTTCCACACCAATTCTTTCACCGAACCAGGTCAATGTGTTGTTGACAAACTCAAGTATGATGATGAAAGACATGATGAAAGCAACAGCCTGCACAACAAGTGCCACGCCCTGATTAATTCCGAGAATGATAGCGTCCATTAAAGATTTAGGGTGTCTGAAATACAGTTTTGATTTGAATTCGACAATGGTCGTTTTTTAACGTGTATGCGAGAAAACAAGAATGAGACTAAATCAAAGCACAGAAGGGCTGAATTTGTTTTGGTCTCATAATGTCAGAAAGGTGAAGGTTGTGAGATTATAAACCAATTTGTTTTTGTATAGTGCAACCAATGCTGTTTCCAGTGTTATAACTGTAGTAAATTGGCTGTAAGGCTAATTGCAACACTGATATTCAATTCAATGTTTCTTTGGTTTAAACAATTAAAAAAAAACAACATGAGATGCCTAAACAGAGATTTGAACTCCAGAACTCTCGCTTCCTAAGCGAGCGTGTACACCCCTCGACCACGAGATAACAACCCGAAAGAAAATCATATTATTCTAAATTAGTGTTTGTAACCCTTATTAATTTCGACACATCTTGTTCACGGTAAACATGTTATAAATAATCATGGAGCTTAATATAAGCATGTATATCTATAAAGAATAACACAATATTAGAAATCTTTGACCAATCGGGATTTTTTTTCTCTTGAAAATTAATGCCGCTGTCATTTGACAATCTTTACGCAGTGATCTCCCCTTAATTTTTCGGCGTTTAGGGTAAATATAAATTGAAAGTTAACATGATTTGGGACATTATAATAAAAAGTATGGCCCAGGTTTCGTATACCTTAGAAAAGCGACTTTCTTTGTATCATTATTGTCTTCTGCTGGAACAGGGACCTCTTCTTCATCATGTGAAGGAAAACACAATTTTGCCGCGGCAAGAGCTGCTGGTGCCGACATTGCTGAAGCAGCAACAAGTGGGGCGGCAGGAACCTGAGTCAACAGGAAATAGATTACGTAAGATTCGATTGCTTAGCTAGTCTATATTGTAATAGTAAAGGCGTTAAAACATGCAGTAGCCAGTCGTTGCCAAGATACGAGTAAAAGTGCGCAAAAGTATACACAAAATAATTCTGATGAGGGTGATACAATATTGCATCATATAGATCTAGTACGTAATAGGAACATACATGTATATGATAAGCAGACAACCGAAGCGGAACCAGCGCGGAGCTAGCACTATATAGCTTCTGGTACACACCTTTTCTCGAAAAATACCTTCATGCTAATAAGAGAACTTGAGTACACGTATTCCTTATTATTCAATCTTTAATATTGCACTGAGCGACCATGTAACCTCCTAATTTGAATTACTATTGTTTGATCAAATCTTATTAATTAATCATATCAAATTACAATATATCTAGCCTCGATTTCATTTTTCGGGACAAAAAGTTCCAAACATACTGATTACAGATACGGGACCAGGAAATGAAAACTACCTTCTAGAGTGCAATATGCATTTGCTGACACGGACATGTTTGATTCAACAACAAAAACTACGAGTCGAAGAAAAAAAGAACTGATATACATGTTACGTACCCCTGATGACATAAATATAACTAACGACAATCCACCTACGGTTGCCATGCCACCTGCGTACGTCACGAACAACTGTGATGGCGTCATTTCCGGTAAGTACTCTTGTATAAGCATAACAGATTCAGGCTTAAAAAGTTTTAATCGAAAGAACATCCAATAATTCATCAATGCCATTAAAACGTAAACGATTATCTATAAAGCTTGTGTAAAAGATGTTTTCCCTTCTGTTTACTAATACATATAGAAAGAACATGGGTTGGTAGATTCTATATGTAAATCACAGGAACTTGGAATTCCTTGAAATTACCTTGACCTTCGACCTCATGACCTCAAACATAAATATAGGTAAATAAATAAAATAAACCAGGGCTTATTCCTTCTCATGTGATCGCATGGACAAGGTAAACGTACGAAAGACCGGAAGGGCCATTTCAACTTCATGGATGATCGATTTCATCTTCATGAATTCACAATTTTTACTTCCTGAATTCACGTTTACAACATACGGAATTCACGAATTCCCGATTTCAGGTTCATGAATTTCCGATTTCAACTTCATGAATTCAACTTAGTGAAATCACGACATAGTATCTCGTGCGCACGAGATAAATAAAAGCGCACACATGTCACCTCCGTACAACCATAGTTGTTCTATACTATTCATGTAATTTATTTATACTATATAGGTTTTTTTGATGTTATCGTTAATATTAGTTATTTGATAGACTTTCAAGTACCTGTGATATATATAATAAAAACTGGACATGGGAACAATTTACTTAACTCTTTACGAAATTCAAGGATTTTCAGAAGTTATTGAATGATCTCTATATTTAACACATGCTACTTAAAAAAATCTCACATCCATGTGAATTAATTACCATAATAATTAGTAACATAATATACAAAGCATGAATAAATCTACTTTAAATTTAATAGTCACAATTTTATATCAGTTTTAAATAGGTCTATTTGAACTTTTATAAAAGTATGTAATAAATAAAAAAGTACACATGTATCTATATCATATCTTACCACGTGCAAGAACATATTACCAACTGCGTTGATTCCTTCGGAAGGAGATGTTCCTATACAGAATGAAAGTGCCCTACCAAGAGTTTCTACAATGTACTTGATGACCCCAAGGTAGGTTAAAACGGACATGCCGATGATAACTACGAAACCCTGTACCATTGACTGAAATGAATTGAAGAATGTTTCGCACATGAAACTGATTTAGACAATCAAAGTGCTGAAAGCACTGGATGCGAAGGACATGAAAAGGGAATTGCATAAATGCTGTATAGAAAAAATGCTTACAAATCACACACTTAAACACGAAACAGAAATGTTAATCATTGCTAGATCTATACATGGCGGCGTGGCCGAAAGATAATCTAAGGTTTGCTGGCCGCGTGTGTTCAAACCCCGTCAGAAGCTAATCTCAGCCCTTTCCGTCAAGCTTAGATTAAAGACCTCGAAGACAATAGTAAGAATACACAGAACGGATACGGTATTTTGTTTTAACTTATGTAAATAAGAAACTAAACATGTAAACAATTAGCAATTTAATGCTGGAAGTTGTTTATTTCAATGTATGGAGTAAATGTCCATCTAAATTAAGTAAATTTATAGATCTAATTCAGAACGATATTACATGTACATGTATATATAAATGGTAACTTTATTGAGTGATTTCATATGTTACTATTTTGCCAAACTCAGGGATAATGACTTTGAATATTTATGATTAACATCTAGCGACTAAGTTCGTGTTCAAACTGACATTATTAAAGTTTCCTATATGCTTTGACTTTAAATAGGGCATAAGCATGACGACTTAAACTTTCACTCAAATCACAAATACTCGATCATGTTTGATTTTGCCTATCTATAGAGTAAAACCATAAAATAATTGATCATGAAACTATCTAGAAATTGAAAAGATTTTTGCCCTAAAAAAATATATCATTATCACAATACCTACGCCAAATGCAAATGGATGGTCTACATATTTTTCACCAAATATGAATACACTTCCAGCCTTTCCGTTCGCGACTAACGATTTGAGTCTAGCCCCGCACCATTGTATAGCACTTGCACCCCAAGTCGTCTTCAAAATTAGTAATGCCATAACGAATTGCAAAGCCATCGACCAGTAAATGGTGTGCCAATTTATCTGTTTAAATCATTGAAGCGTTATTTACATTGTTACATTGTTATTTACAATACCATAACTTGTAATGTAACAAACGTTTCTTAACGTCAAGTAAATAGCATTGAAAAAATGAAAGAGCTTCTGTAAACTCCACGTTTCAACGTTTCAATGTGAAGGTAGCAATGTGCGAAACCTTTGGTTTGACAAACACTATAAATATAGACTATACGAATGTAGATTGCTTATTTTCATCGGTTTAATCTGTAATCATTTCTTCTGTGGCGAAATATAACATACACATTTAGTAAGTTAAAGGCACATTATGCCTTAGAAACAAATAATGCTTTTGAAAAAAAAATATAAAAGCATTTCCGACGCATACTGGCCCTTTAAGGGAGTATGACGACATGCCCTTTAAGAGAGTATGACAGCAATTAAATAAATAAAGAACATATATCAATTTCAACAAACCATTTCTTTCTAACTTATTCAAATATACTTAAAAAGCACTTTCAATAATTTTTACCTTCCGTCTATTATTAGAATATAGAAACATCAAAAAAGGAAAAACAAAAAGTCCAATTAGAGATTTGAGATTTTCCGGTGTCTTTATCGCCACAAATAGTATCAAATATACAACCATAAATGCTGTCATCAAGAAATACAAACACCTGAAAAAAATAAGATTAAACGTCATTTGAATACTTTAATAATAATTAAACAATGTTGGTTAATTGTAATTGCAATATATCCGTCAATAAAAAGTTTAAAAGCATAAACACAATCATTACAATGATATTTGTCAATTATAGTTGGATTTCAATTACAAAATGCATCAATTACAATGTATATATTATTCTGAGGGATCACTTTGTTTCTAATTTTTTTTTTTTACAAAAAATAAAAGTTGGTATCAAGTAAGTTAGTTGAAAAATAAAAAAGACTTACCATCTAAATATAGAGCTTCGCCTCCCTTTCGAATACTCGGCAAACAATTTGTCGACGGCTAATGACCAACCGGTATAACATTTTGTCCTTTTCAGTAGTCCCCAGCATGCTATCCATACTCCTAAAGCTGTACACCAAACAAGTCTCCAAGATCCCTCATCACCGATATGATAGGCCAGTGCAAAACCAAAATATACAAAATAACCTAAAACCAGCACGACTTTTCCTAGTACGATAATCTTATCGAAATTGGCGTCAACGCACGTTTTTGTTCTTCGCGTTATGTTCATCATGTGATTAGTTTTGTTCGAGAATTTTAACGTACTAACTCTAGATCTAACTGTGCCGTTGTTCTGACCTGTTTGATGACAATTAATGCCCCTCAAGTCCTCGTCATCGTGAAGCTTTGCCGCTACTGTCGGAATCTCAGTTATAACTTCTTTTAACTCCATTTCTAATTACATGTACGCCACTTTAATAAAATCACGGTACAAAATTATAATTTATGTACTAACATGCAACGAATGTTTACTGCAGTTTATATCCTTTACTTATACATGAAAGATAAACAAATTAAAGGTTTAGGTTTCATGTATTAATAACATTGCCATGTTACTTGGATATGCATAACCTATTTATACCTATGAATAACTAGTACGCATTATCATTTAACATTTTCAACAATTCACATTGATAAACATACCCTAAGGATTTTCTTAACCTATTTTTAAAATTGACTATCGATTTTCCTGTACACATGAGTCTTTATGGCAAAACGGCTCCGAAGTGTTTGTCCATAACCGTGGGAACGGTTTATTTTTGTCTTTTACATGACACGATCCGGATATCTTACTAAATTTACTTGCAAACTTCTTGTACCGGTTACATCACGTTTTGCAACCATAAATCAACTTGAAAATGACTATAAATGGCGTGTCACACTCTATAGGGATCCCTTCAAGTAGAGCACCAAGGGGTCCACTATTCGTAGTTGGTGCTGCATAGGGCATCATTCATAGCTTTTCACCGAACTCTGCTCTAAAATTTGACGAGGAGCTGTATTCGCAATCTAATTAAAATCAGCTCCTGATTAACGCTTCGCATAAGGATCTGACGACCATTAATAGGTTGTAACGGTCTCGTGACCTTTCAAACAGGCAATCATCGGCAAACTTTCACAATTTGGAATTGCGGTTTCGATGCGGTTTCTAATTTTAACTACTTATAACCAATTAGTTTCCTCAATTATCTGATACATGGTACAATGCATTTTTATGATGCCAGATTTATTGAGGACATTATACAGAAGTAATAAGATTTCTTGTTCGTCTTGTAAAAAATTACTCTTCGTGTCTGTTTTTTCTGTTTTTCTTTCCGTTTTAGTATGTCTTTCTGAAAGCCGACCTGGCTGGCTATCTGTCATTCTATTCGACTGTATCTAAAAACTGATATATAACATTCTATGATTATTCAAATTAATTCTGAGATACTTCTTAGCCCCTTTCATTTTTGTTTTGTTTTATTCTTTTATTGTTCGTCCATTATTGTTGTCGGTTCCGAATTCTTTGAACATTACGATGTTTACAATTTGAAATTTATTAAAATCATGGTACGCCCATAAGCAGATAATCAAGGGGAGCGGTGGCCTAGTGGTTAAGGTGTCTGCCTCTCAACCCAGAGATCATGGGGTTCGAGCCCTCCTCCGGTCACGACCATATTTCTTCATATGACAGCTTTCTATTAAAGTGAGCATCTACTGGGTTACATGGACTGTCTGCTATCTACATTTTACATTGGCAATAACTGCTCACTATCGCCATACCTGCATGACGACATTAACAATACTTGACCTGCCCTAAGCTAACCAGCATAGTGAAGGCACATAATGTCACATGGTAGTAAAATGTACGACAAGACCTCTACGAGGCACGCCATCTGCCATGCTTTTTGTCGGGTTACCTACAATTGAATTGAAATACTATCTTTATGTAAGAAGCTCGAAAACAGTGGATAGATCCTGATTCAGAAAAAGAAACATTAGTTTTGTTGTTGAAGAAGACGTCTATTTCACTAAGAAATCGAATATTTCGCTGAACGGCAATTCCCAGCCTTTTTTTAGAAATACTTATACATGTGTATTAGTTTGTTCTTGCCGTTGATATTTCTTTTGTAACATGTGTCATCTATATTTCACAAATCGTTATCATACAGCTGATAATGTCCACTGTTATGTTTTGTCTGATAAGAGATATTTGTTGTTTTTTCTGTCACTGAAGCATAAATAACTGCCAATAAAATTTCACTTAAAAGAAAGACAACTCTTTGGAAAGGACTATGTAATTTTTCATACGGAGTTGTCTTTCTTTGTTGTCTATGGGGGTGTTTAGTTAAAAACGAGCAACTTCTTTGATATATGTATTCTTTATATTTATTTACAAATATAAATACAATATACAATATCCCCTATCAGTCATTATATTATATGATATATGCACAGCATAAAAATGGAATAATGGAATGAATACACATAAGATATGACGTCAATAAACAAAATAACGCTAGGAAAGTAACTTGTTCGCTCGTCATATTTTTATCAATTCTTTTTTGTTACCATGTCAGAAAATTAGAATTAATTCTTTCTTGAAATATAATACAATGTATAATAATGCACGGTTTATATATAGTTCAAATGCTTTGTGATTAATCACTCGGGCCTTTCGGCGCCCGTAATTATATTCCTACGCATTTGAACTCGAACCGTGCGTTGTTCTACAACCATGCACTCAAAGTTGGTATCTATTCATTGACCTTTGTATCACCGGTATACATATCACCTTATAAAGGCAAGTAAAATGATCATTTCTGGCAGGTCCTCCATTAAGGGACGAAATTCCAAAAATCAAACTTATTATAAACAGTATAAATGGGACATTAAGTAATATATGTTTTCTAAATGCAGTATACCAAAGGCGCAAAGCCATAAATTTGCTCACATGATCTTGGCTGCAACTGAAACATAATTAAATGGTGTATGACTTTAATAACAAATGACATAGTGTAGAGATTACACAGGAATACGGTTCAAAGGCCCATTACGTTATGCATCATTTTTATTTCTCAAAAACTTTTTATTTTTAGTTGTACTGTTACAGTGTCAATAAAGTTACGCATTGGCCATATGCTTCTCTTTCAATTTTACGATGAGTACGGTTTTAGTGATTGTATATTTTGTGTAGAAGTCAACAAACCAATTTGTTTACGTTTCGCTACCTATATCACAAATATTTTCCATTCAACACTATTTTCTTCAGGTTATAAGTATCTCACATGTTTAAAAGGCCCATTATTCCCAATAAATCCTCTCCCCTGTTGATTCCCAAACGTTTATTTTTATTACATGCTTTTCGATGGTTTATAGAAATATATCAGTGAATTAAAACTGATAATTTCACTGTTTCAAACAGTGAAATTATCAATTTGATAATTTCACTGTTTTGAATTAAAGCCCCTTACGTTGTTTCAGTGAAATACCAGCGGAAAACAACTTAAGTTGTATAATTATTTTGCGCGCTATTCATTTAGTATTAGGTAAAAATGTCCTTTTTAACGTTTGTTTGCATATAATAAAAAGAAAATTTGTTTAGTTTAGTGTCAGATCGAAATATATTTCACCTCGTGAACACCAAAAGTTCACATTTCACTCTCGGCTGCGACACTCGTGAAATATACCTTTTGGTGCTAACTCGGTGAAATATATTCCGATCTTACAAATATCCTCTATTTATTTTTGGTGTCCTGTTATAGTTTCCAGAAAGATACTAATTGGTCTTTTACCTGAAACAGTTTATTGCTTCTGTTACAGTATTGCAATTATAACAATTATAGTGATTTAGCATTTATGGGAGTCAAAATACTACTTTGTTTACACTTTCCGACGTTTACGACAAATTTTTTAATAGTTTCAGTTTCAATGCCATTTTCTTCAATCAATAAACATTTAACATTCTAATAAACTATTATATAAACGTTATAAAACTTATGTTTGCCCTTTGTAAAGAAAGAAAAAAAAAACAACATTCATTTTTAAGACATAACGTGCCTTTAACTCCATTATTAAAATATCATATAACACACATTTACACTTTCTACAGAATGAGAAAATATTCATTTCTTAGGCATGTGCCTTTAAAACATAACAATATCTTGGTAAACCTTTGTATAAATACGAGTATTTACAAAATGTATTTAAATATTAAAAATAGATATATTCTAAGTTAAAATATTTGCAAGTTATATGACCTAATAAAATTTGTAACTCTTTTATTCACGGTCATACAACTTGTCCAAAATATTTGTAACTTCTGTAGAATTACATTGATTTGATATTAAATAAAAACGAATTTATGAATTTCCAATAGTACTATCGATCAATAGATGATTTGTGATTTCCTAGGTAAAAAAATCAATGTATCAATTTAAAAAATGGTTAGTACATTGTATGAAAGAGAAAATGTAAAAATATAAAACATCACAAATGCCTAACAAAAATAATCTCTTAAACATGCAAATTTTATACATAAACACCACAAAAGTCTAATAAAAATCGACTTCTCAAGTTAATGTGTAAGTTTCATAAATTGAGATCAGGCGTACAATGGCAAATCAAAGTTAACATTCTTTAATAGATCAGAAATGAACTAAAAAAAAACAATTAATTATTTTAATGTATACAGGTTAAAAAGAAAAATGGAAAAAAAGTGTTGCAAATATTACTCAAATGATGCTATTTCAAAGGTCACTAAAATCATCATGCCCTAGCGCCTTATTTGCCTGTAACTTCAATTTTATAAGTCGAACAATGTCTTTCCTTCCGATGCCTTCAAGCGCTGTGATCAAATCTTCACACAGCTGTCGGTTGGTTGTGTCCGGCAAATCTTTCCTCGATGTTTTCTTTGATTTCCAATGTTTCAGAGATGTAAAATTTGCCGCCACAATATTTTGGCTGTTATTAAAACGACTCTGGCCTTGTATATGTGTTGGTACTAGTAGACTCGTTAACAACAAGCTTGCGTCGCTAGGTGAAAGCCCACCAATCAGAGCCAATAGAGAGTCGTCTAGCAAAATCTTGTCATAAGCTATTTAGTAAGAAAAATAATCTAAACATGTTTTGGAGTAATCTATATATTTACAAAGTAATGTAAAGTAAATTGAAGTAATCTATGTATTTTTGAAGTAATCAATATTATATTTTCTTTGAATTAAAGGTCAATTCATCATTTAAGGGAAACCATTACATGTTCTTTGAAGAAGTGGTCCACTTGTTTGTCGATTTGTTCGTTACCTTAACTTACTCCTTGAAGTGAGGCACATTCGTTCTTTAAAAGTAACCGAAGAAAAGGTCAATCTGTCACTTTCACACATTCATTGAAGGAATGGCCTATCCGTTCTTTAAAGGGTTTTTATAGTATGGTAAATTCGTTTTTGTTTTTACATGATCTTTGAAGTAACGGACAATTCGTTCTTCAAGAGTAACCTTTACATAATCTCTGAAGTAATGGTCAATTCGTTTTTGAAGAGTCACATTTCCAGTTCTTTGAAGAAACTCGTTCATCAACAGTAACTTTTACATGTTCTTTGAAAAAATGGCCAATACTTTTTTTAAGAGTATTTTTTTACGATTATAAAAAAATAAATATAATATTGGTAAGTTTATTGTAACACGCTCTGTGAAGTAATGGTCAATTATTTAGTCAACATGTTATATTCATATTATATGTTCTTTGAGGAAATGGTCAATAAATCTTAACTCGTTATATGAATAAATGGTTAAATCGTTCGTCAACATATTATGTTTATGTTATATGTTCTTTGAAGTTATAGTCGATCCGTTCTCAATGAGAAACGTTTGCATTTCTTTTCTCTCTTTCTGTTAATTGTGAATTGTGTTCTTTGAAGTAATGGTCAACCCGCTCTCCATGTTTATTTTTATGTTTATGTTTACCTTTACATGTTATTCAAGTAATTGTCAATCGGTTCTTCCAGAGTATTTTACATACAAATTCTTTGAAGTTATGGTAAATTCATTTTTCGAAATAGCCTTTATATGTTCTTTTTAAGTAATGGTTAATCTGTTCTTCAAGAGTTATTATATGTTCTATGAAGAAAAGGTTAATTCATTATCCAAGATTAACCGTAACATATACTTTTGAAGTAATAGTCATTAAGTTCCTCAAGAGTAACTCAAGAGTAAGCAAGTTAATGCATAGAAGTGAAAGGTTTTACCTGGATCTTCCTGCGGAACCACTGTTGGTCCTGGTGCATTATCACTTAAACGCATACCGCCTGTAAAATTGTAAAAAAATGTTTACTTCATAAACAATTCATATCCATAAATATATCAATTAAATCGATAAATAAATTATACATGAAAAGTCTATCGAGTTTGCTTAAGAAGATTTGATTGAAACTCATTTGGAGGAGGAGGAGGAGGAGAGGTTGGGGAAGACATTTGAGCCGCGTCATGACAAAACCATCGTTATGCGTTTGCGACCAGCGAACAACATGGATCCTGAACAGACTGCGCGGAAGCGCAAGCTGGTCTGGATCCATTCTGGTCGCAAACACATAACGTTGGTTTTGTCGTGACGCGGCTCATTTGTCTTTAAAAGAAGTTTTAAAAAATATAAAAAGTTGATTCTTGTTTGACAAGTAAATGGCAAACGTTTTAGGGATAGCGGACACTATTAAGCATAATACATAGAGGATATTTGTTTGTTTGTGTGTAAGATGAAATTTTATTTCATCGAGTGGGCTTAAAAAACAGTATTCTCACGAGTGGCGTAGCCACGAGTGAGAATACTGTTTTTAAAGTTCACGAGATGAAATAAAATTAAATCTTACACAACAAACAAACAAATTTTCTTTTTATTTTATGCTAAAAAACAAGTTCAAACGAAATTTTCATGACATTAACGTAAATATTAAAATCTGTTTTCCCCATTGAGAGCCCCATTTAGTCGGAATTTCTCATTAAAAACAAGAAGTCTTGAGCTGTAAAATAAGTCCGACAATTCAACGTTAAATGACAGTGATATTATTTTTATTTTGTTAAAAAAAATATGAATGATCGCTTGTTTTAATAATAAAAACAAACAATTCTTGTAGGAGAAAAATTCCAACCATCCATCCATATTTCTGTTTACTTACTGCGTATTTATATTAGACCTGGCTTTGTTAAATGTAAGCGGCAGCCATTTTTTAAAGTTGTGTATTTCACGGGAGGAAAATAATTGTGTTTGATTCAGAGGGATATCATTTGGATTTGTTAGTCATACACCTTTTTAAAAGAAAGAAAACATATTTGAGGATTGAAACAGACAAAAAATAAGTGTTGACAGATGTGAAAACATTCAGAAAAGTAGTCCTATAACATAAGACGTTTCCGTTCATACTACGTACACTCCAACGTCTTATCGGCTTCTTCATAAGTTCCTTTAGCAAAACGCGCAGCGATTTTGAAGCGCTATATAAACCGTCGTAATTTATTACAAAAACAATATTTTGAGTAAACAGATATACAGACAGTAAATTTAAACATTTTGCATCAATGTGCAGCAAAAAAATAAATGACCCACCTTCGTATGTAAATAAATCCAATCCAATTTCAAATCACACAAATTTCAGCCTGTCTGCTGTCCATTTCCTCCACTTCCTCGAACAGTAACAACCGAGGGCCCCGAATCGATATAATTAAAATTCATTTTGTACGAAAAAAATTTTACAGCAGAAAGATTAGTGATCGAGGCAATCCTCAGTCACTATTAAAAAAATTAATTTTTTGGGAATGATATGAAGTATTAGGATATTTTCTGTCACTTTTCTTAGTTTTAAAAATATTATCACCGTTTATTATATATATAAGAGTAGATATTGTATACACACAGATATACATACACTCAACTCCATGGTATACAGTATATATAGTTGTAATGAATATTATTCGATTAAAGAGCAAGGACACCTCACCGTATCATCAAAACTTGTTGATTTGTTAAATTACATATCCAAAAAATGCTTTGAATCACCATTCAGCCACAAATATTTGCTGACAGATTTTTTTTCTAAAAAGTATTTTCTTGAGATAGATTCCTTACACGAAGAATAACACTAATGTTTCTTAACTCTTTCAGATGAACCTTTTAAAATGTTTAACCCCGCAAGAGCCTACAAACTTAATACAATAATGGTGCTTTATGTCCTTTATACATGTAAATAAAACAAAAGAAACAGTAAGAATCCCTAAAGAAAGTCCAACACGGCAAAATTGAAAATGTTGCAGGCTTGGCCTGATTGGGCTTGTTCATGGACGGTACTGTCAAGTGCAAACTACTGACGAATAACATGGCGGATCATGGGCTTGCCACTGGTTCTTGTTGCTGGATCGTGTAGGAGTTTGCGTTCATTGAACGCCGCCTTTCTTTTTGATCTTGTTTATCATAATTTGTTCACAGAAGATTGGCCGTCCAGTTTTTTTTAAATCATATATGGCATTAGATCCTCTGTTCTGATTTGCTTAGCGCAGGCGGTGTACAGTAAAAAAATTTCAAATCAGGTTCATTATATATCTCGCAGTCCGTTAACGGCGACAATAATAATGAATGTACATATGTATCTTCTTCTACCGTCTAAAATTCAGTCCAAAACAGGCATCGTTTGATATGTGAGCGAGGCAATCCCCATTCAACAGTCAAACATGTTTCTGCTTTTACACGGGATATACTAGTCTTGAAGATTTTGATAAGTTTGCGAATTTTTAAGATCCAAAGTTGTGCAATTTCAGGACCAGGATGAATGCCATCAATATACAAGTTGTAATTAAAATAATATCGAGATCGTGATCCTTTTTTCGTTTTTGTATTTTTTTCTAAATCCAATGAAAATTTAGGCGTATACATGGAATTGTATGAGTCGACCAGTTCGTTAAATTTTGCTACTAAATCCTCCAGATCTTTATCATCGGAGTCAGAGAAACCTTTCAAAGTATTCCAAGTTTTCATTGAATATACCGGACATTGAAGAAAATTGTACACGTGCGGAAGAGTTAATCTGTAATACTGAAGTGTGCATTTTTACCATCTTAGAAAAAACGTCTTCGGCAGAGATATTCCTGAGACTAATTGTTTTATTACGTTCTAATTTTGTAAAGTCACATGTACCAAGCCAAAGCAAGACCAATGGAGCTTTTAAATCTTTAAGCTTAACTTCAAGACGGCTTAGTAAAGCTGCATCTTCAACTCGCGCTCCACTCTTCCAAATAATATCCAAGTAATCCCTTCGTTCAAGATGACGCGATAAATACCTTCCTTTACTGTCAGTTACTAAAAAACAACGACTTCCTGTATGGTGGTAATCTTCTACAGCATCACCAAGCTTTTCGATTTGTTTTTTTAAGTTATTCACAGACATATTCAAAGTGTGAATATATTACAATATCAAAAAAGTATTCCAGTTAACTGTCAGCCAAGTTTTATATAACCTGTTACAAATCCTAGACAAAAAAGGAGAGACGAAAGTAGCGTCTTTTAATAATCCATGTTCAAAATTCACTTAAAGTATGATATTAGAATACAACGTAAGCGTACCTTAGTACTGCATGAAAGATACTAGTAATAGAACTCTCACCCATGTGATGATCGGAAGATCGGAATACTACAAAGAGATAGATTTTCGGGTCACATCAATTACGTCGTCATTGAACAGAACAAGCAGGCGCTGTACATCATTTGTAATTTTGCGGACACTTTATACATACATGTACACCATTCAATAATAAATGATTGCAAACAGTTTTTCAACCAGTATATAAAATCATTATGGTCTTGATAACTGATTTTCAACGAATAATAAATTATCTAAAAAAATGTCAATGAGTATCTAAAATTATTAGTTTTTCATAAATTACTAAAATGTTTATCTTGTAATAAAAAAGTAATATGTTAAGATAGACGAAATGTTCATGTATTTCTTCTTAAAAATTAATTGCCTCTAAGTTATCACATGCAGACCCAAAAATGAATCTATTTAACGTGAATGAAATTTATTTCACGTGATCAAAAAGCGCAAGAAGTCTTTAAAAATACAGATGAACATCAACATTATGTGCCAAACAGTGCACATTAATTTCATCAGGGTATTTCTATTTGAAGACCCTGTTTTTTCATTAACATATTTTCTATCATGATGTTGACAACATAAACATTTTCACGATAACATAAAAATGTCGATCCTATCTGCGAGGTTTTACTATATAGTACATATATTTACAGTTTAACTGGTTAATTAAGTTTATGTGGACAACGTAAAGCATGGACTGCAATAAGCTGTTCTATTTTAAGATGTTTGGAAAATGAAATCTTATTTCTATTATAGATATTGAACATTGAATGAGAATTGTCTCGCAAAACCATAAATGCAAAACTTCCAACAATTTCAAGGAAATAATATGAACCAAATAAATAACTTTTGTTTGCAAATTTCAAAGTAATATATCATTTCTGTTATATATTCCTTTCACGATGATTAAATGTCTGTGTAAACGCACAAATGAAAAAAAATCGACTACATTGCACTATAATCCAATTATCAAGAGACAAACATGCAGGAAAATTAATTTCGTCTAAAGTAAACCGAAATTTTAATTAACCACATGTATACAGGTAACATGGCCGAATGTATATAGCGGTGAAAATGGTATAGATTGTATTGGATTGGATTTATTTACATACGAAGGTGAGTCATTTATTTTTTTTGCTGCACATTGATGCAAAAATGTTTAGATTTACTGTCTGTATATCTGTTTACTCAAAATATTGTTTTTGTAGTAAATTACGACGGTTTATATAGCGCTTCAAAATCGCTGCGCGTTTTGCTAAAGGAACTTGTGACGAAGCCGATAAGACGTTGGAGTGTACGTAGTATGAACGGAAACGTCTTATGTTATAGGACTATCAGAAAAGGAGCTTGGAAAATGGAAAACTTGGAAGCTTGCTCGGAACGCTGGGTGGTTTAATTGTTCTACGAGGTGATAGCTGTCATTGCTTTTCAATTTTTCATAAAGCGTACGGCAGTTATTGCTCGTAGGATACTTTAATGTGCCCAAATGTCATCAAGAGCAGTTTGCATGTGGAAGGAATGTATTTGTCAGACTGTAAAAATGAAACAAAAAATTTAGAGATGAAATTTGGTGATTGGAATTTGAATGAATAGAAGTAAGTTTTCTTCTTTTTATTACTTTTGACATTTAAGTTGATTATCAATTTCAGCTTTGCGTTTTCTTTAAACAGCCTGATATTGTCAGAATTGTCAGTAAAAATAAAATTGAGGTACCGCATGGGGAAAATCTTAAAAAAGTAGTTTCGTCATTGAAAAAAGTGAAATTATATTTTGATAATTTTCACTGTGAAATTATCAAATATAATTTTCACGGATAAATCAGTAATCCACTGAAAAGCATAAAATAAATATTGGTATTTTCTAAGATTATTACGTCATAATTGGAAACACCAATTCACGACTCAAAAATGAATTACTAAATTTAAAAAGCGGGTACATGTATTACGAAAGCAGTCGAAAGAAAGTAAAGTAAGAGTGAAAAAATAAAATACAGTGTAAAACAAGAACTTATTAAATATAAAATATGTATGCAAGAAGTGTATACCCATTTGACTAGGAAACTATAGAATATTTCGGATTGCCTGACGTTTAATATAGCTGTATTTTGTGACTCTTTCAATAAAAAAAAACGGTAAAAAAATGTAAAACTGGTCTGCTTGCTTCTTAAGAAGCGTAGTTTTGGCAAGATGTGACAGCCAATAAAGCAAAGTTTAACTTTACGGTTTCAAGAGATGATCTGCCGGAACCGTTTATGTTCATCAGTGATTAGTTTATACAAAACTTATTTTAGTTCGTTTGTGTCGGAAGCTACAAGCTTATTGAACCAATCAGTGATTGGCCTTGGCAACCAGTATAAAGCCAGGCACGTGTATTGTATACGTATGCATATCCATCAGTGATATTGTTTGAACCCGAATAATTGTATTTTGGTTCTGTAATCCCTATTATTCTATTTTAAAGTTATGGCCTTTACACTATGTATGTGTGTATTCTAGTCTTAATGAGGGTCCATCTGCCCTTTCAGGCACTGAAAGTATGAACCCCGGACATTATTACAATTCGTATCCTTAAAGGTTATTATCATCAAAACGGTGACCTATAAATTTTGAATTCAGTAATTCAATAAATAATACTAAATATGTATATAATTCGACGTTTGTGGTGTTTACTATTTTGATATACGGGAAGCCATGGAGAAAAAAAGCTGCCAAAATGAATGGTCATATCTTTCGGACGAGCTTGACTTACTGATAAGGTTATGGGCCTTAACATTTGTCAATATATGTTTATTTATACATATGCATTGTTTGGCAGGAAAAGACATATGCTTTAACCTATAACCCGCTGGAACAGAAAATAACTTGGTCACCAGTACAGCCAGGACAGCAAGGTAACATTTATAGCTCGGTAATGATGATGACTTAAGCTATAATGAACTTACCGACCGCATCATCCAGGCCTGAATCCTTTGGTGGAACCGGATCAGCACATAGATTTGACCTTGCAGATTCACCTCCTGTTGACAAAAATAACAAGAAAATAACACTGACGATTCTTTAGTGACGAATTTTTACCTTATAACATGAGCAGTGACATTTGTTTCAAACGCAAACACCCACGTTTGAACAGTCGCAAATATCATTGTACATGTAGTCACATATAGGCGATACCCACCAAGATTTTCACTATAAATACTGTTTAATGTCATTTCTTGCAAGCATTTACACAAGTACATGCACTTATAAAAATGTAAGTTAAAGGTGATTTACCTGATGTTGAGACCCTTGTTTGCCTGACAGAACCTTTAAATATAAGAAACCATTTATTATTGCTAAAATGACAAAATGTTATGTGCAGTAAAATATGTAAATGAAGTTCTTAGCATTTCTATCAAATCAAACCGTATGCCTATATCACATAATGGGCCGCCCCAATAGAAAACCAACATAGTGTAGAAAATGACGTCACCGTCGTTAAATCCTCTTTTGTTTCGAACTAATATTTTAACAACTTTTAATTATCCAAAAACGATGAAATTGGTACCATAGTAATTGAGAACCATCGTATTTTTATAAAATTATAAAAAGTGAAAATGTGATTTTCTTGCACTATGTTGCTTTTCTCAAGGGGCGATAATTAGTTATAATACTAAAACTGACGAAATGCTAATAACTTTGGTGGAAAATTTCGTATCATTTGCTCACTCCGTTTTTCCAGAATAATTATTCTTTTGTGAAAATGATCCAAAATTGAAAGCGTTTCAAGTATAACACAAAAGTATGATTTTCAATCTATTTCTCTGTCTATTTCTAATTATATTGTTTCTATTTTAAGTACAATAGGTGATCTATGTATGAAATTTAAATTTTTTGTTTAATGCTTTTAAACATCAGTGGAGTTCCTTTAACAGTCTCTTAAAAAGGGGAATTAAAAGCCATCTTTATTACCCAGACAGTCAAAAGTTATATTCGGTCTAATTATAACCCGGATGACAGAAGCAGTATAATTTTATAAAGGACTGTCTTATTTCGAATGCACATTTTAAAGAAATATTTCGTTTTTTAAACAATTCTATGCATTTGAAGAAATTTGGAATGTTATTACAATGCCTGCTATTTGTTATCTTCTAGAGGCAAGCATTTTTTAAGAAATATGTTTGAAATTAAGTTAGTTCTCGTTATGTTTAACAAGCACTGTCTCAAATAAATAATGAATAACCTTCATTTTGTAAGTAAGATTTGTGAAGACTAGATTTCGCACATTTACCTTGCATTAAAGTAGACTCGTCTGTAAAATCTGAAGAGGAACTCGATGACGCCATACTCTCTGGCGCCGTACGAAAACTGGCATCATTAATACTGGAATTAGCGCTTCGTGTACTTTTCAGGCTTTGGCTAAGATCCTGACTCTTCTCAGTCGGTATTTCATGAATGTGTACCGTATGTTTGATCTCATCGTCGACTTTGAACTTAATCGTAGCTGTGTCATCCTCGGAACCGTCGTATACAGGAATCAAGCTCAAAATTTTTCTACACTCCCCTTGAGCTTCGTTAAAAACTAGAACATCTTCTCCCTGTTGTAATGAGAAGTTTTACGTCACAATTATTACATCAGTGTTTAATATACAGTCAAACCTGTGAATAGAGGTCATACAAGGGAGAGACCGAACTTGGCCTTTATAGACAAGTGGATTTTATTTGGAGGTAGCTTTGTTCTTTTTGATCAATGTAGGATTGTCGAAAAGTGGCCTTTATTTACAGGGGTACCTTAATTCGGAAGTGGTCTTTAACACAAGTTTGCTTGTATTGATATAGTCTGTAAGAGCAGTTATGAATAATATCTCAATTGGATCTGTTTTCATTTCTTCAGCTAATGAGCAATTCAGTAGTTCTACTTCGGTAAACTTCGTGCCGGAGACAATGACTTTAACTGTAAAGCCGTATAGTTGCCGTATAACTGTAAAGCCGTATAGTTTCCGTGTAACTGTAAAGTCGTATAGTCGCCGTATAACTGAAAAGCCTTATAGTTGCCCTATAACCATTTACAGTGTCGGCGTGAGTTCGAACCCAACACTACAGCATGTTCTCTCCAGCAAACAAACGAATGCAGATAACTGTAAACATTATTTTATCTCTTTTTATTCAAGGTCTCTCTCTGTACATTTGCTGCTTTCAAGTAAATTACCTTTCCTTTGTGGCTTTAAAATCAGTCATGGAGTTTTGGATTATTTCATGACTAGAAGCTACAGAGATCGCTTACAAAGCTTCAGCGGTTCTTCTAAGGTGTCTGAATTAATACATAAAGGGACACCGGAGGTCTTTCTGCTCAGGTAAAGCTGGGACGTTGCAATATGATTGATATTCACAGTGTCATTATGCAAAAGGGTCAAATCGGCCTAAGTCAGAGTGGCTCCAAGTCAAACCGGCCTCAAAATTAGACTTAAAAACACTCTCCACGCTAGACACGAAAAAAATGGATAAAAATATTGCTATTATGAAAAAACATAACCATCTATGGAAGTTAATTTTTAAAACTTTAAAACTCATTTATACCTTTTCGAGCTTAGCTGAGGGTTTTAATGCGCCGGATATCAATATTTGTATTTTACACTTTCCTCTGTTTAAATGGAGCTCTATTTGTGGAGAACATCCTCCACCTGTCATTACATGATCCTCTATATATTCCTTGAAATAAATAAATAAATAAATAAATGAAAAATAAATAAATGAATAAATAAATAAATAATAAATAAGTATAAAACAATAAATAGATAAATAAATAACTTAGTGGCTGACTGACTACGTGAATGAATGAATGAATGAATAAGTGATTTTGTAAGTGAGTGAAGGAATGAGTGAGTTAGTGAATGAATGAATGAATGAATGAATACATAAATAAATAAATAAATAAATAAATAAATAAATAAATAAAAATAAATAAGCAAATAAATAAATAAATAAATAAATAAATAATACATAAGTATAAAACAATAAATAGATAAATAAATAACTTAGTGGCTGACTGACTACGTGAATGAATGAATGAATGAATAAGTGATTTTGTAAGTGAGTGAAGGAATGAGTGAGTTAGTGAATGAATGAATGATTGAATGAATGAATGAATACATAAATAAATAAAAAGATAAATATATAAATAAATAAATAAAAATAAATAAGTAAATAAATAAATAAATATATAAATAAATTAATTAATAAATTAATTAATTAATTATTTAATTAATAAGTAAATGAATTTATCAAACAGATAAGGCAATCAAGTGCATTATTCTAACGATATATGCACAGCATATTTAAAGGAATGCTTTTTAACATAAATACAGACAGTAATATATATGTATTATCTATGTTTTGATTGATTTACTGCCATGAAATATTCACAATATTAGAAAATAGATAAGCATTATGTCCCGAATGAAAATTAACAAGTTCTATACTTGTGATAAAGACTTGATGGTTGTGGGTGAAAAGACAATATAATTATGGAACTTGTGTGTAGTGTTACATAATTATAGTGTTCTGATAGACAGTGTTCCTGCCTTGAAATACATATGATCGAGCTGCGTCACGACAAAACCAACATAGTGCATTTGCGACCAGCATAGATCCAGACCAGCCTGCGCATCCGCGCAGTCTGATCAGGATCCATGCTGTTCGCTTACCAACCCTATTACAAGTAGAGAAACTGATAGCGAACAGCATGGATCCTTATATGTTTATATGATATGATAATAGATTTGTGCTTGAGAGATAAAATGAGATGAATGTACTAAAAATGCCAAATACTTATGATGTACTACATGTATATTTTTGACAATTTAGATTTGAAAAAAAAAACAACTAATTTAAAAAACAGTGAGCTTTGCTTCACATCTATTTTGAGTGTTTTGTAAGAAAAGAAAACCTGTATTTGAGGCCCTTTCAGGGTGTATCAAAATTGCCTGAATTCTGTATGTTGCTTTGGTGTTTACTATATTTTTAGTCTTAATATAATATTCAATATTCATTCAAGCAGCACATGCTGAAATGCTGAGAAGTCTGGCATAGCATTCCTGACGTCAGAAATGTCAACGTTCTTGTAATAGACATAAAAACAATTTTCTTTCATGAAAGTTAAAATCAATTTAATTTACAGCATTTAATTAAAGTAGAAACATGCGTTTATTGTTGATAAAAAACAATAATTTATCACAAAGACAGCGACTAGATCAGGCATATTTGGGGCCACCTGGGTTTAATGGTCGTCCATAATTAGTAATTAAATGTACATGTACTGTTCCATGCATATAGCTAAATCTGCCGATATGTTTTGGTTATAATTGTTAAAATGTCACAATGTTTTCGCTTGTCAAGAAATGTGTTTCATATCATTGGTGTATTTTGTTTCATTATCTATGTATTCATTCATGTTGGTAAACATAATATTCTTTTGACAGAAATAGAATTTGGAATCAATATTTTCGCTTATCACAAAATGTTGTAGATACCTTGCTTAATTACATCTGTTAGTGTCCTAAATGTGTTGCCCATATCTTGAAAAGTTTTGAACTTGCACTGATAAAACTTCGAATCTACACTGACAATGTATTATTTTATATACAACAAGGGCCACAGCCGGGCGGGGCAACGCTCGACTTTTTACTTTCTCTAAAAGCAAACAAAAGAATGTTTAAACAAAATCTTAACGTTTCGTTTTTATAAAATTAATCGGTCTATCTTGTCACATTAGTTTTGTCTATATATTTTGTATATATAAATATACTATTTTACATATATAAATAGAAACACACAATTCTATAAATAGAAACACGCAATTCTATAAATAGAAAATGCTATAAATAGATACACGTGGAGTCACGTGGTGACACGTGGTGTCACATGTTGGTGACACGTGGTGGTGTCGCGAGGTGAATTCATGTGGTGGTGTCACGTGGTTGTGTCACGTGGTGGTGGTGTCACGTGGTGGTAACAAAGTCTTGTCCTTAAGTATGTTTTGTTATAATATGAAGTTGATCCCTTCAATAAAAGCAAAGTTACAGCCAGTTACAGCAAAAACAATGAAAATTTCAATAATTTGAACTTCAAAGTCAAGGTCATTTATGAGTGAAGGTCAAGGTCTGTCTGGTTATTTTTAAGGGATATCCTTGAAGATTATTATGTTCAAGTTTGAAGACAATCCATTCAAATATAACAAAGTTACAACCAATAACAGCATGAACAAGCAAAATTTGGACTTTTAACCTTGAAGGTCAAGGTAATTTATGGATGAAGGTCAAGGTTAGTGTGGTCTACTGAAAGGTCTTGTGCGGCAATACACCAAGAAATAAAAAAGTTATGATCCAGGTCCAAGTTTGCGGACGGCAACGGCAACGCCGCCGCGACTATAGCAATACCTCTACTTTTTTTTCAAAAAAAAGTCGAGCTAATAAAAATCCTATTAAAGAACACCTCGAAATTAAGACCAAACGCTATTAAGACCAGTTTTAATAAAAAAAAATTCTTTTTTTCTATTGATTTATTCTTCAATTGCCGCACTTTGTATGAATATATATTTATATAAAGAGGGGTAAAAATAATAATAGATTTAAAAAAACCAACCAAAAACAATGTCTTGGGACTGAAACCGGTGGTCTTAGTGGATTAGCTGGTTGGTAAAAATTGACACACAAACAAAAATTCTGTTCATTTTTAAACTGGTCTTAATAGCGGATGTTCTTAATTCCGGAGTGTTCTTCAGTAGGATTTTTACTGTATTTATAAAACTTTTGTGCACTATCTTTCTTTAATTGCATATTTTCTATTTACAAAATGTACGTGGTTTGTAGTATTGTATTGTTGAAAAGAGATTGAGTGTTGTTCATGAACATGACTGTATTATAATGAAAATAGACGGTGACATATGCTACTGTCATCTTAATCTATACATAAATGTACCAGTTTCTCATCTCTTCTTTTTTCTATGATAGCTCCTGGATCGTCTTTGCTTGTTGCATCAATACTGACTGCATATCGCCCCTTGTTAAGATGAGGTTTGGAGAGGAGAGTTATAATATTTGCATGTGTTTCAGTCATATTTCGATTCCCTGGAAATGCATAAAAATAATCTGGAACTGTACATGTAGTTTTTATACTGATATGAGACTTGATAATGGATTTAACTCACTACAGTATTGGACCAGTACTTCTAGACGCTTGCAGAAATATCATGATCACAAAGTAGAAAAAATATCGCTTTTTTTTCGCCGATTCTTACATCTTTCAATCTTTATCGTATATAAATCGGTGTGACCAGCGGGTGAATACGTGAGATTTTAGCATTAACCGTTCAAGCGCCTTGTACGGTATATACCGGAAAACGGTATTTAGTTTGTGCTCAAGAAATGAGACTGGATAATGACAGCTATACGAACTACGGATAGTGACGGAAAGTCTAGACACAAGTTGAGTTCGATTAGGTTAATATACATGAAAAGATTGTGACCTGTGAACACATGCTTTGTCTTTTATAATAATATCCCATATCACAAGCTCGTTAATCATCTACACATCAACCACTTTTTGTTCAATTATTTCTAAGAAAGCTGAAATGGCTATTAAAACAACATGCGTATACCGGTTAAGTTAATTTTTATCGCTGTTGTTTATTTCATAAACAATATACATGTAAATTTTTATGTATATAACACTTCTTTTACTTTTAAAACGACAAATCAACGAAAACAGTAAAGAGTCTTATTTTAGAATCAATCAAAGTATTGTTTGAAAACGAAAGTTAAATATTTAAAAAGAACAATCGAGGTATCAGCTGTTTATTTAATAAGTATAAATGTATTTAGATTTTTAATTACAGATATCGCAAAACATTACACTTAACTTAAATTATAAAGTAACCAAAAACTGAAACATTTAAAAATGCTAAAACATGTAAAAGTAGTTGAAACCGAAAGTAGTTCATAATATTATTATTTACAACAAAATGAAATATAATATATTCAGTTCACTTATTTGCTAATCAATTTTCAATTTTAAATCTTGAGTGTGTCATTATTTTTTATCAGCCTCTTGTAATAAAAGGAAAACGTTTAATTTACCTGATTTTTTTACTCTTTCAGTTTATAGTTTTACTTCCGCTTAACCAACTATAATTAAACTCAATCAGCCAGATACTTTAATTCTATTTATAGACTATATTATATAAATAGTAAATGACTGTCCCATAATCACGGGGGTGGAACCCCATATGAATCTCAAAAATGAGCATCGGTAAAAATGCAGTCTTCATCGAGATATTCTTTCCGTCGTGGATTCTGGTGTGTCCAAAACATGCAATATGAATGAAGAAAATGTCACTAAACGGACTCGAAAAAACATAGATTTTACGAAATCTCACTACAGGTCGATGCTAAACATTGAAACAAACCCTGGTTTAAATATTTATTGAGATTTGACTACATACATGGGAATCGCTGCTCAAAATTTGCCTTTGAGCTCCAGATGTGCTGAAGAGATTCATAAGTGATGTAGAAAACCATCTACAAAACTACGGACCACTTCCATATAATCATTGAATAGCCAATGTATAGAAACAATATAGGTTTTGCAGCTTTGGCTGAAAGTTTAATTGTAACATTAGTGTGTTTGATTACCACAGTGACAGAGCTTACTAGCTTATGCTAGCATTAGAAATACTAAAAGGCCCGAGTACATGAAAATGTTAACGCAGAGCGGATAGTACTCTTATGATAAACGTACATTCACTAATAAATGATATGTAACTTGGACAAACCAAACTGAAAGTATTGAACTTTGTAAAGCTATCGTGTCATATAATATGTTTCTTTAATAATGTTTACATTCATAAAATTATCTTTAACTTTAAAATTCCACAAATTATAGTTATAGCGACAGATTGTTATGTGTAAATACTATGGCCTAATGCGACATCGAAGGTTTTTCTTTATGGGCCGAGAACATTGTCTGTAAGGAAAAACCGAGATGCCGCCCCAGGTCATGATATTTCTACATAATAGTCGAGTTCGATATATTATAACTGTTTCCACTGTTCGCATGATAAACAGAAATGATAATTTTAATAAGCATAAAATTTCAATTTATGACTGGCTTCTCTCCATAAATTAAATTCCCTACCCGAACCTCGGTTACTTTTAATGTAACCCATGTCATCCATAATGTCTATCTGTTCATTGCAACTGATTTTATTTTTATTTTATGCTTTTCAGTGGATTACTGATTTATCCGTGAAAATTATATTTGATAATTTCACAGTGAAAATTATCAAAATATAATTTCACACTTTTCAATGACGAAACTACTTTTTTAAGATTTTCCCCATGTGGTACCTCAATTTTATTTTTGCTGACAATTCTGACAATGTCAGGCTGTTTAAAGAAAAAGCAAAGCTGAAATTGATAAATAACTTAAATGTCAAAAGTAATAAAAAGAAGAAAACTTACTTCTATTCAATCAAATTCCAATCACCAAATTTCGTCTCTAAATTTTTTGTTTTCATTTTTACAGTCTGAAAAATACATTCCTTCCACATGCAAAACTGCTCTTGATGACATTTGGGCATATTAAAGTATCCTTCGAGCAATAACTGCCGTATGCTTTATAAAAAATTGAAAAGCAATGACAGCCATCACTCGAAGAACAAGTTAAAACAACCAAGCATTCTTGAGCCAGCTTCCAAGTTTTCCATTTTCATTGCTGCTTTTTTTAATGTTTTCACATTTGTTAACACTTATTTTTTGTCTGTTGCAATCCTCAAATAAGTTTTCTTTCTTTTAAAAAGGTGTATGACTAACAAATCTAAATGATATTCCTCTGAATAAAACACTATTATTTTCCTCCCGTGAAATACACAACTTTAATAAATGGCTGCCGCTTACATTTTACAAAGCCAGGTCTAATATAAATTCGCAATAAGTAACAGAAATATGGATGGATGGTTGGACTTTTTCTCCTACAAGAATTGTTTGTTTTTATTATTAAAACAAGCGATCATTCATATTTTTTTTAATAAAATGAATAATATTACCGTCATTTAACGTCGATTGTCGGACTTATTTTTCAGCTCAAGACTTCTTGTTTTTAAGCATAAAATAAAAAGAAACTTTGTTTGTTTGTTGTGTAAGATGTAATTTTATTTCATCTCGTGAACTTTAAAAACAGTATTCTCACTCGTGGCTACGCCACTCGTGAGCATACTGTTTTTAAAGCCCACTCGATGAAATAAAATTTCATCTTACACACAAACAAACAAATATCCTCTATATCTTTGCAAATCCTATCTGCGGAGAACATTTCATGGGACTTAATAGTTGTGAATTGAATATTAAGCGTTTTTTCTTTGAATTGGAAAAAATAATACGTGCACTTTCTGGTGAATTCTTGGACTTTGGAGTCTGCGATACGCGGAATCTTTTGACACATGGGGACAATTTAAAAGGCGAAAAAGGAGATGTAAGCGCTGATGACTTCCTGTTTTCACGATACACGATGACGTGACGTTTTATTCTTAAAAGTTTTAAACCTTTCCTTTTTGTGCCTAGAAAACGACCCATTTTCCTGAAAAATAACAAAAGAAAAGAAACGAATTACGAAAATGTTTATAATGTACAGTTCCCACTGAAATAATAGTTATAAAGCGGAGAATAAGTTTAGTGATCTTTTTGCGTACATGAACATTTTCAGGAAACAATCCATGTGCATTATGAGCTACGCATGTCCGCTCAATACGGTTAAGATATGTTAAAGTTTCTTTAAAACCATTCAAAGAATTACAGAGCAGGCATTATATTCAGATAGGCATTGACTCATAATTACGACTGTGGGCATGGAGTGAACCATGTAAATATTCTGCAGGGACGTTTCTTAATGTGGAAAATAAATATGCAAATCTTCTTTGATCTTTTTTTTAAAGTTTATCATTAACTTTCTTACAGCATCATAACAAATTCAAACACGCTTCACATTACTCCCCTATTAAGCAGACAGTGCAGTCGAGTGAATAATTAATTAATTAATTAATGCATGGTGGCATAAAAAGGGAAAGATTGCAGTACACACGACGTCAATAAGTCAAAATAAGCAAGGCCTTCCCACCATATCTACGTATTTTCAAAACCTTTCGTATGCAGAATGTCTTATATCTCTTTCTATATGGATACTATGTTATTCAAGCTCGTCTCGTGAAAATGTGTCTATTTCGGATAATAGTATTTATTACAGAATGATACACAATAGAATAAATTCTAGATTGCCGTATGAAAGAGATGCGAAATTATGTTGCTAATTTTTCATGCTATGCACATATGAATCTCTTCAGCACATCTGGAGCTCAAATGCAATTTTGAGCAGCGATTCCCTTGTATGTAGCCAAATCTCAATAAATATTTAAACCAGGGTTTGTTTCAATGTTTAGCATCGACCTGTAGTGAGATTTCGTAAAATCTATGTTTTTTCGAGTCCCTTTAGTGACATTTTCTTCATTCATATTGCATGTTTTGGACACATCAGAACCCACGACGGAAATAATATCTCGATGAAGACTGCATAGAAATCCAAAACAACAAGGGGTAATATAGAGGAGAGTCAGGAGGGTAGAATCACATTTCGATTTTCTTAAAAAAAGGATTGAATTTTATATAAATGTTTAAAAAGATGAAAACTTACACTGAGATCGGCCTATTTTTCCAGTCACATCTGGTGTTACGCTTCACATCTGGTGCAGCGGAAATTCACATATCATTTTTACCGATGCTCATTTTTGAGATTCAAATGGGGTTCCACCCCCGTGATAATTATATAAATAGCAACAATAACAAATGTTGCTGCAATGCAGCAATTGAGAAGCTCCGCGCAAAAGAATGCGCTCATTACACATACCTTACCAAATCATTCCTGCGCACAAGTCATTTTCTATTTAGATTAAGTACTAGTGTACATTATCAAAGCGCATCCGAGCAAGAAATGCAGCAAGTGACGATGACCTAGTAGGCATCTGATGACTTAACTTTTCAATGGTTAATTGGATTTTATCAGAATTGTACATGTTTATCATAGATAAATGAGCGGACGAAAGACATTGTTCATCATAAACTGTGGTAGGCTTGCTAGAGATAAGACTATTAAATGTATTTTCTTTGGAACATACATAACAGTAGTCAAAATGAACTAAGTCTGTTTTCATTATTATGATTGTAACAAATATACAGTCTTACATATTATAAAAATAGAAATAAAATTAAGGGACTAATATAGTAATATTACATGCATTTTTTCATGTCAAACGAAGTAAAATGGTTTCTTTTAATAGATACAATAGCAATACAATGTATTCTTAGTCCAAGATAAATACTGGAAGGAGTACACACACTGGAATGAATAATTGTGATGAATTTCAAAATGACCAAATTCATGATTTTTGTTATACGCGTTGACAGCATTAAAAATCATGAATAAATTTGCATGGCATCATTTGCATGTTGATATAGTGAAACATTATTTATCAATTGAAGACTGTTACTTGAATTTCTGACAGATATGAGGAAATTCACTAACATCATGTTCATGCGAATGAAAGATATAAAAGCTTTATGAAGAGTGCAATTTATGGCTGAATATGTTTGCATTTCATTTCCTGCAAGACTATCCAGTTCGATGTTTATTGCCATAGCGCGAAACAAATGACCGTAAATAGATTTTCGGCCTTTTACAATGTGAAGGTAATATCTATTTGTAGCTTTCATATACAGCAATAAATACATACATTACCCGCTGTGTACTACAGAATAATTGGTAATTTCCTGTAGAAGATACAAATGTAAGAAATAAATTACCAAATTTAATGTTCATTTTTTTCATTTTGTCTTTTATACTGCTTTTATATATGAAATTAATTCCCGTTTTCATCCATTAATATGACATACTGCGAATCACGAATGGGAAACCAATATATGACTTAATTTACACAATAAAAATCGAAAGGAATTCTTGCTTCCGAATTTATTTTTAGCTGTAAATCGAAGGGATTAATTGATAAAAATCGGGTCCATGGACAAAAAAAAGTCAACACAAATAGCCCCGCGCCTGTGGGCTCGGAGCAATGAATGAGAACGAGCTGTATCCAATTCGGATATTGTGAGCTATAATAATCGCAAATTTCAA